TCTCTCTCTCTCTCTCTCTCTCTCTCTCTCTGTGTGTGTGTGTGTGCTGTATCTATGTATGGATGTATGTCTGTCTGCCTGTCTGTCTGTCAGTCATTCATTCAAGCTGTCTGCCTGTCGGTCTCGACGATCCCGTGTGTATATATCTGGTCGTTGTCGAATGCCAAGTGTCGCTGCATTCTGCATTCGATGCTCAATCGATACTGTCCGCTAGCGCTACATCTTTCTCTCTCTCTCTCTCTCTCTATCTATCTATCTATCTATCTATCTACCTGTCTCTCTATATCCTTGCTCCGCCCTCTTTCTTTCATCTTCTCCTTCTTTCTCCTCCTTCAACACAAACTACTCTTTATTTATTTTTTATTTTTTCTTCTTCTTTTTTCATTAGTTTTTTCAATAGCGACGCTTCCTTTAATCGAAAAGCAGGCTTTTTCGCTAATTAAAGAGCCCTATTCTTTGATCACCGACGCTTCCCAGCAACTGAATTACCTCACTTTTAAAACTAATTTAGGCAAACGCTCACTTTTCAAAAAACCACATCGAGCAACAGTCGTCATCTCAATCTCATGGGCAATAATTCAAAATAATTGCTTTCTTTGCATAATTGCATTCTCGGGATAATATTTGAATATAATAATCCATTCTTTATATGGATATGATATTTTATCTCTATCTCTTCATAATAAAACGGTGTAATAAATTGAATATAAAGATAAGTCATTTTTATTAATTTTTATTATATAAGTATTAATGAGTTGCTAGTTTTTGTATTAACGTGATATATTTATGTATAAAATTTGTTTTGTAAATATAATTTTTCCAATTGAAAACCACATACAAGTGCATTATGCCGACTGTTTTTGCCTACTTACTTTTTACAGTAAAGGAAAAATCATTTATTTGATGATCTCTTATACTTCAAAAGCTGCTACTTGTAATAATAATAAAATTTTATCCTATTCTCTGACTTCAATGTAAATAATTATCTTCGTGGATTATATAGCATCATTGAAAAATAACTCGTAACAATGTGCACAAGAATTTTAATGAATAAAGTAAATGTTGAGCTAATAACAAAATAACTTATTTGTTAATTTATTACACAATGAAAAAAGTGTTTAATAACAAATGAACATAATTAAGTCCATATTTGTAATTAAGAAAATTAGAAAAATTAAGAAATCGCCCATTTATAATAGTGTAGGATAAATTGAAAAAATTTACAAGTATAATTGCAATATAACCGTAAAAGATTAAAACATAGGATTTTTATAATTTAGACAGTTTTTTTTTTTTTTTTTTTTTTTTTTTTTTTTTTTTTGTTAGTAATATCAATTAACAGTTTGAGTTAGTAACTTTTAAAATATTTTATAGATTGCTCAAAATAATTTTAAATGTCAATAAATAAATAAAGGCTGTACGCCTCTTTTCATCTGAATATTATCGTAGCTTCGATAAAATATATACATATTTATTTAAATGAAAAAAATATAGGTATTTCCGTAGACACCATTGATAGCTCGGTAGATCGTATTAATTAAGCAAGGTTTTTGGTACTTAAACATTAATTAGTCAATTAGTAATTACCTTAGTAGAAAAAAAGATTTGATATGTGTTATGCAGCCCTGGCGCTAATTAAGCTCATCAGGACAAAAGTGTACAGCTCTATCGACAACTCGTCAAAATGAAAAGAAAAGAAGGAAAAAAGAAATTCCAGACGAGTTGCTAAGTCGTTTTATTTTTCGCTGTTACCCCTACGCTCTCTCTCTCTCTCTCTCTCTCTCTCTCTCTCTCTTTATTTCTTTGTCAGGCGCACATACACCCTCTTGCCTTCTCGCATGCGCATAATTTCTTTCCTTTAGTTACTCGGTAAGTAGTTATTGTTTTGCCTTCATTTATCACTCGAGCTAATCGTCAATCACTATTCCATTACTTTTAATTTATGTACGTACTTTGTCATACTGGTCACTCAATGTTCTTAACTATTCCTTATTTTCTAAACTCCCTCCAACATTATGGAGCTATTCACATTATGAACGAATATAACTTACATTTAATGTGTCTGTTTCTAAGTTATCAACGTAGCCCAGCCCTTTCGTTTCCTTGACTTTATGTAAATTATACGGCTGATAGAAGATTGTTTGCATTGCCTATATTTATAACGGCTTATTTCTCTTACAATACATTTAGCTTATAATGGCTTCGAATGTGCTCGCGTGACTTTATCACGAAATGAAAGATTCAATCAAATTTCATTTTACTTACCAAACTATTACTGTCTCTTGTTTTTATCATAGAGTCACGAGATACATTTTTAATAGCATATGGACGTGTTCAGCATTTCCACCCATAGTCATTTATGTTTATTTCCCGTTCCGCGAATGTTTAAAACACCCGGCTCCTAAATATCTTCCCAACTCGTTGAGTTTCAAGTTCTTTGATGTTCTTAGACTCTTATAAAGCATTAGCTTGTATAGTATTACGCCTATTGTGCTTTGCTGTATTGTTAATAAAGGACCAGCACTATTTCCATGATCTTTTACCTACATTACTTTGGCGAATATAGATATAACCGTGCCAGTCTGACTCTCGATTTTACGGTAACTGCTTAGCACTTGAATAGCAACGAGAAGGTATTTCCTTCCTACTACATGCTTCAATCGAGGGTTGTAAGCGCCTCCTCTCGATCTACCATGATAAGGCGCATGTTGTCCAAGTTGTTACTGCACCAGCCAAAACTTTCAAACACCTACCGTTTACCAAGAATTCGTTAAAAATTGATGCTAAGTAAAGTCGTCTATCGCAAATGCTGATCCGGCTTGTTTAATATTTTAAATGCAGGGCAATTTAAATTCTTAATTAGGCTAGAGTCTTGAACTTACATTGGGCTTGGATGTTTTTACATTGTTGGATAAGTTGGAAGAAATTATCTATTCGCAGAATACGTAATGATATGTATTTTCTTGTTATCTGTCATTACTAATACAAATGAGATTGTGTCAATATTCGTTTCGCTGGTCTGAAAGAAGAGAACCGGCATGTCAGGAAAATTTTTTTTAGACTGGAGAAATTGTAGATGAGTTCTCTAACCATATCGACTAATATAAATTTTCGATTTATCAGTCAGGTCGTCGGCAGCGTGATGAGTATCGAAGATATCTTTGACAACTATCAGATGGTATTTTATCTTTTTGCTTTCTATTTGTTTTTTTTTTTTTTTTTTTTTTTTTTTTTTTTTTTTTTTTTTTTTTTTTGATTATATAGGTTCCGTATAATTTTTTACTTTACTTGCCGCTGGCCATTCCATTGGCTTCCTGCTTACTTAGGAGCTTTTTCTTGACTCGATGTCAGAACGACAGCTTTGGACAAATTGCCTGTGAATTTAAGATTTTCAAAAATATCGTTAATAATTGTTTATAAGCTTCGTGAGAAGCATGCTTTGTGTCTGTAATAATTACGTCCTGTTTGAATGATAATATTTGTCAGCGTACACCAGATGTAGAGCTTAAAGATGACTTTGCCTTGTTACGATCTGTATGTGTATATACTTTTTATAAAATAAACTGTGACTATTTTAAGGTCGGATATTCGAGTATATAAATAATTTGACGTTCTTGAAAGAAAACAAAAAACGTACATTTTCTAAGTATATATTTTTCGTATATTCCGTATAAGTGTATAGTTTTCATTTTTCAGATCTATATTTAAATTAAAAGGTGTAGCATAAATCATGGATCTTATAAAGCTATAAAGAATAACGTATTTATAAATCACGCATAAAGATTTTAAATATATAATACAAACTCTGAGAAAGAGAAATAAAATACTCTAATTTACATTCTTAATTTAATTATCTTATGCAAGTTTTTATTATATTGAATGTCTGGACGGTTATATTAAGTTTTTATAACGCCATGGATACTGGCACTTTTTATGCTAATCATACGTACTAACTTTGCAAAATTTTGTTGAATTTTACGTAAAAAATTGTATAAATTTGTCGTAAGTTGAATAAGAAAATCTATATTATAGGGAAAATATATGAAATCTGAAACAAAAGAAAAAAATTTAGAAATTTAAAAAAAAAAAAAAAATAAATAAAAGAAAAGAAAAAAAAAAGAAACGATGAAGGCAACAAAGAACTAAAAACGTTTTATCTTGTAATTGGCTGCTCGCATACTAATGATAACGAAATTTCTAATTGCAACATGCATTGATCAAATTCATTATTAATGCTTTGACTATAATGCGAAAGTATTATAAGAATTAAATATTCAAAAGTAAATTTGCCTTGGAGTTTTCAAAAAATATGAATAAAAATGGTACGTAAGTACCGAATGCGCTCAGGCGTAATTTGCTATATAATTATACAGCATAAAGTTGCCTGGAACATTTTCCTCCTCGTTTGATGTATACTTTAATTCAATAAACAAAAATAATAATATTCAATTATGTTAGTAGCTTGTCACATCACTAATTATTACATGGGCAAATTTGCTTATTGTAAAAATGCAAAAATTCTCGCGGGATTAATTTTTTATTTCATTCCTACAAGTCTTTACAGAGTTTCTATTTATATGCACTTATAAATTATTCGATAAAGTTTAAAATTTTTTGTTGTTGTTGTTGTTTATTTTTTTCTTCTTCATTCATTTTATGTCCATTTTACAACATTCGATTAAAATATATTAATAGGACGGTGAACGTGGATACCTAGAAGGATTAGCATCGCGATATGCAGACCTTTTGAGAACACATTATGGCGATGTTCTTGAGCCCCTCGAAGAGTTACGACGCCGTGAAACAAATACGTCTCCCAGAATGTCTAATACTCAACTCACTACAAGTCACTCGCAGCCTATTTACATTCCTGGAAAATATTCGGTAAGCTACTATTTTGCATTGCAAACAATTTTAACTTTTCGCGCACCATTTGCTTTATGCCTCAACCTACATTGATTATTTGTTCTGTAGTTTTGTAAAAGACTATTCAATTATGTCAATAATAAAGTAAATAATGGCACTTTTAAATGGAAAGTTGTAATTGTTTGTTTTTTTTCGAAAAAGATTTTTTTTTCGAAAAAGAATGAGACGATAATTTAAAATAAATATTATCCATCTGCGATTTTATTAATAAGATCGATTTGAAGCTTCGAGATGATTGATATATTAATCAGAATTTGTTATCGGTTTCGTATTATGACATGATACGAGTGAAGTAATTGAGATTCGGCACTGCCGACGGCATTAGAAATTTAATACATGCAATAAAAATAAAAATAATCTAGATTTTCAACCACAGTATGACAGAATGTTAGAGCATAAGAGAATTTATTTACGCATTTATTGCCTTCAATAAATGAGTGCCTAAATTATAATATTTAGAGAAACACAGTGGATGCAAAATATTATAGAGAACTGAAGAGAGAAAAAACATGGAAAAGAGTCAGTTTAATGATAATATATTTCCAAAAACAAAAACAAAACAGTAGGAAATAAGCCGAAAAAAGAGAGACAAATACAGGAATAATTGTCCAGAATTTCAAGCGGGATTACGGAAAAAAATATTTAGAAAACCAAAGGATTTTGTAGGAAAAATGCAAACAAGATGTTTACAGGACTTCGCTTGCATAATATGTATAACGATAAATATTAAAAGTCACGGAAAAGAGATAGATTTATTAGTATTAGCAAAAATTAAGAAAACAGAAGAGTTTTATAGGACTACCCATGACAATATTTGTTTATGTTGTAGAATTTTAAATTCTGGTACATCGATATGGATTTATATATTTTCTTCTTACAAATTATATCGCATATTCTTCATACCAAGTTCTAAATAAATTTTTAAATAAAAATCAATATGATAAGTATTATGTTATTATATTATTATGATAATATGAAGTGATGTAATGATTAATTAAGTATAAATCAGTATAGCTAAGAGAATGAAAAATCATAGTTTTTGAAAATACAACTCTTTACGAAATCAATTGTTATGCTAAAATAGTAATACACAACTCAAAAATACTCAATTATCTTTTGGAAATTCAATATTTTTAATATTTAAAAATCTGTTTTTTTTTTTTTTTTTTTTTTTTTTTTTTTTTTTTTTTTTTTTTAAATACGATTAAACTCGTAAATTATCTTTGCACTTAAATAGAGAAAAAGTTTCGTTTAAATAATTAATTCAAATGTACGATTTACTTTATTAAGTTTTTATTTTTTTTAATCATCCAGAATTAAATCCATATTAAATATAATTTTATTTTTTCGAATTATTGTGTATGTTTTAATGAGAATTGCTTTTTATGAGAATGTGAGAGTTCTTATTTTCGATAGTATAATAACATTAATATATAATTGATTATTATACCGGACGTTTTATTATGAATATCGTAAATCCATGATGAAACTGACAATTGTCACGACTTAATTATTATGCAACAATATTTGATAATAATTGTTATTAAGATTATTAATAATCAGTTGTTTGTTTTTTTATCAACAGCCATCGAGTTGCTTAAGTGATAAAGAAGAAGATGAAATCTACGGTTTTGGATATGGAGTTTTTGGTCGTCAAATGTTACAACAAAGACAACAAAAGCTTGCGCTGGTCACACAAAACATGGCATTGACTAATAGTAACGTTCACCAGCAACAATCTGTTTACCAGAGGTGAGATTAAATATTTAATTATTTTTATTAATTTTTTTATTAATAAAAATCTTTACTCATATTTAATATTACATCTTGTCTCATATTCTCGTATAAGCGTACCAACGTAATTAATATATTTTGAATGTGCGTAAACTATTTCGACTAATGAAACTGTCCAATTGCCCATATCGATTTAATAAACGAAAAATTAATACAACTCTGTGCGAATGATCGGTAACTAAAATTTTATTTAATATTTTGATTATGCAATTGTCGTTATGTGCTGATTCTGTGTTGTATTAACTGAAGTGACAAAGTTAAGTTGTATACTCATATACGTAGATCGGAAAATAAAGAAATTGCTCGATCGAGAATAAATAACCTTATTTAATTACATTAGTTGGACGTAACAGAGATACAACTTCGCCGTATATCATGTATCGTCTATATTTGTATTACTTTCTTATCTATCATTGGCACACGGCTCCGACGTCTTGACTTCTGCTTTTGGCGATGGCTACGTTGGAATCTCTTTGTCCCATTCTGCCAATGGTTACTGCTCGAGTGCTGCCCCAATAGTCTCCATTTCTTCGTCGACTTTTCATTGAAGATGAAATCTAACCGCTTTTCGCTCGACATTCAGCTCATTTATACTTACCGTCTCTAATATTCTTGCTAATATATAAGGAATATATATATATATATATATATATATATATATATATATATATATATTTATATATATGGCGTTTAGCTGCGCCAGCCAACATTTAATATTACTAGCTATTCACCGTCCTATATTTCCGTATTCTTGAATTGTTAATTCCCTATTGCACTTCACTTCGATGAAGCGTAACTAGAATCGTACTTTCCGTTCATTTTATTCGCACGCCCTCAAGTATTCACGAAACAATTTTCATTGCATCTATAACATTATATATATATATTGTAATTTATAAAATTAATAAACTTATGAAAGTATCCGATACATTTTTAAGTATTATTTCTCATATTATTTCTATCGCACAATCGTCTATAACGAGCAATTAAAGCCAATTTTAATTCGAAATTAATATAATTCAAATTAATTTTTTAGTCTTATCGCTCGAGGTCACGTTTAAAATTTATAATTATCAGATCTACATCTCAATTGTTCTATAAGAGAATTTCAGATCAAAGAATAGTTTATTTCATAAATTTTATATCCAATTTTATGTATTACATATATAAGTATTATATATTAATATAAACTCAAGTTGAATAAAAAATAGTTGAATATTTTTTAAGGGTTATTCACGCGTTCGTTTTATAATATATTGAAATAAATTATTCAGAGAAATACGTTTACAAAAGTTTGCATACGCCAGAGCTACAAGTATAGGTGAATTTTATAAAAATATAGGAGCCTTTTTATCTCTAATGTTAAAAACATAAATAAAATTTCCTACTTTCTCGTATTTTTTGCCAAGGATAGCGAATAGTGTAAACCTTTTTTATTTTTTGGTCCTCGATTTACGAAGTCTCTTCGTATTCATAAGTTTTAATAAGTCTTGCTATTCATACTTGGTGGGTATCGTATTAGTAAAAATCTTATTTAATATAATCTTAATATGCAAGATGTTTATTGTTATAAAAATTTCACAAACTTTACGTAGCTGTAATATAAAAAAAAAGCTATCTTCAATACCTTTATTTAACATATTCCAGAAGTGTATTTATAAGAATGTAACTAAAACTTTCAACTTCAAATATGATCGAACACTATCTATGCATATTTTTAGCAATTTTCTTTGTAACAGATTTATTATTTTAATATTAAATACTTTTATGAATCTAGTTCAAGTTAAGCTAGGTAATTAAAAAGTTTTTCTTAAACTTGGCAGGATAGTTATATTGTCTGTATTATTCATTTTTTAAACTCAAGTAATATATATTTTACCATTACGGCTTTTATTGTATTCGCAAATTTTTTTTATTATAAAACTGTAAAATATTTTAATATTTATTATGTTATTCACTATTATAATTTTTTCTTTTTTACATTTCAAAGTCATGTTTTTATTAGATTTTTATATTCATATTTTCACGGATTTCAGTTTGAGCGAATAATCATTCGTATCGATATCATTCTTAATATTTATATTAGTTTGAAATTACTCGTTTCATATAACTATTCATATAACTATTCGTATAACTTTTATTATGCAATTTGATGTAAAATAGGATCAATCTGACACATTTAAATTAAACTCCAAACTTTCGTGTTTCGATTTTTTAGTTTTTTTTTTTTTAAATAAAACAAAATATTTACAACATTCTATTGCTGTTATATCGCGCAATATTTTACGTTGAGCTCCAATAATTTAGCAAATACATGAAACAAGGACAAAATAAAGTGATTACTTTCTATATATAATAAAAACGACATACACCTTTTATTTGTCAAAAGGGACATTTTATTTTGCATGATAATTATAATAATAAAATAAAAGCTTCGATACATTTTATCTATATATATTTTACAAACAAATATGCTTTGTATCCGTTTATATATGTATATATATATATATATATATATATATATATATATATAATATATATATCACATTAGACTGCACAACTACTCCCTATCCTTCCTTAGAATCTTTATTTTTACATAATTAAATGTCAAATTCGGATTCTCATGAGTTTTGCACTTTTAAAAGCTATCATCTTGTAATCAATCGTTTATAAATTTGAAAGTACATTTAATTTTTTCACATATTATCATATATATATATATATATATATATATATATAATACAAAACATTTTTACCTAATGTAGGCCGATCAAATAATTATTAAAAACCCTTCTCGTTATAAAAGCTGGGTAGACTGATGGACACCTTTGTGTCTTTAAGCATACAATATTGCAGTTCTTATCAGTATGTTTACACAACACTCTCCTTTTAGTTTAGCTACCACTACCCGGAAGACTTACAGGTTGTCCGGGTCTCTGAAATCTAGCACACAGCCTTTCTCCATTTTGCCTTCCGCTCCATAAGCTACATTTTATAGCTTTTACATACTTTCTCACAGTTTATCAATTGTGTGAACATATTTCCTAGTTTTGTGAATATTAAATTATTATAAAAGAATGTCTTCCTATAATTCATAATATATGCATGCAAATGTATATTCACTAAAAATTAAAATAATTATAAAAATTATTTAACCGTTACATCAAATATTTTGCATTAATATATAATTATTTCACTCTTTAATGGATTTTGCATTTTAATAATTTTAAAAATCTTGCGAATATTATTTATAATTATTTTTAAGTTAGAAACAATCTTACTGAAATTTATAATTGTTATAAAACGTCATACTAACGATATATTATTGTAAAAGAGAATATTTATTTATGTTATTATAAATTAAAGTTTTTGCTATGTAGGTTAATTATTAGATGCATCAATGTTAAAAAGTTTTTGTGCACAGACTATATGTAATTAAAAATGATTTGTTTCAGTTGTTTGAGTCCAAGGTCCGCATTTTTTTACGAGTTTCCGCCCAATGGTACGTTTTTATAAATAAAATAAAAAATAAAAATGCTCTTACCATACCTGAAAATTCCATACTTATAATTCGTTAAAAATATTATTCGCCGTATTTTACCTTAAAAACATTAATTGTCAATAAAATTAGTGATTGATAAAATTCATGATTGATATATTATTTTATTAATACAAAAATTAATACATTATTATTTTATCGTTTATATATGTAAATAAATACCATTATATTCTTCAAGTAATTATTTTTATTAAAATATACATTGTGAAGTTATTTAAAAATTGTACGGCAATTAATTATTTTGAAACGTTTAATATACAAATATGTGATTTTAGTATTCCCATAATTACAAATATAAATATTTAGTAATTAATTTGATTTAATGTCTTATAAACTTGGAAAAATAACAAATCTATTTAAATTCTTATCGAAAATTTAAAACTAATCTTGTAAATTATTAAACGTGTTTTTATCTTCGGTTGTTTTTTCTGTTTTGTTATTATAATTATTGGAATTACAAGAGGTAACAAAATACATGTTAGGAATAATATATTTCCTTCTTTCAAAAATATAATATTCTTTAAATATTTAACTTTAGAACAAGGACAAAATACGAGTAAGAAGAAAACAACGTTTTCAAGGATTTTAAGAGGTTTAAAGACACATCGAAAAGAAAAACATGGCCAAGTACATAATTCACCTCGTCATCAATTACCCCGAATGGGTGTACCACAACGAGTAAGAGTAATTTTTATATTACAATTATGTAAATTATAAACTCTTTTTAATCTCTTATAATAGAGTATAAAAAAAAAACTTTTCTCTCTATCGATGAATAAAGAAATATTAGTTTATTGGTATGGTAAAAGTGTGCTACATATAAAGTAATCTATCTGTATTCTATCTATTTTTGCAAGAAATTTAGCATATATTTATAAAATGAACTCATCAATTGTATTGGCATTGAAAATCTAATAAAATAAAAGTTTTTGTTTTACAATACAAGGATATTATTAGATTACTAAAATTAAATTAATTATAAAAGAAGATAAAATGTGCTATATAGACAGAGGCGTAAATCTGCATAGAGATATCGAATGTTGAACCATGAAAAGGAAAAAATTCTGATTTAAAGCAGTACGAGTGATACAACGCGCTCACAGATTACTAATAGACTCTACGTCAGCATTGTTGCCGAGAATTATTAATACTGATTACAAAGTAAGAAGATTAAGTTCTCGAGTATCGTTGATCGAGAGATCAGCAATATCTCAAAAGTAGAAATGGGATTGAGTTTCCTCATAATCAATCTCTTGATGTCGGCCCAGCAAATTCACATTAATTTTGGAATGCTGAGGCAAGGGATTATTAAATAAAAAACAATACATTTATGACTAGTTAAGTACTGAGGATGGCAAAAAAAAATTCTTGTAAATTTATAATTAATATTTATATTCAATTGGATTACATTCATTAAATATATAAAGTGCATTACTAACTTTGTCGTTGAGTCGAGTAGAAAAGGGTAGACGAGAAAAGGCCAGACCGATGCTTTTTTCGGCGCATTTCTCGTTTTTAGAAAAAAGCAGAGTTTGTCCCACGGTTTCAGCTGCCGAATCGAGTGCACTCAAACCCAAACCCCACGTTTCTCAATTGAAGATCATCCTACTGCAAATATAATGAGAGTCGTAAGAGTTGGAACTCATTACAGAAATATATTTACGTACATAATGTTTTGATTTTTTTTTTCAGTCTGAATTCTTATGGTAGTCTAAAATTTTCAAGTAAATGTAGAATAATCGAGTTTTTACGGCGATAAATAAAACAAAAACAAAAACAAAAACTTAAAAAAAAAAAACAAAAAAACAATACTTACAATACAATATTTAGTTCATTTTTGCAAAAGAGAAAGAGTAAAATGTTTGTTTTAAGGCTATAAGTTGAAAATGGCTGAAATATAGAAGTTTCTAATATTGCAACAATAAGAATTCTATAAATTTTATGTATTTAGATGTTTAAAAGGGAAACTTTTAATTAAAATGAATAAACAATCATATTTGATTTACATACTTATGGAATTGTTGAAAACCGACTATTTCCTATTCTGCAGGTATCGCTTTTCAAATAAAAATTTGTAATCAATCTGTTCAATTCGTTTAATGAAAATATTGCTAAATTGGCTTCGAGTTAGTTCTTAAGCCATTATTTTCTCAATAGAGTAGTAATATTTTAAATATACGATATATAATGTTCAAAATATACAATATTTCAAAACAATACTCTTTGTTTAATGAGACAATGAGAAATCTTATACTACAGTTTATTTACTATTATAAAATATCATTGTCTTATAATAATGTAATTTTATTCAATGAATATAATTAAAAATTCTCATATACTCAATATATCATATATATTAAGGATATCTCCTAATTTACAATCCCATAGACTTATAATTTATTTTAATATTAAAATTCAATTATATCCAAATATTATGTTCTATTAAATTTAACAATAATAATTTTAAAATAAACCTGCCTCAATTTTACACACATTCTTACGTACTTTAACAGGTTGATACACCGGATAGCGTTTTACAAAGCGGCCTCGGGATAACTTCGGATGTGGGACACACTGTGCTGCGTTCAATGGTTGATCCTCGTGATTACGATCGAGTCAAATATCTGCAAACAAATGGAGGCCCAACTAACAGTTTTGAAGAAACCATACATAGGGTATAATTATTTTATATTTCTTTTTATTCGGTAATTTGCATTTAAAAGCTTTTTCTTTTAACCTGATGATAAACATAATGCTTATGTTTATATAATTAATCTTGCAATTGCGTCTTCCAAAAGCATGAGATGAAAATTAAGAATCAACAAACATTAAATATTCGTTCTAAAATAATAAATGAAAATGAATTATAATTATTTTTAAACACGATAGAATTCAGTTGAACTATAATATTTTATATTGATTATTAGCACGTGTATTATCGCTTGTAGAATAGAATTTCCTTTAGGATTACAATTAACATTTAATTAAACATATTTAAATTAATAGACAACATTGATATTCGTGAGCTTTAAGTGAAGTAATAATATTTAGGATTATATTTTTTAATGATCTGAAATATTTCATTAATAACAATGTTTATTTGTAGTTGAAAGTGCAGGAAGCAATGAAGAAAAAAGAGCGATTCAACAAAGAGCATGAGCAGGTGGGTTATAATATATTCCCTACGATACTTATCATTCAAATTTTTAATTATATATATATATATATATATATATATTTATTTTTTTGTTGTTGTTGCTAGACAATTATAACAATTGCTTTGAAAATACCAATTATCCTTTAGATCTTTAATAAATATATTAATTTGAACGTTTTTGATAAGCTTTTGAAAAGCTGAATCTTAGGTTTTTCTACATTTGCCTAAAGAGTTTTGAAAATTAAGGATTTAAATTAACATGTGCAGTTAAAAGTAATTACAAATAATTTTACATTTTCTTATAAATTCAAATATTTTCTATAAAAATTGTGTAAGATCAACCTGCTTAGAGAGTATTTTTTAAATATATTTTAAATATTATTTATGAAGTATAAATTAAAAAGCTCGTTAGCACTGATGAATGGAAAATTTACTCTGCTAAAGTAGCGTTGATCAATTTTTTATTATTTAAATATTTAATAAGCGTATAATTCTAAAAAATTGGTATATAGTTTTTAGTATATAGCCTTTACTAGTACAATATTAAAACCCCTTATAAATAATAGAGATAATAACGAATTATACATAATTTTATTTTCCCTTCCGTAATAACTTTTTTAGAATAACATATTAAAAAATATTTTAGAGTAAGTTAAGAAAGTTGTATAATTTATTTAATAGCTACTTATATAATGCCCGAAAAAATTTGTGAAAATACTTATGCTAAAATATTGTAGTTACCAAACTTTAATAACAACATATCTGATTATTACAAAAAAAATATTTTCTTTAACCTCGAATTGTGCAACAGGTATTTATTACAAATTATTTATGCAGTATAATGTTTCAAATTTTTATATACTTATATTGTAGATGATCCCTTTTGTTTGTCTTTATATCTACAAGCGTGCATGTGTGCGCATATTTGTGAGCTACCATTAGTATAAAAAATAGTTGTTTAAGTTTATAGATGAAGTAGAATCTTTCTGAGCGAAGTGCTGAGAATTAAAATTAAATTTGTACGAGTTCAACATCATAGATGTGTTTCTCATTATTTTATAATGAATATTTCGAAACTGATAATAACAATTATTAAACATAATTTAAATTTCGGAGAACAAAGTTATTTTTAATTCATACAAAAAAAAAAAAAAAAAAAAAAAAAAAAAAAAAAAAAAAAAAAAAAAGAGGTAAAACTGGTTTGCCTATTAGAATAATATGTAAAGATAAAAATTTTCATTTAATTAAACTTTATATCGTGTTACTTATAATTTATAGACAAGTTATTTGTGGGAAATACCGATACCTTCGAAAATACTTATACAGTCATTCTCGTATTATGAATACTCCACATTATTCGTTATATTTTTATAATTTTATTTTTGATTTTTCAACTTGCGGTCATCTTGGATCATTTTTTCGAAGGAAAATAATGTTTAATAAAAGATAAAAGTCAAGCAAATGACTTTTACTATTTTGAAAGGCTTGGTACGACATTTTTCTGCTTACTATTCACAATTCATAAAAAAAATTAATCGTTATAATATACACATGTGATAAGATCTTTCGTGTTAAGATAGAGAGTCTCAGCACGTGATGAATATACTATTGAGAAAAAAGAGTGTTAAGGACTAATGTATAAAAATTTAGCCGGGGAACTTATTTTTCAGCAGTATTATTTTTCATATTTAGTGACGACCACGAGAAGGCCAAACTTGAAATACCCATACACTGTGATGAATACGCTTAATAAATTGTCGTATTTCCGTAGGCTTTGTGAAATATTGGAATTGCCTACTGAGTTTGAATATTCATTTCGTAAGTTATGCAAATTAACTTATACAGATAACGTATTTTCAATGAATTCGTGTCCAAGTGATTTACTGCAAATAACAACGTTGATACCTAGTTTCATTTAATTATTCAAATGAGCGAACGAATAAAAATACAAGTGTATATGTGCCTTAAAGTCTAGTCTGTGTAGAAGAGAGTTTTAGTGATGTGTATAAAGTTTTAATAGAAAGAACCGTTAGCTGAAGTGCTAATTCAAGCACTTCTTTATTGCTGCTCCATTAAGTTAATCAAATAAGAAAACGACGACTACGAAATTCCTTGACTACGAAGCTCTATTTTGTGCCATAAGATACGCCATCATTTCCTTCCACACCTGTCATTCGAATTAAGGTAAGCTTCATCTAATTAATAAAAGAAATGTAATTTAACAGTCAAGTTATCCAATTGTATAGTAGACTTATGCATGGTAATTAGATTTATCGCTCTTTATTTTTTCTTTATTTACGATAAGAGTTTTTTTCTATTATATATAAAAACAAAACAAAAAACAAAACGAAAAACAAACAAACAAAAAAAAATACAGTATTAACAGCTTATTGAATAAAGATTAGACAAGGCATTTTTACTTCAATTATGATTTATATATAATAATGATGCATACACTTAAATAGCTGATACTCTGATCTTATTACAAATCAAGTATTGTTAACCAATTTTAGTTCATTAGTATCCTTTATCTCGAGTTTTCTTCATAATATTATTATATTTTGTATTTGCAAAGAAATTCATCATATAGTTTAAATATTCATTTAGATTTATGGTAAATACATATCGATGAAAAATGAAAAGATAAATTAGATTAAACACCTCACATAAATCAATTATAAAACAACTTGAGCTTGTGTTATATCAACAAACAATGTAAAAATTATGTATATCATAATAACGTTCTCTATTTGAATTTTCTTAAGTAAGTTTAACTACAAAATTAGGTAAAAGCAATTAGAATTAATTAGAATTATATTATTAATTGCTTATAATTCTTTTAATTTGCTGTTACATGTTTTTCATCATAGTATCGAGTGATATTTAACGTATAATTTTAATTATACGTTATTTAACGCCGGTTATTTTATTAAACTAAATGATTGCCATAGTTATACAAAATTCTTAATTATTGGACCATCCCTAATTTAGAAGTACGTTAGTTTGTTAATCCATTCCACAATATGTGCACTATTTATATAATAAATGCAGTGGAAATGCTAATATGTATATAAAATTAAAATATTGCAACTTTAGATAAAAATTTACTCTCAAATTACCTCTGCACAGTAATTGTATTTCTACACTATTTATCTACAGTTTATTCTCTTTAATGCTTCGAGCAACAAATAAAAAGATACAAGTGGCAAGAATAAATTAAATAAAAAGAAAGATAACGCGAAAGAGAGTTTTAACGAGCATGAGCTTAGAGAAAATGTTTTTACCTATTTTGGGTATTGGTTGGAGTGTTGTTCCCTAGAAATATAACATCGATGATTTCCATGACTCATGTGCTATTTCATAAATTTTAACATTGACAGTATTTAAGCCTATCGATGTACATGTTAATCGATAATAGAGACTATTACCGCGATTGCGTGTATGCGAATATGCATTTATGCACACCTATATGAAAGAGAATAAAGTGTATGTTTATTGTACTAATGTGTACGCTAGGCGTAAATTTTATAAGATTTTAGCTTATTAGTAATTGTAAAATATTTTCGCACAGCCATGGCCACCGGAAATTCATAATGTAACGAATTAGATTTAATAAATACGCTTTTATTGCACTTCCATAAAATTAATGATTGTATATATATTTATATAGAAATAACACGTATTAGCACTTTCGTAATTAACTGGTCATTGGAGCTACATGTTTATAATCAGTGTGCGCTTAGCGAGTGTTAAAAGCACTTATTAAGTACATACAGTTACTCTGTGTGTGCGTAACGTTAGCAATATACATGACATATCAGTTAAGACAATAGCTAAAACTTAAAAAAAAAAAAAAAAAAAAAAAAAAAAAAAAAAAAGATGATTGTATATTCAACAAATATATATATTCCATTTAATTTATGCATTTAATTAATGTGGTTGTTATTTCTTTTTCATTTCTTTTTGCATCTGTAGATAAATAATTAACGATAAATAATTAACCATAAATATTATGATAGCTGGTTATAAAAAAATAATATTTCTGTAAATACAAATTTCATAATACGAAATCATCATCAATTATTCAATAAAATCGATTTTTTATATTTCTTAAGATTGATAAGACGCAAAATCATATACGTATAGGTGTGCATGTAAAATTTGCCACCTAAAATTCGCCTTTCAATAGCTATTTCTATTCTGTTTGTACATTCTGTTCAATCAAGTTCAGACATTTCAATTTTCATATTGATTGTGCTCTTTTAAATAAAAGCGCGAATTGAATAATAATTGTTTCGGCATCCAAATGCCCTTCGTGTAAGGGCCAAATGATTCGAGAAAACAGATGCTTCTTTCGATTTATTGAAATTAATATATTATAAATACTAGCATTGATATTCTATGAATTAATTTTGGAAATTATCTTACGATCACGATTATTCCATCGGCTGAAATAGAGTAGTAAATTATAATAACTTTTGCACTATAAAACACACTAGTCATAGACGAATACCATCACACGTATATAAAAGCTGATGCAGGCACCTTTATATTATCATTATATGGGCTGTGTATACTTTGGGTAGTAGCAATTAGATTATTATTTACATTTTACTTGTAAATATTCTGGCATAAAATGTACATTATTCTAGTTGTTCGCTTAAGTCATCGATAACGAAGAAGAGGAGCAAGGGAAAGGAACAAGAAATCTAGAAGTAGCGAGACTTTTGTTCTTTTTTTTCATAGTTGCTTTTCTGTGTACTTGGAAGAGGTAAAGCACCTTCTGCAGAGTTTCATTATTCGTTCGCTGATATGTAGACGTAAATGCCGCGAGTTGTTTTTTCAATGTATGCGTGTGTGTTTGTTTGTGAGTGTGTGTAAGTGCTGTACGTGCGCGAACGAACGAACAACGCTTGCCAAGCCTGAGAGAAGTTTAGTTGAATGTAACTGCTATGAGAAAAGATTTACCTAGTCAAACATAAAGAATGAAAGAGAGAAAGGGAGAGAGAGAAAGAAGAGAAGAGAAGAGAAGAGGGAGAGAGAGAGAGAGAGAGAGAGAGAGAGAGAGAGAGAGAGAGAGAGAAAAGTGAGAGAGAAGAGAGAGAAAGAGAAGGAAATGCGAAAGCCAACAAATATGAATGTAAAAGGGATGAAACATATAATCAGATATCAAATAAACAAAATGAATATTGCGATTAAACCTTGCACTTATTATTATTATTTTATTGATTAATTCCATGTCACTAGAGTAATGTTATTTTTATAAAAATGTTAACGAAAAGTAATCTTGTCCAGTAAATTATGTTCATAGTATATTTCATTTGAACTGTCTTTTACATTTTTCTATTAAAAGCACCAGATTTTTCTCATAAAAAAAAGTACTTTTTAATATTCTAATCAAATGTTGATAGATAATATTACTGTGAATACTACTTGTTTATTTAGTGTTTTATTACATTTTTAATTTAAATTATTAATTTTAATTTTTCCTGTATTAAAAATCAAGGAAATTCTTTGTAAAGGTACAAAATAAATATGATACTGTAAAATTACTTACGACTTTGTATATTAAATGTAAATAAAAGTATATTATGTCTTTGTGTATGTATGCCTGCGTGTATAAAATCATAATTTGCTATCTACAAGTTTTTATAATAAATGTGATACATGGGCATATATATAAGTAGGAATCTATAATTAAACACAAGATAATCAAATATTATCATGTGCAATAGCTAAATGTAATCTAATCATTTATGATTGCATTAGTTTTATTCTATTAATATTAATTAAATTAATTGATTCACAGATAAGGAAGATATTTACAATTTTCAGATATATTAAAAAAAGATTTATTATTAAATTTTCGAATATAGGCTAGCTTATAATAATAGTATGGAGCATATATTATTATTATGGAATAACAATATAGTATGTGTAGTTTACGCGATAATGTCCGTAAACCTACAGAAATATATAATCTTTGTATTATAGTTCGGTGTTAAATACCTTCGGAATTACCATCGATTATACATTTCATTGTATTTGTTAATGTTGTTAATGAATACTCCATCGGGAACTACGTAAATTATTATATAATTTAATTTTTAGTTATGTAGGATACATTCTTTTCAAAATTCTAGATATTTGTACATAATGTACCACATCAGTTGAATAGAAGTAAAATTGAGGATTAATATAGATTAATTAATGTAGGATAAATTATGATATTTAAAAAATAATATGAAAAAACTTTTAAATATCGATGGAATTACAAAAATATGATTAAACATTAAAATTCAAATATTCACAATAATGCATCAAAGTAATTAATTGAATTTTCCAAAAAAAAAAAAAAAAAAAAAAAAACATTTTCCATCCTTTTCCCATTTAATAAAACGCTTTACAAAGCTTTTTCAAAGATTATCAAACATTATTATTAAATGGAGCTGAACTTTTAAACTTGTCTCTCTTTTTTATTGGAGTGAATTATTACGCGTGAAAAATGTTCTGTAAATAATTATTAAATATCACAAATCACTACTTTAAACATATTTTACGTATATTAACTCAAAGAGTAAAAAACACACGCACACATATACATCCTTTATACTCAACTTTTCCAATAAAATATTGTATACTCGTCTATTTGAGAGTTGAAAAGTTTGATTATTCTCGTATTCAAATTTTTCATTAGTAGTAAATTAAATTTTAATGTTAATAAAACTCTCCGTTTATCCAATTTGACTTTGTCTTATATAATCTTTTGTTTTATAGATTTAACACGAATCGTAATAGTTGTGTTGTGTAAGTCTTTTTCTGCTATTCGTATTGATTTAATTACCAAAGTAGATTTGTCAACCAGGGCTTATACTACTTTATACTACTTTTATATTACTTTACTATTAGGGTTTCATTGAATTGTTATATTTTTCAACCGTCCATAATATGTAATGCAATATTTTAATTAAATTTTATTTTAAAATATAACTTATTTTACGCAATAAAATTTCAATACAATAAAATATTTTATTTGCAATTAATGATTTAATATTGTAGGTATCTGACATTTTTTCATTTAAATATTATAATGATATTTAATATATTGACATGTATTGTAATATTATAATGTATTTGTATTTATTATGCATATATATGTGTAATATTATATACCTTTATTTTATACATATTTATATGGGAACAAATTAATTTTTATATTTTAAATAATGTTACATACATTTCATAATTATACAGCCATAACAATAATAAATTTTAAAAGTGTCTTGATAAAGAAAACGATAAATTAAAATAATATTTTTATTTTATATAAAATGATTTTACTTCTTACAGTTACTACTCGACCGATTGTGAATTTTGTTTAAATTTCATTATTCTATAAAATATCGATATTATAAACCTGACGATAGGAACTATTCTAAATACATATCTAATTGGAAATTTTGATAAAAATACAATAATATATATTACATATTGTTTTAGGAAGGTAAGCATGGAGTCAAATTGCTAAATGCAGCAGACAATGCTGCTAAAATGAAAGGTGCCATCGCTTTACTCCTGGGAAGGCATACTTCAGAGACGAATGTATGTAAACTAATTAACTGTATACAAAATAAATACTAGAACCCAAAAATTTAATAATACATTTGTTACAAATTATGCTGTCTGTTTTTCACCTTTATAACTATAAAATGAAAATATTTGTTCCGATAATGGAAAAGGAATGGTACGATCGATTATTCAATCATTATTTAAGAAAATCTTGATGTAAATTATTATAATGCCGAGTTACGTACTATACACGTATATGTAATGTAATGGATCTTTGAGATTTGTCTTTATTTCTTGATGGTTACCCGAGTGAAGAGCGCCGACCCATTGTTCCCAACTGTTCCATTACGCAAATTCTTTATGGAGCTCCAATTCTTCGCAACACTTATGCGGAGTAACTCGTTCCATTTGCACTTGCACATGTAACTCCGACCAGTCATTTTACACAATACCGAAAGACTCGAGTGATTTCCACAGCAGTTTTCAGGAAAAATATTCTTAACAGCATACAAAATTAAAACTATAGGAATAAATACCTGAACTCATTTATGTATGTTAAACATTAATAATAACTTATAAATTAAAGTATTGTTACACGTGTATGCTTTAAAAATTTACACATGAAATTTTTACGTACGTATGCACACATATAACAAGTAAAAAATCCTTTTGTAATGAGAAAATATAAGACCAAATGTATTTGAATGAAATTATCAACTTTTCGTAAAATACTTTTTAATATGTTAAAAATTAAAATAAAGTAATAACTGAGCAAATTGTGACAATTTTATTCGAGGAATGTAAACATATATTATGTAAGTATAAATAGGAATACATGCAACGTATAATATTTTTAACCTAATTCTATATATTAATTATTTTTTTATATATAGATTTCGTCACTGCGCACCTCATTTTAATACATTATTTACTTTATTGTACATTATTAACCACTTTGTAAATTAAGAGTATATATTTACTGATAAATAACAAATTGCATAACAACTAATGCTCTTGTTTGAATAATAAAATAACTGATGCATTAATTGTTGGGAGTCATAAATAATGTGTCTCTATAAAATAATAATGCCGAATATTAAATAAGGAAACTGTAACTTTGTATATTCATAACGTGAACAATTATATTATTAATGTATCGAATACTATATCATATATAAATTAAAACTTTAAATGATTATAATTGACTGTAAAACACGTGATAATTTTAGATGAAAACAAATTTTGCTGACTAAACGTCATTTTGACCAATTCTTTCTTACGTATACAATTTTTCTTTCAAGCGTTTTAAAAACATATTTTAAAAATCATTTATTTAAAGTGATAGAATAACTGTTTAAGTACAATTTTTAATTTCGTCATTTAATAAAAAATGTAAATTCTCTGTATAATTGTTAAATATACATAGGTGTCTGAATTAATATTTATACTAATATTATATTCTTTTTATATTGTTTGTTTTTAAACTACTTTAAATAGACGTTGTCTATCATTAATTTCTAAAACATATGTCACCGAAATTTATTTTTCAAATTATTTACAAATCTGCACGATCATACATTTTTTAAATTATAAACGAAATGGCATAACAGAAATTTATGTTAATAATTAATGAAATTATTAATTAAATAAAACAATTTCAAATGATTATTTTGTTAGTAAGTTTAAAAATATTCTTTTCTACTGGAAAACATTGCATCCTTATGGTTTAAATAAAATTTAGTGAAAAAATAAAAATTTATTTTTATTGAAGATTCTACGGGACATCCGGCAAGGATTAATGCAGTTAGGGCGAGATGGTCAAGGACAATATCCAGGAGGTAAATAATTAAAATTTCCCTTTCACTACCATTGAATGTAATAAAAATGACAAAATATTTTCATTATAGTCTATTATTACATGATTTCAAGTTAAGAAAAAAAAAACAAAAAAAACAAAAAAAAAACAAAAAAAAAAAAAAAAAATGTCAACATTATTTTGCAAACTTATTTAAGAATCAAGTTATAAGAAATGCTAATTAAAATGAATAAACTTATTAAATAAAATATAGTAGATTATAAATCGTATTCTCAAATTTATTATGAAATTATCGAAAGGCATTTATTAATGAAGAAAATTTCTGCAAAAAGAAGCGATTGTCCCATATGTAATTCGCAGTTATTATATATTTATGAACCTTTATAATTAGAATAATCTCGTTATCCGTTAGTTATAACCGCGTAAAGGATTATGAAAATATATAGACATAACTTTTTTCTATTTCTATCTTGTTGAAGTATACCCATTATTATATTTGAAAATCTTAATTCATTTTTCTTCGGATAAAAATTAAAATGAATGTTCGAGTTTAAATTTAATTGCTTTGAAGATATACGAAAACTTAGTTCCAAATACCATTCTTAAAGGATTATAAAGAAGTACAACAATTATTGTCGCTTGTAAATAGATTGATAAAAATATTGTGCAAGCTTAAGTTATTTGGACTGACACGCAGTGGCTCGGGTAGCAGCATATTTTTCACTTTATTAATGAAGATATTTATCATGACATATTATGTTTGGCTTCAAATATATAAATAATTGTTCGAATGGAAAATCTTGTACTCATGGATAATCTGAAAAATACTATAAACGATAAAGTCCCTATATATTTTATAAAAAAAATTCATTGTAATATTAGAATATTGTAAGCGAATTATGTATTTCATTAATAGATGATACATACATGTACGACGAAGAGGCAAGATGCGGAGACTTAAGAACATTAGAAGTGGTAGGTGGAGGAATCCAACACTGGTACGATGAACCTCCATATGAATCCGATCCTGAAGATTTTTTGATGGGATGTAGTAGCAGTGAAGCAGATACAAGTACAGCCGTAGAAAATGACAGGTAAAAGGAGAAATAACGATATAAGTACGTTGAAAGCCGTAGTTCTAAAAGCTAAAATGTTAATCAACGATTAAGTTGATAATAACAAAGCTATATGACGATTGGTCACTTTTCTATTTCAATGCAAATACTTAAAATGAATTTCTACATTTTTCAATTGCTAAAGCTTGAGCCAACGTTGTTGTTTCACTAGGGGCTGTTACACAATGAATGTTACTGCGGAGAATCACAAAGAAAGTATCATTTCATTACGCACAGCTGGTGATATAAGCCTACCAAAAGGGCGATCACGAAAAAGCCAATCCACTATGAGGGGACTAATTGTTCCTCAAGGACATAATAATCCGCCTACCATAATACCTTTAACGCATTCGAGAGCTTCGCGAGAAAGCGGCGAATATGCCAGTAGCGACCTACAGGTTACCATTGCGTTAATAATCGAATGCTTTGACATTCATTTTGCTTTATGCACGGTATAATATTTTCATTCTCGTTTATATTTGTAATTTTAGAGTCGGAGTAGCGACGAAGATGATAACGAAGAATCACCTCGAAGCCAAAGTACCGATTATGAGGATACGGAAAGGATTAGGGTAGGAACTGGCAAATGGCAAGCTAAGAAGCGTTTGAACATACCAGCAATATCGGCAGTACGTATAATTATTTTTCCTCGTCTAAAATTATCTTATTTCTGTATATACGCTTTAAATACTTTTTACCCCATAAAATTATGTTCTGAACAATGTAGTGACGTAAAGAAGATTCTATCTGGCGATTATGTCGTTTTTTTTTTTTTTTTTTTTTTTTTTTTTTTTTTTAGAATATTAGTATACAGTATATGATAGATTATAGTATAGTTTAACAATTATGAAGCTTTAAGTTTATTCATTCATTTATAATAAGGTCATAATATAAACGAACTATACAAATACAAACTCATATGTATACACACACACATATATATATAGTGAAATTAATATTGTCGATGATATCGTCGTTTATAAAACAAAACGGATTCATACAATCGTATGATTTTAATTTCACTATGTGAATAAACCATTGAACCATTAAAACCATTGATGTCGGTTATTATTATTATTGTATTAATTCAATATATATTAGAAAGGAGATGAAATATTTAAGAATGACTATTAATGTCGAAGAAAAAGGTTAATTTTGAATTTAAAATTTAAACTGATTTTTCAAGAATTTTTGCCCCGTTATATAGTATGACTATAAGATTTGAAGTTTTAGATATTTATGGAGATTTTTTTTTCTTTTTTTTTGTAAATCACGAGCCTTCTTAGAGCTAGCTTTATCTCTAGCCATACTTCATCTATCATTCATTACCGAGATGCGATGAAATAGATAAACTTCAAAAGTTTATATATATATATATATATATATATATATATATATGTAAGAATATTTCACGTTTGTTTTAGCTGGAAAATTGTGAAAATGAGATAAGGGTTGTAGGCGGTAATACTAAAGTTAACGTAAGTGCAGCTGCGAGTGGTATCGTTGGCCGAGCAAGGACTCTTCGCCAAGATGTTCAACGGAAAATTTCACGACTAAGGCAGCAGCGCAGCTCGATAAGCGATGCAGCTTTTCCGTGCAGTGCAAGTAGCGTCGAGAGTCTCCCCAGCGGTAGTGGCTCCAGTAGCACTCAAGCCCTCGTGCGCGTCGATAGTAATCACAGTTCCATATCCTGCGAAGATCGAGAGTCGAATAGTTCACAGCGTGTTGAGTTGCAGCCACCAACGGCATCGAGCACATCCTCGAGTACTTTTGGCCCGATGCCAGTACTCTGTCGTGCTAGAGCTCTGGTCGATTGCATGCCTAGTCCTTATGACAAAGAGGCTTTGGCTTTTAAAGTATGTATAAGGGCCGATTACTTCTTACGCTAATAGTTCATTCTCGTCCCATTCGCTTATTGATTAATGTATTTTAGAAGGGCGATACGATCGATGTACTACAGATGAATAATAGTGGTCTTTGGAAAGGTATGGTGCACAATCGTTTTGGCCATTTTAAATTTATAAACGTTGAAATTTTGAACGAACGCTTCACTCGACGTGGAAAATGGGGGCAAAAATATAGGCAGAAACCAGGTTCCGTACCTGAGCTTCTACAGCGGATGAATTTAAAGGTAAATTTATGTATTATCAATGACAATGCAATTGTCGGTTCAAATAGTTTTGCCAAATTCTTTAATCTTTCATTGTATTATTATTGTTATTGTTGTTGTTATTATTATTATTATTATTATTATTATTTATTTATTTATTTATTTATTTATTTATTTATGGTTTGTTCGCCTTTAAAGTAAAGCTATATTAAAGCGTAAAAGACAATTTAACAAAACTTATTTTAAAAAAAAATTATCTTCAAATTTATGTAAAAGTTTGTTTACGAAACAAACCATAAACGGATTGCTTTTTCTCAGTTTATCACCAGTATCGTTAGGTTGCAAATATTTCATTTCCTATTTATTATTTCGTCCATATGTAATAACGAATTTTACATATTCTCGTCTTAGGAGTACATATCTATATTTTTACTGAATGGTTACGAAGATCTTGAATTATTTCGAGAGTTGGAACCAGCCGACCTTGACTATCTACGTATCCAGCAACCTGACCATCGAGCCAAGATTCTCACAGCTGTACAACTACTACACGATTTACAATGTAAGTGGAAAAAATAAAAATGTGGGCTTAATAGATTAATGTATTAATTTGTTGTCTCGTTGACAGCGGGTAGCGAGGGCGAGGAATTAGCCGGATCAAGTTCCGACGAAGTGTCCAGCATTGATTTTGGTGTATCGCGACTGGGGATAGGAAGAAAACAATATCAACGATCAGAAAATAATCTTAATGCCGAGTCGACAGATAATAAATCGACTGAATTTCAAGCCAACGTTCCACTTCATCTTCCAGCACCAGGCACCTCGAGCTGCATTGGTGCTCCGATAGATCAGTAATTTTCTGTTCTAATCATTATATAATCACTTATCTCGCCGTCCTATCTCCTTGCTAGTTACTAGCTGCTCTTGTGATAATTGTAATTTTAATAGCACAAAACGTTAGGACTGAAGCATAACACTGTCATCATAAAATATATCGATATTTTGATTAACAATACAATTTAATCGTTTTCACTCTTCCAATACTACGACCTAAGTGTTTTTACATAATTAATAAAAATACATAGATAAAGACTGTACTTAAACTTGCTTACTATTAAAATATTTCTAATATTCGTTTTAACTTTTATATGACGTTCGTATGAAACATTTTTTTTAAAATATTTAAACGTTTTGTGCTATTACGAAAATGACGAAAGGAAGATTAAGACAATCTCCGCCCTCGGGTGCGTATAACCCGAATATGCCATAATCGCCGGTGTAGTAAATTGAGAATCAAAAAGTTCTTGATCTATGTATCATCATATTTTGTATATACCACCTTTATTGCATTCTTCTATATCTTTAATTTTACAATACCTTGTATTAAAGCTACCTTTGCCAAATTTCTGACTAGATTTTAAGAACTAACAATGTATGTGATGATACTGTAACACAGCAAACGGGATCTTTTGTACATCTTTGTACAGTGTAAAATTTAAAATTAGTATTAATACATAATTATTGTTTTCGTCTTTCATTATCATCGTTAATCTAATCATTACCATTGATTTATTTATTCCTAATCATTACCATTGATTTATTTATTATTATTAATTATTAATTATTAATTATTATTATTATTATTAATTATTAATTATTATTATTATTTTTTATTAATTATTATTATTAATTATTATTCATCGAACGACGTAGTCGTCGTTGTCGTCATGGTTATAGACATTATCGTCCAAGTCATCGTCATTATCATTATTATTGCCATCTTCATTATTGTAGTTATATAACGAATATTGTTGTAAATAGAAATTGTGCTTCTAAAATATTCTATAAATAGCTCCATTAATTAGATGTAAAGGTAATGACGGTTTGCAAATATGTGACATTTGAACCAGTCACATTTCAATTTAAGTGGTATTATAATTATTATTATCATGAACATCCTAATATTCGATATGTAATGAATATTGTTTTTAATAATGTCATTAAGAATATAGTAGTAAAATAGCTATATATAATTTTAAACATTAAAAATTTATAGTCAACAAGTATCATTGTTCGTGGGAGCAATTTGCCTTTCATTGTAAAATAAAACTGGCAATATAAGGAAATCATGTCTCGTGAATGCCTTTAATCATATCATTGAAAGCGATAAACGTAAAAGCAAGAGAAATCTCTTCCTATTTTCGTAAATACATCTGACGAAAATTGATTTTTAATCTGAGATGTATTTCCCCAGTCGCTTTAATGATAATGCAATTTTAGCCAGAGATTCGTCTTTATAAAGTCGATATAAGCCACTTAAAGCAATAAGCAGTATTGTCATTTGATGGACGAAAAAATTCAACGAAAACATGTTTAAGACGAAAATCAAATTGAAATAATCTTGAATATGCGCTTTTTAACAATCAAACAATCACGAAATATGTCTTTAATATTAGGACTTTATTTCATTTATCATGAAGTACTTTCAGATAATTACAAACATGTAATTTAGTCATTATTCATGTTGTCTTAATATTTTATATTTAATGTTTTAAAACGTTTCTATTCAACATTTATACAGCGTCGATCGCAATAAATCACTAAATAGTATCCGATCCATCAAAAAACAAAATAAAAATATGTGTAGGCAGAGTAAAAATGTTAATTAGTCACAAGTTTATTATGAAATGTGTATAAATATAATAGACAAGATAGTGATTTATTAATATAACAAAATAGCTAAGAAAAATATGTTTGAAAAAGTCGAGCAAAATGTTGAAAAGTTTAAGATATGTGAAAATTATCATAAAACGAATAATTACGTATTTCTTTATTAATTAATCCGCTAAAATTAATGACAATTAGATTAGATCAAATGAAATGAAAGTGATTATACATTGAATGAGAGACCTAATAATGAATTATATATAAAAAAAAATAAAATAAAATAAAATAAATAAAAAGAAAAAATAAAGAAAGATAAAGGATCGAGTTAGTAATTTACAATGTTTAATTCATCGATGATCTAGTCTATTGTGATAAATAAAAAACAACAATTAAGAACTTTTGTATATAAGGTCCAAGTTTTTATCTAGGCTGATTTTTATATTTATTAATTGTGAGATTAAAAGACTCTACTGCCAGTTATGCATAATTACGAATCTTATTTTTTTTTTGATGTATGACTAATAGAAAAACAAATTGTTAATTTATTAATTGTGAATAGAAATAAATGATAAATGAATCAACTTTAACAGTGTCGTGTCCATGTTATTTAATTAGGCAATCATAGGTACTTCATTGATATTCTATCTTTCAATAACATTGAATTTCTCACTGTTAGTTAAATATATAAGATTTTAATGAATTTGTTCGATTAGAATAAATTAAATAGAAATAATATAATTATAATATAATATTAACATTTCTTTTTCGTGTATTTTCTGTGTAAATTTTCTTAATGATGAGTTATGTTGATGAGTTATTATGCTGCGTGAGTGACGATAGACTGTGATAAAATACAAAATTCGTAAATTTCATAAATTTTTCGCTTTGCTAAATTACGGAAAATTTAAAAGGCAAGTTAATTAGAATCCAATTGACAATTTTAAACGCTCAATTATACTTTCTATGAGATTTATGATGAATTTAAAATAGCCTTTTTACAGCATAATGGAACATAAAGATGGAAATACTACTGGTAAGATGTGCAGCGGAACACAAAAAACGTAAAGCATGTCTTTGGCTTATGCGATAATATATATTTACATGTGTTATCATACCCGCTTATACAATAATTTTTCACGCAGTAATGTGTTCAGTGTTTTGGAAATAAGTGGTTTACGTCTCCACAAACGCACGCTCGTTCTATTAAAGCGTGCATGTATATTTAATATAAGTTTCGTCCTTGATGTTAAGTTGAAAAAATTGATACTTATTTTTTTAGTATACACTGTACTTGAAAAAAAAAAAAAAAAAAAAAAAAAAAAAAAAAAAAAAAAAAAAAAAAAAAGCACGTATAGCCTCTTGATTACAATGACGTTCGGGAGATGAAAATCATAAGAAATATGTCAAATTCTATTTGAAAAAAAGTAAATAAAAAAGCGACGATTAAAGATTTACAAACTATTTACATAAGATTATAGTAAATTTGAAGTTTAAAAATATAATTTTTTAAAAATTGTTTATAACATTGATGTAGCACATGTATTTCATTTCCTTAATAGAAGCTTGGAATAAAATTTGTTTTTAATTGCAGCTTATGTAAAAGTAATTTAGTCTATGTATACGAATAATAAAATTTATTAAAAGTCACATTGATATTATTATGTAATGACGTTGATGTTAAGATGATGTAAAAATGTTTGGGATATTATAAATTTCCCTTTATTAATAATACGAATAATCTATAAAGAATTTAAAAGTTGACCGAGAACGCAGTTAATTATACTATAGAAAATGTAGTGGAGATGAAAAACAAATTGAATTTCTAAATAGTAAGAAAAATGTTATCATTACTTATAACATTATTTTAAAAATAATTTACTGTGTAGAATAAATTAGAATAAATTAATTTAGAATAAATTTTAATTATACAAAAACACTCTTGGTTTTATATATTTGTTAATTACTTGGATTTTTAATGCTGAATACAAAGTAAAGTCTACTAGGTATATTAAAGATAATTTTTTTTTTTTTTTTTTTTTTTTTTTTTTTTTTGTTCCAATTTAACAATAACTATTATTATTATTATTATTATTATTATTATAGTTATTATTGTAGTAGTAGTTGTTGTTGTTGCCGTGGTTGTGACGAAACAATCATAAATTTAATAAAGGAAAAGAAGATTGGGTGAATTTATAGAAAAATTAAAGACTAGAGAAATCTTATGAAATTAAAACATGACTTTAATTTATTGAGTGACATTTTTTTGTTTATAAAAATACTCCACGATAATATATATATATACATACATACATATATATATATATATATATATATATGCGAATATGAAGTTTTTATTTACATTGCGCATGCGTGGTAAATTAAATTTTAGTGATAATTTTTGCAGTGAATATCTAGTTTTTGATGATTTTAACGTTATATTTAGAAAGATTAAAAGTGCATACCATGGAATACATATAAAATATATATTACTTAATATTAAATGTTAAAAGCGAGATTTAGGAGCTTAAACACTCACAGACTGTGTATTATTATCATTATATAGTTAATGTTTTGTTTTATTAAATTAAATAGGGTTTCATTTGAAGTTCGCACGCCGAAATTTACTATATATAAATTTTTATTTAATGAAGCGACTCTTCGACGAAGAAGACATCGATTTAAATTTTCATAATTTACTTCTATGCGACTTTCTTGCTAGCGTTCTTATTATAATATATTCTCGTGACTTTTGAACATTCATAATTTCATGAGTACCACAGCGTATTGTAAATGCACCCTAAAGTATATTACATAGTAACTAAACCGTTCTGCTTTAGGGAAAAAAGTTGATTGAACGAATAGGATCGACTATTTTCATAAACTGCGATCCGGTGGTGTAGATTTCTAGCCTTCGTTAAAGCAGGCTGCTTGCTGTTCTTATAAAAAACTACGAGGAAATGGCTTGTTCAGTTATAGGGTACCCATTATTAAGGAATCCATCGGTAAGATTAACTCTATTTGCCTGCGAACATCTTGCATCGTTGCCCCAAGTAGTGAGAAATTTCTGTTTTAAGAATGTCAAAAATAAAATCGTTAGGTGTTATGTAAAACATTGCTTTATTTTCAAATTATTGAAATGGTTATTTCGGGGCAATGTAAAATATTTTTAATTAACATTGATAATTTCAGCGGGAGGAATTCTTTCTTTTTTCACTTAATCTGTCAAATTTTTTGTTATAGGTTCGTCATTATGTGGCTACAGCAGCAGCCGAATATACTCCAATGATTAGTGAATGTGTAAAAATAATAGCTGGCAAAACTATTATTGCCGCTGTTAACCCTACTAGTCCAGTTGCTCTCGTTTCAGTTATTTTCAAGTAATAATTTATTCCGCGATTGGTAGTTTATTAAAATTATAAAAAATTTGACTTGACCGGCTTTGTAAATATTGTTATATAGGGCTGGTCCACGTAATGAAAACTACGAATCAGAAGGAATTTCACACGCTATTAGAATTTGTGCTGGATTGACCACTAGTAAATCCAGTGCCTTTGGAATTGCAAGAAATGTTCAACAGCTCGGAGGATATTTGACAGTATCTTCTGAACGCGAATTTACATCTTACACCCTTAAAATTTATAAAAACAATCTGTAAGTTAATTTATTAAAGTCTCCATCTGTTTATAAATACAAATTTTTGTACTTACTAAAATGGTGTACACAGTAGTGATAATTATATATATATATATATATATATATATGTATATAAGAATATTGTAATAATGAATTACAGTGCCCCAGCTCTTCATTATTTAAGAGATGTTAGCGCCTGTCAATTATTTCGACATTGGGAAATAGCAGATGAAATTCCAAGATTACGTTACGAGTCGTCAACAATCCCTGATAATATACTGGCTATCGAATTACTTCATAAAGCTGCTTATAGAGAGGGACTTGGAAATTCCCTTTATTGTCCAAAAAGACATATTGGAAAATTTGGAACAGATGCCGTATGTAATTTATGATATATAATAGTTTAAAAATTTTTATGAAAGAAATTGCTTTAAATTTATAATTTAATTCTGGACAGTTAAATGAATTTGTTTCAAACTACTTCACTGGTTCCCGATGTGCGATTGTGAGTTCTGGCTTATCTTTCGAGAAATTGGAAGAATTTGCTTGTTCGGTGGATGCTTCCACTGAGATGTGTGGCGACATACCGTCTAAATACCATGAAAGAGAATGTCGTAAAGATCGTCTTTCTAATCTGGCGCACGTGGCTGTAGCAGTCGAAGGAAGTAGTTTTGAAAATCGTAAAGATTGTATTGCTTTTGCAATTTTACAAAAAATTGCGGGTCACGGCCCTCAAGTGAAACGAGGAGGGAGTCAAACTTCATTCTACAAAGCGGTTTCTCAAGCTAGTGAAGATATTTTTGCTGTAGGTGCTTTTAATGCAGTTTACAGCGACAGCGGACTATTTGGTTTTATTCTTAATGCTCCAAGTAAAACAGCAGGAAGCGTGAGTTCAGATAATTTCTATATTTAAATATTTATAACTTTATTTTGGAAAACTGCTTTTCATTCCAATTGCTCTTTTCAAGTTGGTCAAAGCTGGTGTACAATGGTTGCGATCGCTCCAAATTACAGATGAGGATGTTGTACGTGGAAAACAAAATTTTAAATTGGATGTTTTTGATACTGCTAATAGTATTCAAGCATATCACAATAACATTATACATCAATTACTATTTACAGACAAGATTGTATCTGTAGAGGATATTTTATGCGAAATTGATTCTATTTCCACGGATGATATCAAGCGTGTACGTTGAATATAAATATTGAATATAATTATCTTTAATGCACGTACATAAAAAATGTATATTAAACTATTTTAAAAAAACTTTTAACAGGTTGCTAATCGGGTGTCTAAGGGTAAAATTGCAATGGGTGCAGTTGGTAATTTAGAAACGGTTCCTTACATCCATCAATTGTAAAAGAGAACATTTATAGTATGACTAGTAAAGTTTTCAATTTTATAAGAACTGAAACGCAAATGTTATTAACTTACTATCTACAGTGTACCATAACGCATTGCAACCATCTAAATAACAATACTGTCTGCATGTATATAAAATAATGTAATAAAAATAAATAATTCGTTAAATTAATTAGAAAATTTGGTTTATTTTTATTTAATAGAATTTTATTTCTTCAATAGAATAAAATCTGTTGATATCATTTGGGGTAGATTTTAGCAATTTCCCACTCATTAACCTCTTAATCATTGGCCTAAGATTTTCTAAATCTCTTATTAGTTGGAGCTAAAAATTAAAATAAAAAATAAAATATATATATACATATATATGTGTGTGTGTGTGTGTGTGTGTGTGCTTGCATGCATATGTATATTAAGAAAGAATAAGAAAATGATTTATAAGTAAAAAGTGAAAATAATATTTACATGAATTTCGAGTGCTTCGTTCAGTTTATCAAAAAGTTTTAAAACTTGTATGTCACGAGATAATAAATAATGCTGATAATGTGAGTCTATCAAAAGCTTAGTCCATTCGTATAACTGACTATTTAATTTGTATTCAAATTCGAAAGTATGATTATTAATTACAGAACTTTCGTCATTAAGCTTATTGATCAAATAATTTAATAATTTTAAAATTTCGTCGAAATTTAATCCAATTCTAAGATGCGAGATAAGGGAAACATCCGTATAACAAATACTGAGAATTTTGTTTAAAAATTCTTTCTGTGAATTTTCCATAAATCCATTTTGTGTAGGAACTTCTGAATCACACGATGATCTTAAGCAAAATCCTAATACCTGAATCAATAAATCTTCAGGTAAGTCTTTTAAATTATCTAAACACCAAATAATAGATGCAATATCTTTATTTTCTATTAATTTTGGTATTAAATTACGATGTATTATGGCATCGCTCATTCCTTCGCGTAGAAAATTCGAAACTTGAGTGGCAACGTCACTAGCTAAATTACTTAAAGACACATGATTTATTTTATTTGATACAGATGTTCCCCAATCTGCTATCGTTGACTCTTGAATCACAACAATCTCATTATCTTCCTTAAAATTTTGATTTTTAAAATGCAATGTTGAGCCAAGCATTGCTTCTATTCTTTGTTCCGCTAAATAATAAGGTGCTATCGCTAAATGCCTGTTGGCTGCAAGTAATAGTTTGTCTTCAATTTTCCAAAGTTTAGCATCGCTAGTAAACAATTTTAACTTTTGAACTGCTTGAACCAATTTAAATTGTACATTATAGATGAGTAGAACAGCTCCTTCTTCATAAGCATCTGCGCCATAAGCAGCTATGGTACTTTCGTTTAAGGCAACCATCACAACTGGATATTTTGTATTGACAGATGTAATTACGCTGATGAGTGAGCCAGGAATAGAATCCATAGACGAATTAATTAATGGATAATTATACAATCTTCCATGCGACCCTAATGATAAAAATAATTATTTCAATTTTTATAATAATATAATTTACAAATAGCTTTATAGATTTATTATAAACATACACAGCGTTAATAAATAAGCATTGTTTTCATCTTGCATAACAACATGACCAACCAAACTTTCAGAGGCCCTTTTCAATTCTATTCTAACTATTTGATCCGATTCTTGTATATAATTTTCATTTTTTAATGGAACAACGATATAACTAGTGACTTGGGCTAATTTTACGAGGGCGCACAAATATATTTTATCTTTTACAGAAACTAATTGGCAGTTTAATATTTTTTCATCGGATTCTAAAATCCCAGGACTATTCCATGTTTTTCTGTTTTCAAGGGCCCATTTTAGAGACACGGTAGCACCATTTTGCATAACTAAAATAGGTGGAACATTTTTCAAAGTAAGAATTGTATGAATAGACGATAAGACTTTGTATTTCTTAACATTGTCCAAACTCGTTTCATTTTCTTGCCAAATTCTAATACTTTTTCCATTAAAAGCTGCAACATAATTCTTTGACGTTTCATCAAAAATAACTTTAGTAGTTAAACGCTCTTTACTAGACCAACTGCTAACTTGTTTCAGGCTTTGAAGCTGTAAAATCGTCAAATCATAGAATGTATGGATTATCGGTTTTAATTTAATGAAAAGGAGAAAGTAAAGCGAAATCTCGGCAAATAAAATGTAATATAAATAATTAGATAAATTAAATACCGAACCTTATATCTTATTACGATATTTCTACCAAGTGTAACAATTGCACAACCAGGATTCGAATCTGCTTCTACACCAAGCAAATTCTGTTGATCAATTAGCGGGCACAGCGTATAATATGAATTCAAACGAGCCATCGTTCTTTCAAATCCTATCGAATCTTTAATTTTTTTCAAATCCCTATCTTAAAATTACAATTAATACGCCCACTTAAACCAAGTTATATACAATAAAAACATGCACATGGCACATAACCTGCGAGTGCACCTTAATTTTTATCAACTTATCTCTAAAGGGCGCAAGATTGCTCAAATGCTTTATTTATTACATTAATTTATGAATTTACGAATAAAAAAAAACGACTGAATGTAAAAAGTTTTATGCGAATCTCTTGGGAAGACCAACAAATACAACACTTTTAATATGCCGCTACGAAGTGTAGAATGTCGGTAGTAGTCATTACTATTGGATTTATTTTTTATTGTTGATACTCGCTAGCGATTGATTAATACATGTGTTTTCGGGCTGACTTACGCCCACTTTTCACGTGGACAGTTAATGAGGATGCGACAATATTTGAATTGTGATAATCTTCGATTTAAATTTCTAATTTACTTTCTTAACTCTGCTTATATAATTCATGAAAAATATTCTTCGATATCTTTGATTGTATTTTTTCTTAGATCGTGTTACTTTACAATACGTAAAAGACGTCGGTTATTCAGTATATGAAATATAATATTCATGAAGTTTAAGAATAAATTGTACAATTAAAATTTCTAATATGAAATGCGTTTCTGTGATCTCCCGAAATATGTATATTTGAAAGCCATTGTTCATCTATATATATATATATATATATATATATTTTTTTTATATATATAAATATATTTTAAATACTACCGGAAGTTCAGTTATCCAGTAAATACGATTCTATAAATCTGTATTTGTTTCCTAAGAATTCATAAAAATAAATTATCTATTGTACTTTATATTAAACGCGTGCTAAAATAACGTAGTTTTTCTTTTTTTTTTTTTTTTTTTTTTGACGATTCCTTCAATCTTCCTTCAACACAACCTTCCGGATAGTCAAAAGGTGTGTAAGGTATGGAATTTTGTCTGCTAGAGGCAGTTCTATTATTTTTATCCAACATCTTTAATATATGATGGACGATCTCATTATAGTCAGTTCTGGTTGAAATGTAAAGGTGAAAATTTGTACATTTGATATCGTACATTGAGAAAGTGAATAATAACGATGAGTTACCAAGTGCGTTGTAAATTGTTTATTGTAATTATGCGTTTAGATTTGCAATTTACGGAGTAGTTGTGTTAGATTAATATTTAAAAATATGGCTGCAACAAGGCATACCTTACAAAGAGAGATCTTTACCGTAAATGATGAAAAAATACTTAGTATCTGTCATGTTTGCAAGGCTTATAAAAAAAAGAAGAGTAGTTTTCTTTGCCTTGTTTCAGCAACAGATACTCCTGAAACATTTATGGTGTATCAAGTAAAACGAAATAATGATAAGAGTGCTTTTAAAAAAAAGCAATGTTGGTTATTATCCGATATAAGAATAATCGATGGCATTAATGCAGATTCGATGGATCTTGAATTACACATTGACAAAATTTATAAATGGTCGACCACAAATTCTCAGGAAAGGCGAAATTTTATCAATAATTTATACACGGTGTCCTGTGGCTTGCCACAAAGGCCGGAGTTCAAAAATATACCAAAAGAGTGGTTAACGGCAGAATCGTCTAGTATTGTTTCTAACGATAACAGCACCATGGGATATAATTCTGGTAAATGTACACAAAATCACGGCATATACAAAAGTATCGATGGTTTGAATTTATATAAAATAATTGTCATATATAAGCTATAATAAAGTATATCGATGCTCTATACAATAATATTTTAATCTTAATAATATTTAAGATTCAAATATGTATAATATAACATTTTATCTATTCCATTGTATCTTTTTATATATCTATTTTTTTTTTTTTTTTTTTTTTTTTTTTTTCTTTCAAATAGTTTAGCTTGAATTTATTTGTTATTTTACATTGTTTAAAAAAATATGACTGTAATAAAAATTGTTTCAGATTTTTTGCAATCGCCTTTAATTGCAGGAGAATATCAACCAATAACGAATAAAGAAGCAACAGATTTATCATCTTTGATGGAAAATTGTTATTACGCGGTTTCAAATGCAGAGCTTTTTATGGATACATTATCGAAAGACTTATCTATACTCGATGGTGTATGTATGAAGTTTAGGATTATAATAATATTTATATATCCGCGCATAATTAAATAAGAAAATAGTTATTTTATAATGTATATTGTACAATAATTAATTTAATATTATAATATTGATTTATTAAAAATAGATCTAGTTTATTTTATTTTACAAAAATTTGTGTCGTATCTCCAGATGAATTCTATTATCCGATCCCTTTTTTCATTAGTGTTTTATATTAGTTTTCTTCAGTACTCGATTTATTCTAAATGTCAATAGCGATATTAAACATTGTATCGTCATAAGTTTGATTGGCTTTAATTGTACTATTCATTATTCGTCAAAATTATTGCAACATTAATAATTTAATTGAGTTATAAATATTTTTTCAGGAAAATATACAATCTGTTTTAGCATCTGAACCACAGGTACTACAATTAATGAGCGGTATTGAAGCAGCCATTAACGAAGCTTCTTTAGTCGAAGCACAATTAACCGTTTATGATGAGGCACTAGGAAGAATTAGAGAAGCAATGGAACGTGTTGGTCAAAAGAATCACGCAATCCACATTGCAAATCGAAATGCAAAGCTTTTATTAGAACAGTTGGAAGTAGTAATAGTACGTACTTATTGTCTTTAAAAACTTTTTCCTATAAAAAAAAAAATTGTCCTATTAATTATAAAGATATCATTATAAATTATATTTCAATAAAGCTCTAACAATGTATGGCTTATATTTTTTTAACTTTAATATATATTAATAATTATATTTAAATTTAAGACACAACTTACTGTTTCAAACGAGCATCAAAGAATATTGAATGAAGCTGAGCTCCCAGGGCATAAAAATGAACTTATTGTTGCTGGTACTGAATTACTGAAAGCAATTTCATTTCCTTTACCATTGGGCTTAGACAAATTAAGTGCTGTAGCAGAACAAAAGAAAAGGCTAGATAAATTAAGAGCTAAATTTTCCTTATTAGTGGCTAGACATCTTAATAATTTATTTATTCATTTGGTAATAAATCACTATATACATACGCATTCATTGGCTATTACTTCTGAAAATATCAATAAAAAATATATTCCTTTTTTACTTAGGGTAATGATATAGGAGAAACAATTGCTCTAACAAATACAACGGTACAGCAACCAAATGTTATTACATCATCGTCTACAAACCAAAAAAGTGATTTTAAGCTATCGACACATCAAGTTATTCAAAAAGAACTTGAACCGTATACTGAATTAATGAAATTATTACAAGCATTAGATCAAAAAGCTTTTACTCAATTAACTAAAGTCTATACTAAAACTATGGGCTCATTGTATCAAAGAAACTTCAAATTCTTCTTTGAAGAAGCCAAAGATCGTCTTATTATTAGACGTCTTCAACACCACCAACATCATTGTATGTAAAATTTATATTTGAGAATTAAACGGTATTATATTATTATTATATTTATGAAAATAAAGAAATTTATTAATATTTGCAATACAATATTTAATACAAAGCACACTCGACAAGTAAATCGAGTGGTAATGTAGCACCAAAAGCAGACACTGAAACAATCAATTCATCATCACCACCCGTTTGTCTTCTTAGTAATGAAGTATGGTCTCCACAAGGTGAAGGAGCTTTGCTCGACTCCGTTTTGGATAATGTACTCTCACAATTGCAACCCGTTTGCCTTGCTGAACAAGCATTTTGCATCACATTCCTTCATTTAGATTCATTTCTTTCGGCATCGACAAAGGTAATATAATAATTCACGATTATATGTTTTTTATTATATATAGTTTATTATTATTCTTTTTATTTAGGTGAATCTACAAGTTGCTAAGGACGAATCTAGTAGTTGCAGCAGTGGTAATAGTGGTGCTGACGATATTCATGGCTTAGCAAGTCCTGGATCAACTAATATAAACGATCTCACAAAGTTGGAGCGACAAGTTAATGAGCAAGTCAGAGCGACGATGGCTGCTATATTTCCATCATTGGAAACAGAATTAAACAATTTAATAACTTTTCTTGAAAAGATAGACAGTTTGTAAGTTAGTTTATGATGATATTTATGTTAAAATTACATAGAATTTGTCGCCAGTGCGATTATTTTATTTAATCACATTTTGTATAAATAAAAATTATATATACACAATAATTATCTGGGAACGATAGTTTTTTTAATTACATTTATATGTAATAAGTATTGATGTTGTTCCAGTTGGTGTATGTATGTACTAGTGCGTCTATCACAACATGTGATGTCCGCGCAAGACACTGGATCATTTTTATCAATGACTTTTGCTTCAGCGCTTGTTCAAGCTAAGCGAGCTTTTGACAAGTTTATGCAAATGCAACAGCAGTCTGTACTTGACACCAAAATTAATCGAAGAAATAAATGTGGAATTTTACCATATGTAGAGAATTTTGGACTATTTGCTAAGACGGCAGAAAATATTTTCAAGAATTCTGATAGGAAAATTGATTTGGAAAAATGGTACACTAAATTAATAGCCACAATGTTTGAGGCTATAATATCCCACAGTACAGAACATCATAAAACGCCACCAGAAGTTGTAAAAATGGGTATGTTCTATTCTTATTACATATTACAGTTAATATCATCATAATAACTAAGACTAAAATTTTCATCCAAATGCTACAAATTGATGTTTACACATTCAATATTTGCTATTACATATATATATATATATATATATATATCAATTTTTTGTAACAATATTAAAATCTATTGAAATATAAAAAATGCGTTTACTTTTAAATAAAAAGTTGATTTAAAAATTATGCATTCAGAAATTGAAATACACAATTATTGTATATAGATGAATAACCAAACAAATGCATTTTCAAAGTAAAGAATGGATAAAATTATATTTAAAGTACAAATGAAACTTTAAGTAATTTAAATAATTTAATTGGTTATATAAAATTATTATATTTAGTTTTATTTGAATTAATTTTCTAAATTTTAAGATTCTATTAAATTATTTAAGATTTAATTGTCAAATCAAAATGTTTTAAAGTATTTATATTTTTATTATCAGATATTACATATCTAGATATTACGCAATTGAACAATTTATCGATGTATTACGTTATAGTGTTAGCGTACTTGGATCAGCCGCTATAAAATAAACAATAAAAGTATTGTTTAAATTGATATTGTTCCTTTATATAATGATAATAATTTTTTGTATAATAGTAATTAACGTTACACATCTTTTTGAAAAATTTTTTCGTCTATTATTAATAAGCGGTATTTTCATTTCTTAAAGAGAATTTTCACCATTTACACGATCTCTTATCACAATTAAAAATATCGGTATTGGATCATCAACGTAAGGAAGCAAAACAAAAATACCAAGAGGCGTTAAAAGCTTACGTAACTCGTTATTTTGGACGACCTTTAGAAAAATTAAATGTAAAAAGATTTATACTTTCGTACTTTATTATGTTAGTACATAATTATTCTAAATTTTAATAAATTCTATTTCATTTACATTTATGCCGAAAAATATACATAGTTTTTCTTTGATGGCGTACAAGCAAAAGTCGGAGCTGGTGTTAAAGAATCGGAAATTAGTTATCAAATGGCCTTCAGTAGACAAGAGCTCAGAAGAGTTGTTAAAGAATATCCTGCAAGAGAAGTGAAAAAAGGTCTTGAACATTTATATAGGAAAGTAGAGAAACATTTATGCGAAGAAGAAAATTTGTTACAAGTAAGAACGATATTCAAACTTATCCATTGCGATTATAAAGCCATAGAACTGCAATATTAGAGTTAACAATATTTTATTTTTATTAGGTCGTTTGGAGAGAAATGCAAGGTGAATTTATTGCTCAATATATAAATATTGAAGAACTTATTCAACGCTGTTACCCAGATAGTAATGTAACTTTAGAATTTACTATTCAAAATATTTTGGAATTCTTTTCAGAAATTGCACTATCCCATTGAAATCTAACGAAATATTTTTTTTTTTTTTTTTTTTTTTTTTTTGTTGTATTTATTTCAAAACTATTAGATAATAAATATTTTTACAGCATATTTTTATTTCTTTCACTTCTTAGTCTGTTCTATTTTTTATAAATTGTCGAGTAGAATATTTTCGATAAGTTTAATCCGATTTTAATATTTGCCATTTAATAATATTTACATACTTATTATATTATTAATATAATAATTATTAATTTCATAATCCTCAAATAAATAAAGAAATCCTAGACACTGTAATATATTATTTGTATTTTTATATTACAATTTTGTTAAATGGTAATTTGGTGGTGATAATAATTTAACTTCATTCTATTTAGCTGCGTAAACAAATTCATTAAAGTAAACAAGAGATGGAGATGTTATGATTAAAATGTATCTCATTAAATATTATTTTGAATAAAATGAAAAAATTGAACTACGTGTAATAATCGAGAATATAAATGCGCAATCTATCATTATCTTACAATTAACTCGCAGCTGTTTAAAACAGTCTATTCAATGATTTTTGTAAAAAAAAAAAAAACCATTATTGTTTTAAACTATCAGAAAGTTAATAAAAAGATATTTTAATGCAATGTGGATAGTGTTAAAAGTTCGTATTTCATGAGTGTTTTATCATATTGTTTATTCAACAGGATAAGCAATAGACATGATATAGGTATTATGATATGAGAAACGGTTAAATTGAAAGAAAGAGTTGTTCAATCACAATTGTTGTTATGAATCCAATAATATTAGTTACAATTATGAATCGGCATGATCTCGGACTGAAATGTTATTTTATTCAATCTTGTATCATGTTTTAAAAATTCGTTGAATTGCTAATTCTAGCGCATAACTCGAGTGCACTGCACCCGGCTTTTTAAAAAAAAGTTTCGTTTGGCATAATTTTTCATTTCACGATTTTAGTTTCATATAATTTGTAATGCTGTGTCTCTCGTGTGATAATATTAAATGATAAAATCAGTTTGAAAATTGCAAACTAAAGGGTATTATTTAAAATTCTTATACGAACAGTTGATATTTGAAATTATAATATAAGTAATTAAATAACGTAAAAGTAAATGCAATAGATTTTTGTAAATTAAAATTTGAAGTAAAAATGTTTAATATGGAGGATTAATTTTAAGAATGATCATATATTTTTTAAAAACTAGCAGCTTCGCTTTACACATTTTCATTAAATAAATGATAATTTATATAATTAATAGTATGATCGATATATGTAATTATATTTAAAGGCCTTTTTGTGTAATAATAATAATAATAATGATAATAATGATAATGATGATGATAATAATAATAATAATAATAACAGCGCAATTTGTTTAACGAACGTTAATATAGGATATAGTTATTTAGCATGAAATGTAAAATCATTCCTATATAAAGATTTTTAACATCTTAAAGTTTTTTGATATTTACAATTGTATGCATTCATTGCAAGAATATAATTGTCAAATGAACGAAAAGAGATAAATAAAATTTTTTTTTTTGACTTTCCTAAAATTCTATTACAAAACGAGATCCTAATCACTATTCTCTGTTCTCCTCCATCTCGCCCTCTCTCTCTTTCTCTCTCTCTCTCTCTCTCTCTCTCTCTCTCTCTCTCTCTCTCTCTCTGCTTATTTATTGGTCACGTTTAGAGTATACCGTATGCGTCTATGCTTTAGTCGGACTGATGGCCAATGTTAATCAGTGGTTATGATCTTTCAAACATATTAATTTTATTTAAAGACTATAATATATTGGGAAAAAAATTTAACATGTATATTATATTTCGTGTAATACTGAGTATTATGCATTTTTTATTTATTGTATATTATTTTGTGCAACAAAAATGTATTTGGTTAATGTTAACTGTACAACATTGTAGATATTTAAATAAAAATAAGTGTAATTATTCGATTGTAAATTTAAGAAACCATTTGATTGCAACATCAAAGTTTCCAAAACATTTAGCAATTTTATTGGGACAAGAAGAAATATCTATTACTGATGTTGTGAGGCTTATTAGTTGGTGTACAATAGCAGAAATTCCTTATGTTAGCTTTTATGATCATAAAGGTAAATGAAAATAATGTAAAAAATACATGCCCCTTGATTATGTTGTACAATACATTTTTCTTTAATTGTTTTTAGGTATTTTACAGAAAAATGAAACACTTATTAGGAAAAAATTTGACGAATTAGAGCCTCTTCTTGCACGAAATATTGAATGGTCAAATTTGCCAAGCAATGAAGTCAGTAATAGCCAAAGTGTGAGTGACCTAAGTCATAGTAAAAGTGATTCAGTTTGTACAAGAGTTATTAATGATGATGCAACTGATATATTTAATAAATATAAGACAAGAATTAAAATATTTTCGTACATCGATGGCAAAGAGAAAATTGTTAGTTTAACTAAAACTTTAGCAAAATATATTGACTTAAATATGCTTCAAGAGAAAGACATAACGTCAGAATTACTTAATAAAGAATTGAATTTATATGTTAAAATGCCAGATCCTGATATTGCTATCGTTTTCGGCAAAATCCTATGTACTTATGGATTTATGCCCTGGCAAACTAGAGTAACTGAATTTTTGTAAGTGTTAATACCTTTAATTAAATTACATTTCAGTAATTAATTTTGAAATTAGGATTATCGATGGCTTAAGTATTTATTAATAGTAAAATTAATTTATTAAATTAAATAATAAATTAATAATAATTTTAATATTTTATTGTATTCAAATTCATTGAATTACATGGTCAATTGATTTGTATTATTTTTAAATTTTATTGAAAAGACTGAATTAAGTTACATTACTTTAATCATTCGCTTAAGTTATTTACAGTGAAAATTTATAATTTCAAATCATGTAATTTTATTTTATTTTTCTAGTGTTATACCAACTCATCATGGTATATCATCCGTTAACTTTATAGAAACATTGATCAAGTTTAGTGAATGCCGGCAACGCTATGGGAAGTAAAAAGATGTAATTACAACTTCAATATGTTCAGTCTTTATAAATATGTAAATGAGCAACTAGAATTCAAATGGGATATTAATTATTTTGAAAATTATACATTTTTTCATAATTATTTTCATTGTAAAAAGTCTATCCACTGTGTACTTTTATCCAAATACACTAGTTTTATAGGGTTTGGAAAAAATTTATTTTCAAATATATTTTGTTATTTACATGTATATATATGTGTATATGAATATATAAAATTTTTATAGATAAACTTGAAAAAGGAGAAATAAACGAATGTAAATGTAAATAAATATTTATACATTATACATTAAATTAAGTAAAAATAAAGCTTTTAAAAATTTATTATAATCCATGTATTATTCATTGTACTTTATTCAATTGATAACTTTTAAAACAAAGGAATTCAAATAAAACCGAGTTTATGCTTGTTGTTTAAATATCGTTCTAAAACATTTTTATGTATTTTTAAGAGATTAACTAACTTAAGACTCATAAACTAAATTAACTAATTTAAGAGATAATTTTTAAGAGAATAAATAACAAACGTATAGTTGAATATTGCCAAGTAAAACTCTTAAATAAAATATTTTATACTATAATAGAATAATTAGCATGTCTTTTATATTAAATAAACTCTAAATGATAATATTAAAATCATGTAATTTTTATTTTCATTAAAAAATTATATATAAAATAAAATAAAAGGTTTAATATATGAATTTCATGAATATTCATTTTGCTTAAATACATATATATCTGTTACTAATAGGAATTTAATTTCAAGCAATTAAATGCTTACATTCGAAAGCAAGTGTTTACGTACAGAGATTTTTTTTTTTTTTTTATCATCTTTTTATAACAAGTAAATTTATTAATTTATTCATTACTCCATTATTCGTGTTAATTTATTGAAACTGAAAGAATTCCCAAACTTGTTCCTGTTTATTAATTTTAAATTTACTTAAGTCACAATATCCATTAATGTTTATATTGTTTTTTATAATTTTTAATCTTTCCTGACGAAATTGATTTTATTTCTAAAATAGTTCACTTAAATTATTCATATATTATATTATTGAAATGTTTGCTTAAACTTTTATTAAAAAATAATGGACAAGTTGTTTTTAATACGTCTAACAAATAATCTAATTAGTATTTATTGCAACTCTAATTATATTTACGAAAAGTAATTAAAAAAAATACATGAAAATTCTTTTTACTTTTCATTTATTTATAAAAATTTATAAAACTTGAAATACATATATAACATTTAATTTAAATATATAATAATAATCCATAAAATTAAGGCTTTGTATTGGAAAAAAATATATATACGTATGTCTATAATATTTAAGTTTAATGGTATGAAGAATGCATATTTCAATGTACGTATGAATGTATTTGATGGAGATCTTACCCTGGAATAATTATTAAAATATCATCACTTTTGTAAAATTGTAATTTCAGCATTATACATATAGTGGTACGATGATTTAATAGTGCTTATGATTATTACTTATTTAGTTAAATGATTATGATTATTAAATGATTTACTTAAATGATTATAAATTACTTATTTAGTCAATAATACAAAAGTGATGATATTTTAATTAAGAATATTATACATAAGGCACATTTTTTACTGTAGATAAATCTTTTAAGAACATATTCTGATTGTATTCTTGCTGACAACAAAGATTATCTTATTATCTTGTAAATTTTTTAAAGCATCCTCAAACATATCTCGAGTTACAAGCTAAAATGACAATGTTCGATATTTATTAGTTTATTTTAATGTTTATATAAGGTTGATGCAATCTAAATATTTATAAACTTTAACTTACAATATTTGAAGATTCTTTAAATTCGGCAAGCAATTTTTGATAATTTAATGTAGGAACTTTTCCCTTTGATTCGATTAATTTTTTTAATGATTCTGTCAACTGAAGCCTACGTTGTCTAGCAGATCCAGACATACCAGTTGTCAAAATACTAACATCAATTTTACCACTGAGAGGATCAATCGCTGATTGTTTTAAAGCTTCACGGTGTAATCTGCATAAGATTAAAAATTTATCAAAATATTACTTTTTAAAATAATTATATTCATCAATATAAATAAAGTAATTCGACCGTTTACCTCCAAGCTTCTTCTACATCTTCCACTTCAACGGTTTTACCAAGTCGTACTTTAGTATGAGCTTCAGCAAGACGAATAAGTGATTCGAGTTGACGTGGATAAGCAGTAATTTGTCCACGACCACTGCCAACACGGCGCATATCAACATAAGCTTGAACCAATCTTTGTTGAGCTTCTTCTCCAAGTACCGGATGAACATGTTCTTTAGCAAATGCAATATAATCGCGTAATACACTCATGTCGATTAAATCATCTTCTTCTTCAGGCTCTGCTTGATAATACAATGACACTAAGTGTCGAGCCAATCTTTTGTCAAACAAGTCATCTTGCGGATCTAACATTAAAAAAATTAAATCGAATCGAGACATGAGTGTATGAGGCAGCATGACGTTCTCCACGACCTAATGTTTTATATAAGAAATAGTTATTATTGTTTTTTTAAATTCATAAATTTCACAATGCTTTTACCGTTTTATGTTTATTCCATTGTGATTCACAAGGGTTAGCAGCAGCTAAAATGCTAGTTCTAGCATTCAACTGGCAAATAATTCCAGCTTTAGCTATACTTAATGTTTGTTGTTCCATTACTTCGTGAAGCATAGATCTTGTACTATCATTCATTTTATCAAATTCGTCAATACAACAAATACCATTATCGGCAAGAACAAGTGCTCCAGTTTGTAAAACTAATTGTCGAGTTTCTGGATCCTTGGTGACATAAGCAGTTAAACCAACGGCACTAGAACCTTGATAAAAAGAAGAAAAAAAAAAATGAAAAAATAAAATTTGAATTTACGTTTATAAATTTAATAACAAATTTTACAATACTAAACACACCTTTTCCACTGCTGTACTGAGATCGAGGTACTAAATTATAAACAAATTGTAATAATTGTGATTTACTGGTTCCAGGATCTCCACAGAGTAAAATATTAATTTCAGATCGGAAATGACTCCTGCCAGATGCATTGTGTGTTTTCTTTGTACCGCCAAATAATTGCAAAAGAATGCCCTTCTTAATGTCCTCGTTTTCATAAATACTAGGCGCAATGTTTCTTGCAAGTCGATCATATACATCCTTTTTCCGTGATAATAACTTTAAAAGTTCGATTCTTTCTGGAGGAAAGGCATGTTCTTTTCCTTCTTCCACATCGTACAATCTACATTTGCAAATGTATAATAAATAAAAGAACACGCACTGTATGTTAAATGAAAAAATGTATTAATGTACCTCTTAGAGTCCTGCTTCCTGTAATGAACAACATCGATATGTGTTTTGTACACTGAACGTATATTAGATGCTCTTGGGACAACTTGGATTGGAGATGCACAATAAATTCCAGTAACAATAACTCTATCACCAGCTGAAACTGCATCGACTAAGTCATTATGGGCAAATAATATAATGGTTTGCGGTGTTTGTCCAGCAGGCATATCATCCGGCGACTCTTGCAATTTAACCATTTGTTTATCGGAATAATGACTGCGATTATGAACCAAAGAGAAGCAATAATTATTGTTACAATTAGTGCAAACTGTGGGTTCATTAATACGACCTCTATCAATTTCCACGACAGTTGTGAGGGAACAAACGATGCATTTAAAGAATGCTTCTCGCATTTCAGGAATAACATTAGATGTTCGAATAACCATTCCCGATATAGTTATTAATTGGTCAATATCCTCAGGATTAAGCATACGCATGCTTTTTGTTCTGGCAACATTGAAAGGTCTTATTTGTATTTGATGATCCAGCACAGCAGCTGGATATTTCTCGAAAAACATTTCATTTACTGCCATGTCCATAGTTGGTATGATTTCCTGGGGATATGAAACTAATTGCTTATACAATTGCTCATCAAAAACTTGCAAATGAGCACAATTGATATTCATATAGGGTTCCTCTAAAGTATGAATTTCATGAAGTTTCTGCAAATATAATGGTTCCGATACATTCATATTTTCCGGTAGTTCATCATTTTCTGCTTCTGGATCAATGAAACGCTGAACAAATCTTTTAAACTGATCTTTACAACGGTTAATTACAACATTCGTTCCCCATACAACAAGCTGAGGACCAGCTAAATTTTCGCTTTCCGATGAAGTAACCAATCCAGCTACACCCGACTCTTCTGGAATCTAAAAACATTTAATATGGCTTATTGAAATCATTTCATATATTGATAAATATATTTTATAATTACATTATTTAAAAGGAATTTTAATAAATATATAAATAATTACATTATTTAAAAGGAATTTTATCTTAATATTCAAAATTTTATACAAAATATCAATGATTGGTATTAACTTACCGTTGGTTCAGATATAACATTAACCTGCCTCATTCTTTTATCAGTCCTAATATCTGATCTTTGACGAATAGGTGTTCCACGAATGCCACTTCTAGGTGTTCGAACAGATCCAAGAGAGCTTGGAGTGCCATAATTTAAAGGAGAAGATAAATCAATTTCCGTCATTCCTTGGGGAAGTGGACTTGTCATCAAAAGTTGATTAGGCGAAGAGACTGGAGCACTGGATGATGGTCCTTCTGAAGAAGCCACAATTGTTTCTTGGGCTCTGCGATTAACTCCCCATCTAAGTGGAGTATCGGACGAATCATTTGGTATTCCTATTAATAAGATTCGTTATTATGAATAAAAATTTTTAATTTATTTTAAATGACAATTTCCTTTTATATCTACCTCGCCTAGTTGGTGTGCCGCTTTGACTTGGTGTACCATTTTGATTTGGTGTGCCGTTTCGACTTGGTGTGCCGTTTCGACTTGGTGTGCCGTTTTGACTTGGCGTTGTTGCATTTTGTGCCCCGGGTACACTGGGTGAGCTTCTACTACTTGGAGATGATCTAACTACTTGACGTCTAGGTGTTCTTGATTCTGAACGCGTTGGAGTACGCGGAGGTCGCATTGGGCTTGACATCCTTTTATATAGTTCAAACTCAAATTTATATTAAGTATGGATTCTATAAATTACCGTACATTCGAAAATCTTCAATCGGCAGCTGGTATTTATATTCAATTATTTACCTCAACTATACACTTCCCGCCGAAATAATGTTCGGCCGTAAAAATATTGATGGACATAGAGTTGCATATATGAATTTGGCACATGGCAATAAAGAATTTTTATCTTCGGGTAATATAAATATGCTCTACTATGTATATATCTCCCTTTATTTAACAAACAAACTTGCATATTACATATGAAAAATATATAAGACGCTATGACCGTTTAATCAATTTAACAATATTTTAATTGCATTTTAAATTACCCTTTTAAGTTATTTAAAAATTTATACATTAGGACGTCTATATTTCAATAAAATTTAATATGTAACCTAATTTGTCGTACTCTTACTAATTACATAAAATATTCATGTTTTTTATAATAATAATAGAAATAAATTTATTGCAAATCTTCGGTGATAAAATTAATTCTACGCATGCGTAAAATGGTAAAAGAAACTCCTAAGCTCTAGTTACAATATTTCGCGCATTTTATCTGAAAAAATGCCTATAATTTTACTCATTACAATTAACAAAATAGTATTTTATCAATACTACTTTACTGTTTTAAATATGAATTCTTTATTCGAACTTATAGACTACAATGAATAATCAAAAGAGCTATTTGTTTTATTATATAACGATATTTTTAGAACATGCGATGTACCTCAAATAAATGAATTCTCCTTTAAAAATTAAGTTTATTAGTATTATTTATTAGTATAATTAAGTTTATGCGTTAAGTACGTAATACTACAATTATAATATAATTATAATACAAGTTAACTCAATTCTAATTTATAATTACATTTTATTCAAACAACAAATGAAAATTTTACAAAGAACTATTTTCCAATATATTAAATTCCTTATATACATATATATTAGTCAATAATATACAAAAGAATACTTAATTTCTATTACCAATTGAAAATACTGAATCGCATAAACAAACATGCTCTAAAAATAATCAATATAAGCACAACAATTATTATTATACAATATATTTGTAATTTATTTATTGGGTAAAAGCTATTCATAGTTAAACAATTGATTATCATTGTATGTATTAACTTATATTTATATTTTATTTATATAAAATTATAAATTAAGCTTTTACGGTTAGTTACTAATAGTATTTTCGAAGCATCAGTATTATATAAATAATTTTGAATCGATGACGCTGCATACTCGGTCACGATTAACATCTTTAGAAATTTCTCTTGCCATTAATTCTTTCATCAATATCAAAAAAACAAAACAAAAAAAAAAAACAACATTTAAAGACATATTTTGTTAATAGAAACTTTTAAACTACGATTTAATTATAAATTTTTTTAATTATTATGTACGAAATACTATTTTTAATCTAAATGTAAATGTTAATGTAATGTTTTACAAATTAATGATTAACGTCTGAAAATTTTTATTTACCTTTATTATTAATACCTTGTCATTGTTTCTCATTTAAATATGAAAAAATTTTATTCAATAACTGTTTAAATACATTATTTGTCATTATTTAATTAGGAAAATTAGTTTAGCTTTCATAAATTCTTTGATAAAATAAGCACAACTTTTATAAATAGTGAAAAAATAAAATAAAGTAGACAATACTACAATGAATATACTTAATATTAGATATAAAATAAATTATTAATAATATTATGCACAATATTAATAATATTACATTTAATGAAAAATAAAGACAATTAATACACGGATAAATAAATTTGTCATAAACTGGAAAAATAATTAAATAATATGGGACATGTTAAAACAAATGATACTTAAAAAGAGTATGTGAAAAAAGAAAATAATAGAAAGCAGAAGTTTTTTATGCAAGAAATTGGCCGTATAGGTATTAAATTTCAATTAATAAACAAAAAAAAACTAAAAATAATAGTAAAATTTTAAAATTTAAAAAGTTATTAACAAAATTTTAATTTAATTTTTAAAAAGTCATTTTTCATTTACAACTAATAATCACTCAAGACACTAATTAAGAAATATTAATCGTTAGAAATTCAAGTTGTAATTAACATAACAAACTAATAGGTCAATTTTTTACTTAGTTTTTTATTTATAGAAGTGTTTGAATATAATTTTATTCTATTATGTAAATTTGTGTATTGTTTTTCATGACTCTTGAGAAGAAACAAAAAATATAATTTATTAAATATTTCTTTTTTTTATAATTCTTATTAAATTATTAATTATATATTGCGAAAAATATAAAAATTAAATGTCGATATTTGGTTCTTCGGTGTAAATTTCATTAAATTTTCTATACATAATTGATAAAATGAGGATACTAAAGTGGGAGTATTAGGAAATAAATTGAACAAAATTCAGTTGAAATCCATCAACTTTATTTATATTGTAGTATATTTCCACAAATAATGAAAATAAAAATTTTTAGTTAGAATTATTTTTTAGATAAAAAAGTATCTCTTCTTTCGGAAAATCGTTTTTGTTCTACCACAATGTTTGGCGATTGTTTTTCTATTATCTTGTACATTTTTTTTTATCTTAAGCAACAAAACAAAATAAGATGTGAGGAATTATATAGCAAAGAAGGATCCAATGAAAAATGAATAGAAATTTAGTAGTAGAACAAATATATTATTTTACATTATTTATTTTTTGAAAGGTAATTGATTTTTATACATTTCGTTTTTAATAAAAGTTATAGCTTAAAATAGGTTACAGCGTAAATATTCATTTGTTGCTAATAATACAATTATTAACATTTATATCGTTATATTTAGAACATTTATAAATTCACTATTTTCATAATTTATAGCATTATAATCGAGAAATATATATATATATATATATATATATATATATATATATATATATATAGCATATAAAATTTAATTTTAAATATCATTAAATTTATAAAGAGATTAAATATTCGGTAAAAGATAAATAAAACAAACGATAATCTTTCAAAATATAAAAACAGTTATGAACTTTTAAAACAAGTTCTGGAAAATATATTTTTTAAATTCTATTCATTATAATAATGCAGTAATATTTGGAATTTTTTTAATTCTACAAATATAATATATATATATATATATATATATATATATATATATTTCAATACAATATAAATATTTGTTTAATTGCGTGTTTGTAAATATTTATGTTTCAATTTGTATTTATGCATTTCGAATCTAAGGTGTAAAAATCATTGTAGTAACTTAAAAAGTACAATTCCAAAGTCGAGTGGATTTTTCATTTATATACAAAAGTCCACCCATGCAAATGTGTGTACATTAAGTGATGGAAATTTCACGTAAAATAGATTTTTTTATACTCACAGTAAGAATAATCTATATAAATTAAATATTTGAAATTATAATGAAATTCTATACATACTTTTAATTTGAACAAGAAATTATTACGAGGTAGAGGATTTTTACATTATTTTTAATTAATTTGATTATAATTAAAAACCTATTAAAATATTCACTTAATAATGTTAATAATCTATTTTACTTCCAAAGTGAGAAAAATTTTTAAAAAAGATAAATTTGCCTTTCATAAATATATTTTCAGTAATATTAATATGCTTTATAATTTTTCTTTGTTATATTTGGCAAATTTTTCTACTTTTGACCATAAAATCTTACTCAACGCGAAAAACAGTCTAGTGCTGCGGCACGGTCGTTACTTTCAATTTCAATGGGAATTTATTAAATAAGAAATTTTATGATCTTAGTAAAAATGAATAATACAATATAAACATACGACAATTATATTATTATATTGTAAATATGGTAAGAAAGGTCAGTATATATTTTCTTATTTTTCTAAAACTTTATTAATTTATGATATCCTAAACTTCTCTAAATTGAATTAATTTACAAATTAAATATATTTAATCTTTTCTTCTCAATATCAAAATGTAAATCATTATTTAATTTATAAGCCTTTATTCCATTTATTGCATTTCTATCTTTATCGATAATTAAAAAATTTACATTAAATGTTATCCAACATAGCTTTTCTTTTATATATTTTACTATCGTTTCTTTAACTTTTATTTACAAAATAATATATTTTGAACGTTGATTTTTTTATTTCTTATTACATTGATTTATATAATATATTCCGAGTGTGTGAAAAATTAGCGATTTAATGTAACTATTATATTAGTGAAATGAATAATCTTTTTTAAATTAATAATTTCTTATAATGTATACTCTACTGGTGAAATTGAATAAAATTTCTATATATGAGCTCAAAAATATATTTTATTCAAAACTGTGCATAATAACACGTTCTTCTAAATCTCAAGTCGATAAGCGCCTTACATGTAAGCTCATTTCGATTTCGATGCCGTTGTAATCTAACTATAAGCATGTATTATACAAATTTTAAGTAAGAATGCATATGTATGTATGCGCGCGCCCCTATTTCTCCTTCATATATTTTATCCGTATAAATGTAGATTGATATTAGATTTTTCTGTTACCTTGGTTTAAGGACTTAGTTTAGTTATTTATTTTAATAGCGTAGCTTTGCTTTAATCACTGCTAAATTCGAGAATTGATGAGGAAAATCATCGATAATCACAAAGCTGAAGATTAACTGGTAATCTTTAAAAACATAACCGATCGGCATTAAATAAAATTTATAAGCGATGTAAAAGCAAAAAATATATTACAGTATTATGGAACTAATACTTAATTATGTATATAAAATAAATAATAATACGATATTTTCTAATTTTAATTTTCTAATTTTTCTAATATGAAAATATCATTCTATACGTACGAGCGGATACGCGACGAAAATCGTATCTTTAACAAATTTTGCATTCATCAATGTTTGATGCAAATAATAAATAATAAATAAATAAGTTATTTATAAAAACAAAATACATTAAATAATTTATCATTTATATGCTTAGCACATGACTGTTTAATTTCTTCACTCCGTTACCCCATTTTTTTTTTATCTTTTTCATACATAATAAGATGTAAACCATTATTTTATTAATTTATTGAGATCTTTAAGAATAATTGTTTACCATAACTGAAACTCGGGTTCACTTGACTCGATGAATGTCAGTAAAGAAATGAAAAGAGCGAATAGAATTGTGACTTATCGAAACGCTCTAAGAGCATAAAAAGCATTTCGTGATTTTGACAAAATATTTACATTAACGAATAAATCGAGAAGTATATAATTCTTTAATACTGTTATCTATGAAAATATAATTAGTATGACAATACATATATATGCTATATGAAATCATAAGTTTCTTCTATGAAAAATAATCTTAGTAAGTCCATTGTCGTCAGTGCAACCATTCGTATAAATTTGTAACTGTAGTTTCTATGTTAAATTAAATTACAAATTTCCATTATCATTTTGATGTGCATTAATTTTTTAATACAGATATTCGGTCCTACAAATTCAACGTTTAGTAAGATTATATCCAAAAAAGTATAATTGTAACTATTATATAGTTTTGTATTCCTTAAAGAAACATTTGGAAATGAAGCTATGACAATAAATATAACGATATATTAAATTAAATGAAAACTGAAACTTACAACTTAAAAAATTCAATTTAAATAAACGTTATAATTGTTTTTCTATAGAAATTAATGAAATTATATCGATATTAATAAAAATTTATATGTGTTATAAGCAGTTATAAAAATGAAAAGCAATAATTACACTTTAATATCTTTTGACTCGTGTATAGTAAGATCACATGTCACAAGTATTTTATAAAAAATTAAAAATAAAACTTATTTAACTTCTTTATTGCACACTTAAAAGAATAAGGACAAAGGAACAATGCAGTGCTTATACTTTTTCTTATTTATAAATCTGGTAACATTGATAGAATTATTTAAAAACTCTTCGAATACGCATATTCAGTATGAATTATTTATTTATATAAAGGTAATATAATATCGACAATACTTATAATCTTCTGTATATTTTGCAGTTTATTACCGCGTGTTATTATTATTATTATTATTATTATTATTATTATTTTTATTTTTATTTTTAATCAAATATTACTTAGCAATACAGATAAAGCAACATAACTTCGAACGTTTTCTCTATGCGATTTTTCATGAAATTCTCTAATTCTACATTAAAGTTGTATCTTCAAATGCATTCCGTGAGATTGACGAAACATTTTCATTTCTTTTTTTTTCATCGCAAAGAATTGTTTTAAATCGCCTAAACTCTAAAAAAGTAAACTTGTTTTATTGCTGTTTTCTCTTCGTTCCTTGCAGTTTTCGAGCAACTAAAATACATTAAGGGAATGTGAAATAAACATTTTTCTTTAATTTTAATCTAGTAAAAGTCATATTAGCACGCAATTAACGGGGAAGTAGGTCCCTAAGTTTAAATGTCCGATCAGAGTAAAATTATTGCTTTAAAAGGATAATTATTACATGAAGCAAATAATCGATTAGTCTGTAGATAGAGATTATAAATGTATAACAAATAATTGAAACTTACATATAAGGTGCCAAATCTTTAAAATACATGATAATTAATCTTAGGTGTATTTTCCTTCTATTAAAAAAAAAAAAAAAGTTCTTACAGTAATTAACAATAAACAAATATATATATATATATATATATATATATACTTAAAATTTCTTCATTATTCATTTTTTTTATTTTTATTTCCTTTAATGTATGTATTCTAAATTTAACATTTTTTATGCATATAATTTATGCGCTAAAGCAATTCGATTGGACTATTGTGGATCGTGTAAGAGTAAAGAAAGTGAAGGATCGACAGTTGTTATATATCAAACTTAATAAGACACTCCATACGTTAAGTTGATAATTTAGCCTTTTTTGCATGGTTCGATAGCCTCGGTAAGTCCATAATTCTCCCAATAGCCGGGCAATAAGATTGGAAAGTATAACTTATTACGATATTCGAACAGAGCTCGAAGTTTTCATTTTTTTTTTTTTTTTAATTTTTAAGCGAGAATTATGGGAAGCGCATCCACGAAATCGGTTGCACCCACGACATAATGCCCATACGGAGTATTATGGATGGACTTCTATCATGACAATTTCTACAGGGAAATAAAGAAACATGAGAGTAGAAGAGAATCGATCGATATCAACTACATATTCCCAGCCTCTCGTACCGTCACAAAAACTCTACGAGCTCCGAGGACATGCTTATGCCATGGCTAGTGTTAGAAGCGGACAGGTGAGATAGAGAAAGCGTATTTGTCGTCTCATTAAGCACTCACTAGACATGCCGAATCTATCCCAATTGTGCAAACTTACATTTAACCGTAGCACATATTTTATTATGGAATATTTTCTTATTCTAAAATACGATTTATTAACGAATTAACGAGACGTTAATTATACCACGGCGTTAATATGAAAATAGTACAATCCCATAAAGAAATAATAAAAAATCGAGAAATACATTGATAAGTAATAATTGCAAAACAAAACGAAAAACACCCGAAAGCACAAAATATGAAAGGTAAATAATTAATGTCAAAAAGATATATATATATATATATATATTATATATATATATATATATATATATATAATATATATTTATATATATATATATATATATATATATAAATTATAATGAGATAAAAGAAAGTGAGATGAAAAATATAGCTTATTTGCTGTTAGGTTTATCAAGTAATAAAATCGATTTTACCGAGCAACCAATTAAGATCAACACTGGATTAAATTAGCAGGAAATAAAAGTTCAGTATTAACCGCGACGTTGTGTTTGTAAACCCTAAAAGTGGGTCAAGTAGCAATCGCAAGACATATAATTATCTTTAATAATAGTTTCGGCAATAAATTTCTATCTACGTTTAATAATTTGCATAAGGTAAAGTATATCTTTGTTAAAGATTTATATGTCATTGGAAATTGATGAAATAGGCCTTCCAGCATTAATGTCAGAACACTTCAAAATCGATAAATCCCAAACACTATAATTCTTATTCAATAAATATAATTGTAGTTAATTTGTATGGTTAATTTAAATTTAAAGCAATGTCAATTTAAATAGAAAAAAAGTAATCGAGGTAAAAACTGACTTTTCGCGCCTTTTTCATATGAATTCACTCAATTTACCAGAAAAAAAGCCTTGAAAAAAGCCTTATAAAATGTCATAGAAAATCTTGAAATTTTTGGTGATATTTAAGATGAAATTTTATGTATATTTCATTTTATTTTAACGCTTAAAACATAGGAGAGATAAATTAATCTAACGGAAATTTTGTTCACATTTAAAAAAAAAATAAGCCACACTGAATACTTTAGTTTAATTTTAAACGATTTAATTTTCCAAATTCTTATGATCTTGTAGTAATTTGCAAACTTTATTACCCTTAATGATTTATCTATAGAGCTTTTTAAAATATTTTATTCTTTTTCAATGAAAAATGAAGATTAGTAAAAGCAATTTTTCTCTAAAAGCAATTGTATCTCGTGAAGGGTATGTCAATACTTACGGTATTAGTGTCCAGCTATATGCAATTTTTTTTTTTTTTTTTTTTTTTTTTTTAAAGCAATGAGTATTTCGTTTAGTCAAATAGAATTAATACTGTACAGAAAGAAGCTGCAAAGATTAGAGAGGCAGAGTAAGTGAAATAAGATTTACATAAATGTATTGGTTAAATAAAAAATATTGTTGGCAAAATTACCTTGTCCGATCTTTTCTTGTAGAATACTTTCTTACAACACACGTGCAATTGATATTATTTGTATAAAAAGTTATTGTGATTTAATAAGAATTTTATTTAAAGTATGTCGGTACATCAAATATTCATGATATTAATTAACCAAGTAAGATCCAATCGTCAGAATCTTCATACATTATTGATCTTACAAATTGTTTAGATTGGGCTGAAGATAATGTAAAAATTTATTTTTATCGTTATTAAAATTTCAATTAGACTTAATTTAATAATATAATCGACATTTTACATTTCTGCGTCTATATACATTTTTAATAATTTAATTTCGATGAATTTATATTTATTAAATAGTTTTCCTTTCTATTTATTATTATTTCGTATAAATATTTTACCAAAATTTCTTGTAAATAGTACGAATTGATCTACTTTAATAGAAAATATACAGGTGTCATCGCATACGAGTATGTATTAAATTAATACTAAATTCTACCTGTATTGATTTTATTTATTTGCTTATATTTATCAACACCATCGATCATTTGTTTATCACAGGTACGAAAAATACATGTTAAATGATCTATGATAATACGATTTAGCATATTTTGTTTTAAAATAAAATAAAACTGTTTTGCAAATATAAATCATTAAAAGAAGAAATATTAATTCAAAATACCATTAAATTTAGCTTCTGATATTTTCTGATATGTCAAATCAGATTTATTATCGCATAATTGTTGCGTATCGGGACATTTTTTATTGCTATCAGAGTCTTCGAATTTAATTAATTCAGTTTTATAATTATCCGTATTTTTTACAGTAGATTCTGACGCTAATGAATCACAATTTTGGTCAATATTGTAAGAACACGTGAGATCATTTGTATATGCTTCATTAAAATCAATGGAGCTACAATCATTAGATTTTAAATTACAATTTTGATTCTTCGTAATATATATGGATAAATCTAAATTTAGATAATTGAATAAGAGTTTTTCTCTATCTTGAATAGATTTTTCAATGCTTTCTAAATTATTATCCGATTTCAATACATAGTCTGTGTCAATATTTTGCATTTGTTGAATCGAATTTCCAGATTCAGTTAATCCATTATTTATGTTATGCTTGTGACTATTTATTGGTATATCACGACTCTCTGTCGTCATTGTTTTTATTTGCGAAGCTTCGGTATTTGCAATTTCCTTTTTCAATCCATCACTTTTTCTTTGCGGAGTAAAAACAATTTCTTCAAAATCTTGTTCTCCAATTTTCTGAAATATGTCCTTGCAATCCATTAAGAATTTTGTATCTTCAATATTAAATTGATTGTTTATTAGATTAACTTCGGTTGATAAAGGGTGATGTGATTTTGTTGAAATAGTAGACGACATTTCAATCGCTTCGTGCGCATTTATTATCGAAGTGGTATCTACTCCAATAGTCACAGATGGAGAAATACTGTAACAATGCAGAGATTATCAATCAAATTTGTTGGCACAGGTATGACTTATACTTGAAAATCGATTGTCATTTATAAAATTCTTTCAAATTAATATAAATATCAATATTGTGATAATACTTATAATGTGAAAATTTTAAGTTTCATACATAATTTTTATTACTTAATTTTTAAGTAAGTTTGGAATTTATAAGTAATTTTTATTTATCGGTAAACAGTAGAATACAGAAAATTTCCATTATGTTGTAGTAATTTTTTTTTTTTTTTTAAGTATCACTTTTTTAATCAACATATTTACGGAAATTAAAAAAAAACGGATGCTATTAGAAGATTAAAAATTCTAATAAGCAATTAATAATGGTTTAATCAACAATTTCAATTACTTATTTAATTACTTATTTAATAACAATTACTTATTTAATTTAATTAATTATTTAAATTATTGTAATTAAACACTTTATAAGTAGCGCAACGAATGCTGTCAAACCACTTCGATTTCATAGTTATTTTAATGATGATGTGAGAGAAACATTCGTGTTAATGGTAAAATCATTTAGCTCTGGATAAGTTTTAGCAATAAGCCAAAAAACATAATTGAATGGTACAAATTTCTTCACAAATAATTGATAGTTCACTTTTTATATTAACAAAAAGAAAAAAACAAAAACAAAACACAAACAAAACAAACAAAACAAACAAACAAACAAACTAATTAAATTAATTTATAATTTACGTTCTTGGCTGTTCATTGTTCATCGATTTTACTTTATCAAATGGTAGAGCAGATATGATGGGAGTTAATTTCCATTTTGTTCTTAAGTTTTCAAGACCTGAAGTTATTGGATTATTTAATTCGCTAATCGATTTTAACTGATTCATAAATCGATTTTTTGCTAAAATATAAATAATTTAAAATTAAAACAAGTAAGTATTAAATACACGAATGAAATATGTCAAATATAACAAACGAATACTTGCTTAAAATAAGCGTACCTGCGTTAAAAGGAATTATTTCGGGATAACCAGCTATCCGTAAAATATTTCTTTCGCCCTCGAGGATAAATATTTCATCGTTACAACATGCAATGTCCGTTACTTTTCGTAAATCAGTTATAACCGATGTTATTGTGTTTGTACTTGGACTTATAAAGTAAACTATATCATTATTATAAGTTACTAATAAATCGTCGGAAAATGTCATTACTAAACCAAAAGTTGGATTTTCTTGAGTTTTTCTTCTGGCATTATCCGGTGCTGGATTCAGCAATTTCACTTTGGCTTGGTCTACCTTAATGGCTTCCTATCATAAAATATATTTTATTATCAGGTAAATGGACAGGCAATAATTATTTCACTTAAGGTTTTTCATACTTTTAGGATTAAAGTCTTTAATACGATTCCCTTTCTATCTGCTTGCCAAATTCGTAGTCCAGGTCTACTGGCATAAATTATCGGCTGGTCAATATAATTTTTGTTTTTAGCAAAGATTGCTCCAAATTTTCCAAGACTATAATCGATTAACAAAAATTATTTTTCAACATTATGTGATATAAAAATCGGATAAAAATTATAAGTTTAAGTTACATACAATTTTCTATCTTTCTGTCCAACTTGCGTAATTTTATTATCATGATTTATATCGACGATGATAGTTCGAAATAACGTTGATATTAACAGTAATCCATTTTGATAACTCAATTGTACCACGGAATAGGTCTCATTTAAAAATTCAGTAGACTTAGATAAGTGCTGTATGTATGTGCCAATTATAAAAAAAAACTTTTAGTACATTAAAATTATTCCAGTAAAATAAAAATATGCTAAATTTACAACATATCACTGTAAAATAAATGTTCTTATTATGTACAAATGATATAAAAATTTGATAATAATGAAATAATTTCTGATTTATTATGTGAAATGATGCCCATGAAATAGAACAAGGACTAACCGAAATGAAGGCCTATAAATCTTGAAAGCAATCCATAAGGATTCGAGATCTGTAGTATCCTGAATCGATCCATCATTGTACTTTTGGAAGTGCTAAAAAATCCAATTGCATCAATCACTGGGATATTGTCGAGAGTCGATTTCACCTACCGAATTCATAATAATTTCTTGTCAAATCGATAATAATTTTGCCAGAATCATTGGATGCGACTCTTGATCCTGCATATCTCGTAACGAGCGTGTAATTACGAAAAGGAAAACGCGGCTGTAATTGAACGATTAAATAGAAATCTCGTCAGGAATATTAGTCAGGGAGAAGAGAATGCCCACACACGCGAACGAGTACACGCTATCTGCAGCTCTTGTCAAAGAGTAGGAAGATGCGACATAAGGAGGGGAGTGGGATAACACGAAGCTCAGTTGGTGAGTCGCAAGTTTGTCCCAAAAACTAAATTCGAATGCGCACCTACAAAGGGAATTAGAAATAGTCGAGTCGGCCGTTTTTGGGATGACCAAACATAATGTTTTCGCTAATTTATAAATGACAAGAATATCTGACCCTTGAAACTGATAATATCGATCATTGGAATTGCCAATCTCGCTATCATTATGATTAAATTTAAGAAAATTATGTGATAGTCGATCGAAAATTGAGATATTAAATATTATATTACTGTGCGAAAATAGACGTACATGATTATTTTATATATTGTAAATATATAAATATATTGTATATATTATATAATATATATATATATATATATATATATATATATTGTATATATAAAAATATGTAAATATATTGTAAATATATCGTAAAAACAAAATGGGTCTGCGTTTTACAGCAGAAAATTTCAATGATCATTAACAGTATAATAATTATTGCAATTTTTCGGTAAAATCGATCTCTTCTTAAGACAAATTAATGACATTTTATTTATTACACATTACGATGCGATGCGTATTAAAATGTAATTTACTACCACTAATTGCATATACATATATTTATAATAGAGCTTTACGTTCGTAAATTTAACATTGATATTGAATGAAATAATCCTTACTAACCATATGAAAATCTATTTTTGTCAATACAACTAGACCATTTTCATCACCGCTAAATAATTTCATTCCATTTTTAGACCATTGTACCGACGTTACAGACACTTTATGGAGCTCGCTAATATTAAATCTCTCTACCTTCAAAATAAAAAAGTATGTATATTATTATGTATGTTTGTTATTTCATTTTGAAAGAATCTACCTGTTTTTTCTTCTTAGGCTTCCATGTTTCGGGTAACGAATCAGGAAGTTGTTTTGGTATTTGAAAAATTGTAACTACTCCACGATTATTGCCTGCCGCTACCATATAATCTACAGTAGATATAACTTGAATACAAGTTATAATACTATTGGTATCCTAATAAAATTCCAATTATTAATAATTCATTATATTGCTGCAGAAATTATAATTATTTTACAAAGGAATTTATATAAAGAGATTCATGTAGAATAGATGTAAAATATAAAGATAACATAAATTGAAGTACACAAAAAGTTTATCCAATCTTAATTTAATGTATTAAATTTAAGATATTAAAATTAAATAAAATATGAAAAATATAAAATGTTTATTTAATCATTTGCAGATCTACGATATTTGACATACTTGACATCCAAGCGTTTCAATTTCTTCAGTTTTTCTATTGAACCAATAAACAACACCATGATTCGTTCCCACAGCAATGAATTTTGTTATAACATCGATGCAAGTAAAATTTATATCTCGATTGAAAAGACCAATTTTATATTTATCAGGAATTTTTTCTAATAGGGTAGTAAGCGGAGCCCATTCTTGAAGTGGATTATCATTGTCTTGACTTATTAAATTTGCCATTTTTTAAGTTTTTGTCAATTCATGTTAAAGTTATTATTTGATGCATTAGCTTATTCAATAATTGTTCGATACATTAAAGGCTAACATTATCGTCCAATTATCATTCGTTTATTATGGATTAGATCTCTTATAAAATTAAATGAACGATTATTACGAATGCACAATTTTATACGCATAAATGATTTGACAATTCAATTTATCAGAATAATTATAAATTGCTGGAGCACTTTATCGTCTGAATTTTACAATTACAACGACATTCGTTAAATACATAAATCCCACTAGTTTTCACTTCAAAATATTTTATGAAAATTGAGCTGAAAAGCAAAGCAAATGTAAGAATTCCATTAAATTCGATTTAATTCGTAAAATGCACAACTTCTTGATTCATACTTTGCACCAACGCAATATTTTTATAATTGCAACGTGTCATAACCTCAATCCGCGATAGAACTCGGTATTGATTATAAATGTGGTTACTTTTAAATTTTTTTAATTTTTAATGTCAAAAATGTAGTTGAATCGTAATCGGAGAGTATCGAGTGCCTATGATATTTTTCATTTTCATTTTTATAATTCAATACGCTACTTGAATAACAATACTTTGGCAATGAAAATAAACATGCTCCAATTAACCAATCATTATAATTAAAAAACAAAAATAATGCGAGTTTTGAAATTTATACCAATGCGATAATGTCATCAACTTTTAATAATTCACAAAACTTCGCTTCTACCATAACCGCGTAAAACTTCATATTAATAAAAACTTGAAATAAAAATATATTTCATTTCAAATGGTAACATTGATTATCTAAAATTATTTATTAACTAGCTGCCGTAATATTGTACAAACGTTAATAAACGCGTGTAAAATAATAAGCGAATAAACAACGAAGTGAATGTAATGATTCCAAAAAAAAAAAAAAAAAAAAAAAAAACCAAGAAAGTAATATTAATGTGCGTTAAATAGCAAAATGAATATGAATTTTGTGTTATGCGATTAAATAATATTATACAAAGGCTACGATTTAGCGTCATCGTGTCACTTGAGTAATAAAACAAAAGTTGTTTTACGAACGACAATGTAAAACAAACACTCAAGATCGAGAAGCAATTAATGTAATATAACAAAGATCTCCGAAGATTTAATTGATTCGTTAAATGAAGAGGTCAATTAATAATAACTCCCCCCCCCACCTCCGGTTTAATCAACCAACGCATAAATTACGCGTTCGAAAGAGACGGGTAGATTGCAATTATTTGTTTACCAGAGCTAATTTTATTATTATCGTAATGTAGCACTATAATGATAAATTATAGTCATAATAATACAACATTGGAACTTACAATTCATTATAATAGAGCATATATTATTTATTACAATAGAATAAAATTAGAATTATTGTTTAGTTACTTTTAGTTTTATGGCATCAGTTTACGTTCAAATATTCTTTTTCTAATTAGCTTTTTTTTTTTTTTTTTTTTTTTTAAGGATTGCCAATATCCTGTACCAATTACTTCCAATTGAATTGCATTCGACTTTGGAACAACTGTTTAGAATGAAGATTAAATTAAAAAGGTGTTTATATAATTTTCTTGCAGGGATTAACAATCTAACTATCCAGAGCTTTCAAATAGAAGCTGAGCTGAAGCTCTGCAATATCCAACAAATTAAAAAACCTCGATTTTACAAAAACTTTTAATGCGATATAAAACTATCTATGTACGTGCAAGTACTTTACATAAGCAAGTGACTCGTCATTTATGATAAATTGGGAAAATAAATTCAGGATTAACTTAAGGATATATTAATATTAAAAAATAATCAATTTCATCAGCTTTAATAAAACTATTAAAAAATTTGTTAACATTTATTAAATAATTTTAGATATTCGTTCAAATAATGACGTTAAAATCATTTATTTTCTAGCGGAATTTACACGTATTTCTTAAGGACACGACGAATCAAGTCTATGAGTTTCGCGAGTCTTTACCATACAAAAACTATAAATTTATACAAATACAAATATATATGAATTCCATTTAATAAGATGAAATTCTTCAACCTATGCAATTTGAATTACGTTATTGTTTACACATTTCTTACGATTTTACGAATATAAAAAATAAAAATTATCGTATCGTATATTATTTTGTATATTAATAAATAGTGCTGTAATTTTAGCATTTTTACAAGCAACACCAATAATTGTAAATATTTAATGGTGTATTATATTTTTGTGATATTATATGTTTTTAACGCAAGTCGAATTATAATATTTAAATTAATATAAAGCGGCTTAAATATTCAAATTAAGGGACATAAAATATTCATAATTACATTTTTTACCAAGAAATTTTAAATATTTTTCGGTAATTAATTAAGGTCAAATTCCAGTAATTAAAGTCTTGGAAATATCCAAGTATTACTTATAATTTAATCGATAATAAATAAGGAATTATATAAAAATATAAAAGAAGAAGTTCGATAAAATGTTAAATACAAAGAACCTTATTGATAATATTGATACTTCAAACGATGCTGCGTCAAGAAAAGTTAATGCGTCAATTTACTTGCTGTTTAAATTTTAAATTTATTTATCTAAGTAGAGAATTAAAAAGGGAGAGCTAGAGAGAGAGAGAGAGAGAGAGAGAGAGAGAGAGAGAGAGAGACCAAAGTTTCAATATTTCAGTAAAAGAATGAAAATTGTTGATTATGATTTTTCAGGAAAAATAATTGAGATTATATTTTTTAATAAAATATTTCTATTGTATATTGATGAAACGCTTTATCAAAAGATCTAAATTCTAAAAGGTTTAACTTTCCAGATATGACAAATGATCCAATAGATGAAAAGGATAAATTTATAGGCTGGAATATTCATCAATTATCTGCATTTTTACTTGCTTAATAAGAAAAAAATCTATAAAATCACAATATTCAAAAGCTTTATTATTATAAAATTTTTATTAAATAATTAAAAAAAAAAAAAAAAATTCACACTGCATAATACAGCATCGTCAATTGCAAAAATTACATCGTCGTAAGAAAAAGAGAAATTATAGAAAATATTTCAGCCACCGACATGCAAATCTTCAATATCTTCAAATATAAGCACCACTGATAAAATAAATATCCTATATATAGTTTATTTAATTTTTATAAAAATAACGTATACTCGATCCACGGCATTTTCTAAAGGAAAAAATATTTGCAAATTCATAGTCTATTCAACTGATAAGTTATTAAATAAATTAAATTTCAGAAATAATTACGTATTGAATTGTTAAGTAATACGATTACATCACTAAGTAGCTAAATGAAAATGAATTTTGATTATATTAGATTCCCTTTAGACGAATATTGTGTTAAAATGACATACTTATAGCAATAATAATGTGATTAGACAGAAGATTTCTAGGCATAGAATATAATTATACAATATTTTATTAAAAGTAAATATAAGTATAATATAAATATCATACCGAGTTGCTCAATGTCGAAAACTGTAGAAAACTACTTAATTAACGAATGATGATACTATTATGATAAAATGATAAAACTACTTAAATAAGGAATGAAAAATTTAACTTTGATGAGCATTATATATAAATTATAAATTCCTATCACGTTCATTCATATTGAAAAACAAATTAATCACCAAAAACGTAATGTTCATCAATTTAGTTTTAAATGGCATTATATTTTATCATTATTTCACACAATTATTTTTATCTTTCGACATTGTAATTGTACGACCATTAAATTGTTTAAATATAAAAATTTATTCTAATCTATACTTTAAAGATCCATTTACAAGAATTTTTTAATACAATTATTAGCACTTTGAATAAATATCTTTAATGTTTATTTATTTTAATTGTCGCAATTACTATTCTGTCGTTGTGTTTTTATTCATATATTTGTTACAACTTAACTATTATTACTATTGTTTATTTAAATTATATAAAGTTGTTTGATTTTATAACGAATTCTTATTTTTAAATCGAAAGCAGTCCATTATCAAGTATTGGCTATTAATAATTTTATTAATTAATAAATATTAAATGTACTTACTCGAGATTATATTTTTTTTTTTTTTTTTTTTTTTTTTTTGCTTCTTATAAAACGTAACTACTAAAGAACGTAAAACCTCGTTTAAAAATACATTTCATTTTCATTGCATAACATATACAAAGCAATTATTATTAATGGTAAAAGTACAATTATAATAGTACAAGACGTTTTGCTATGTATGAAACTCCAAATTTTATACAATTTTAACATAAAAATTAAAAAATTTTACATTATTACCTACCATTTAGTTAATATGAATTATTAATAAATGATTAAAATTGATATATAAATAAAATTACTTTTTATTGCAATAAATAAATGTAATATATTTCTTAATATCGTGTTTAATGTATAGAATGTCTTGAATAATTTATCATCAAATTATTATATATTGTAATAAATATTATTGATTTCTATTTATATTATCGAGCATCTTTATGATAAAATATACGCACAGTTAATGAAACAAAATAATATTCATAATTGATAAATTTTATTCATTTTAAGTATATTTATTTATAAACATATTTATTATACTAAAAATACCTTAATCGTGCAAAAAAAAACTGCGTAAATGTTTTACAAAGGAATGTAAAAGACGCTATAAATAAACATAAAAATGAAGATTTGTCTGAAAAATACGATTAAAGAGATGATTTGGCTCAAATGGCTTAATAGAAGTGTTAAAATTTCTATAATTAATAAAATCTGTGGTATGCCTTTATAATATATATATATATATATATATATATATATATATATATATATTGATGAATTACACATTAATATTATAAACAATGCGTTTATAAACAACGATCGTGAATTGAATATTATTGTATAACTCATTGAATTTACTGACTGTTGCTAAAGTCATATTTTAAAAGCAAATATTGTATTAATTACGAATTATACATAATTAATAAGAGTCCCTTTAATAAGAGTCGATATATCAAATATTTTTATAATCGCTTATATTACATAATTTGTAATTCATTCGGATGATAATTTTCAATTTCTTACTTTCGTTCTCGTGAAAATAACATGAGAATAACGTGTCTAATTATATATTTTAACAATGATAATTATGGATAATAATTATGTAAAAAGAAAGAAAAGACAGAAAATAAAGTATATATATTGTAAAAAGCTTGGGACAAGGATGTCATGAATGAAGTCAATCGAAAAGTTATACTCGTTGAATCATTGCCCCTCGCAGTTAAGTGGTGGGGAAGATGGGTCGGTGAGGGCGGTGAGGGCGGTGAGGGCGGTGAGGGAGGTGAGGGCGGTGAGGAGGGAGGAGGAGGGAGAGGAAAAAAGTTTTTGTAGTATTCCGTAAGAGGCCGTAGCGTACCAGTAGTAAAAATTGCGACCAAATTCAATTATTTTCATCTACTTTCATACCTCTTGTATAGTTCTTACGTTTTTTTTTTTTTTTTTTTTTTTTTTTTTTTTTTTTTTCTTTTTAAATATTTATTGCCCATTACCGGTTGTCCCGATCAATTCTACGTCGCCACTACCACCACTACCAATGCATAAGGTGTTTTATAAATTGTTTACTGCGAAAAGTAGTACCGAGCAGACGATACAGAAATTATAGATAATGCGTATTTAGATTAACATATATTGCACTGTGATTGCGTTGCACACCAGTGTGTATTGATAGTATAAAAGAAATTCACTTAGATAAGCGGAAGGATTGTTAAAGAAATATTGAAAGAAAGGTAAAGATTAAAAAAAAAAAAAAAAAGAAAAAAAAGAAAAAGTGCAATTCGGTTGAAATCCATGGCAGAAAGCAACGAAATCGCGCTTGATTCAAACGGGTGAGTAATTCCGAATTAATATCGATAGGCCGTGAGACTCTTGTAATCCTTATATTAATAATCTCAGTAGCTTAATATCATATTATCATACTTGATAATGAAGGTATTCGATAGGAATTCATTTGTTTCGTTGGTACGTATTTTTATATTCAATTGTCTTATCGATTATGAAAATCTATTAAAATATCTATCCAAAGTAACCCATAAACTAATTTTGAAAGTCATGCAAATTATTTGTGATGATTTTTACTTGTTTACAATTAATCTTGTTCTCTTTTCTTTAACAAAATTGTATTATGCAATAAACGTATTGTTAAAATATAATACCGAAATTCATATTAACAATGATGTAAGAGTTATCTAATTATATCCAACATGGTATGCATCGCTGAGTAAAAATAAACCAAATATAATCACTAGATCTTATATAGTACGGTTTGTGAAATATTAATGTTTATTGTATGGCTAATGTAACAATTTTGAAAATAATATTGGACAAATTTTATTGTATTTGCAGTTGGCTCTGGGGATGGTTTAGCTGGTCACGCTGTTCCTCAACCATGTTAAGGACAGTAGAAAAAAAAATATTCTCATGTGAGTGCATGGTGGAAAATGCAAGATTTCTTTTCTTAATCTTGCATTTGAACTACAATGACAGCTGGTTATTAATTGCTTTGTGACTCAGATAAATATTATACAATATATGTTTTTGCTGATAACAACTTTCAAGGATATACCATAGATAAGAAAAAAAAGTCAGTGTACGATGCTTTTGCATTAATATTCAGTGAATTAGTAAGAAAAAGTTTTCAATATTACAGTAAAAGCTCTTTTGTTGTAAATTTTTAATCTTTTCAATTAAAGTGACTGCAAACTTTATAATAACAATAATGTATTATCTATATTAAAATTATATCGCATTGAGTTATAATTTTTTATTTATTTTAAGAAGATTCGCAGTGACTTAGAATTAAATTATCCCAATTTAACATTTACAATCAAAGTCGTAATTGTTTCATCTGGGATCAATGTAAATAATGATTTTTTTTTTTTTTACTGAGATACATTTAAGCATTGTATCAATTAATTAAGAGAATTAAAATTTTTATATAATTACGGTTTTATAATACAAAGTAGAATATTATCACTTTGTAAATTATTTAGCCATCAAAGGTACCTGTTTAAAAGTATCGCGTTTAAAGAAATTTCAAACACCTATATTTATATACACTATATATATATATATATATATATATATATATATATATATATATATATATATATACACATTACCTTCCAAATGTATTTGATATTTATTCAAAACAGTTATAAAACTAAAATTGACATACTGAATAAAATAAGGATTCTTGAGAAATGCATTGCAAGATTATTTATATATTTTAGTTCTTTTTGCGTAATTGTACATGATTCGTTAAAAAAGTATTATAATTGATAATTTTTAAAAATAATATTTGAATATACAACTTAATGAAAATAAAAATTAATAATTTTTTTCTGACCACCGCATTAATAAAATAAGGATAATCGTAATTATATTGAAAAAATATCAATAATTGTTTCAGATCTTAAAACAGGGTATAGAGGTTGGTATGTTGATATTGGCCCAGTTGTGGGAGTTTCAGATAAAATTTGGACGATATCTCTTAATCAAGACAGTCCAAAAACGCCAATTGTTTTGCTACATGGTCTCGGAGCTGGTGTAGCACTATGGGTTTTAAATCTTGATACTCTGGCTATGCATAGACCCGTTTATGCTATAGATTTATTAGGTAAATATTTAAGATAAAAAAGCATTAAAATTTTTTTTTTTTTCTCTTAAAGGTCCATCGTTGTATTGTTAATTACTAAAAGTATGTGGATTAATTTATAATTAATTTTAGATTAATGTACGATAAGATTAGATTATTCATGAGCTTTAAAAGTTTCATAAATAAAGATGAAGACGATCAAATGCAACCTGTATTATGTTCAATTTTGCAATTTCAAATTTGTGTCTAAAAAATGAGAACAGAAATTTCATTCTCCTATAGTCATTTATTTTATATACGATTAAAATAGAAAAAGCTGCAACAAAAAAAAAATAAAGTAAAACAAAGACGGTTGTAAAAATGCAACTATCGAATGATGATTGCGCAATTATTGATTACAATTGTTAGTAAGAAATCAAAGAAAAATCTATCGTATGATATATCATATTTCATTATTTATTATCCACGAATAAAATTACAATAATGCAAAATAAATTTCACATTTTTCTTAATTTAATTATTATTTTTAAACTGTCTTTTATTTATTTTTTTTGTATAGGATTTGGTAGAAGTAGTAGACCAGTTTTCAGTAAACAAGCCGAAGAAGCTGAAAATCAATTAATTAACTCGGTAGAAGAATGGAGAAAAGAAATGCAGTTAGAAAAGTTTGTTCTACTTGGGCATTCGATGGGTGGTTTTTTAGCTGCTTCGTACGCTATTCAGTATCCAAAGCGAGTTAAGCATTTGATACTTGCCGATCCTTGGGGATTTCTAGAAAAGCCCAACGACGTTGCCAATAAAGTAGGATTGCCTCTTTGGTTAAAAGCATTAACATACGTTGTTATACCTCTTAATCCATTATGGGCTGTTAGATTCGCTGGACCATTTGGTAAGTTTTATATTGTGAAAAAGAAAAAAATAATGATAATTTTATTTATATATATATATATATATATATATAAAAGTTATAATACTATACTAGATGATTTATCATTTTCTATCAGGTCAACGACTTATTGAAACAATACGTCCAGATATAGTAAAAAAATTTGCTCCATTTTTGAAAGACGATCCCAGTATCATTTCACAATATATACATCAGTGTAACATTCAAAATCCGTCGTAAGTTTTAAACATAATATTTGTTTTTCATCAATATGTTGAAAAACTCATAATTTCTTGAAATTTACTTGAACAGTGGAGAAAGCGCTTTTTATGCAATGATGCAGGGCTTTGGATGGGCGAAAAATCCAATCGTTAAAAGAATTGATAAATTAGATCCTCAAATCTCTATAACACTTCTGTATGGTAGTAGGTCTTGGATAGATAATTTAAATGATGAAACGATAAAACAAATTAGATCATCTTCATATGTTAATGTTCAGGTAATTTTTACATTATTACATTAAATATTTGTCATCTTTTTGTATTAATTTTGTTCTATCAAACAGATAATTAGTGGTGCTGGACATCATGTTTATTTAGATAAATGTGATACTTTTAATAAATATGTGCTGGAAGCATGTGCCTTAAACGATACGAATTCTAAACTTATGTATTCCACAAATAAAGAAGATTTAAAGTTAATAGAGAATGATGATGTAAAAAATAATGACATTGTTAAAAAAAAAGGTGTTTATAATTAAGATTGAGAATTGAGACGACACGAACGAGAACAAATTAATAGTTATTCTTAAATTTTCTTTCATTAAACACAATTATTTATTAAAATAATATATACCTATCTACGAACAGCAAGATTTAAGTTGAAAATGACATTGTGCTACTTTTACACCGTTGAAAAATAATTAATTTCATTTTCATTAAATTATGATTAAAGAGTTAAAAAAGTTAAATATTTGATCTCTTAAAAAAAAAGAAAGAAAAATATATATATATATATATATATATATATATACAAAGTAATTAATTTATTTCTTTATACAATAATTTTAATAAAATAAAATTTTTTCTTTTAAGTTAACAAAGCTTATACTATAAGTCTGTTATATCTATTATTAAATTTGAAGAGATGTGATAATAAATTGAATTTTCAATTTATAAAATTATTTAAAAAAATTATAGTCTATAAACATAAAATTAAATATCGCTAGATTCTCTGAATCTTTAAAAGAAAGATGATAAAAAATGGAATAAAATGTTTGTAAGAATTATAGCTTTTAATATTATTAAGTGTTATTTTTATTTTAAATAAAAAATATATAAAAACGCATGCGATCACATAATGTAAAATTGTATATATTTTTATTATACCCTTATATTATATGTATTTAATATATATCTTCATTCGATATATTCGATATGAATCTATAAGATGTGATTATTCAAAAACATCGAGCATTGTAATACTAATATTTACAAGTTAACAATTTACTTATACAATGCTAAGCAAATTTAGTGGAATTATTTTCTTTGTATACTAAGATAATAATAATTTACAAAAGTTTCTAGCATTTTCTTATATAATAATCGATAATAAAATTTGTACTAATTGAAAATTCATATTTAACAATAATACATATCCATACGCGCATTAATTCATCATCATATAGTGTAATTAAATTTTATTAAAATTTTGAATACCTCAGTATTTAATGAGAACTATCTATAATGCATTGGCTTTGAAGACTTTAAAATTGAACGATATAAATGCGCTTAATAAACCATTAATGTTATTTTTCTCAAAGCTTCAACATTCAAATGATAGTTTATCGAATCCCAGTTTGCTATGAAATTACAAAAATATATAAAAATTAATTTTCGTAATTGTTGATTCGTCTATTTCATTAAATGCTTAATTCGTATAATATATAAGCTTTTTATTTAAGCAATAATTATAAATAAATTCATTTAAATTGATAGTCAAAGCATATAGAGTTGTCAGCTAGTAAGGGATAAGTTTTTGAAATTATACATAATTAATAAGAGTCGATATATCAAATATTTTTATAATCGCTTATATTACATAATTTGTAATTCATTCGGATGATAATTTTCAATTTCTCACTTTCGTTCTCGTGAAAATAACTTTGAAATGATCCGCCAGAGGTGTTACTATCGCGTTACCTATTTTCTATCGTCGGACCTTCTTTTTCATGTGCGACTAATTCTAGCTTGATTATTGTGGATTAATTTTATTTAATTTAAACGGCATAAAACTTTATAATATTGAAATGGCTTTACACGTACCGAAAGCACCCGGTGTTAGTCAAATGCTTAAGGACGGAGTTCGCGTATGTATAAGTTTTATTATTTTTGTACTTATAAGCTTAAATGCACTTTTATTGAAATTGGCACATGTGCTTTTATTCCATAGTAATATCAGGTTATCTTGTAGTTATTCATGTTATTACCATTTATGGATTTTTCATACATACCGAATTTCACACAAATTTGCGTTGATAATACTTATTGAAATAGCGTAAAATTTAGTATTTGGCAAAGCTATGCTAAAAAGACAATTTCATGAAAAAAAATCAAAATGTTTATCGTAACCTAAATATGAAATATATGAAAATTTATAAATATTAAGCACATTCTGTTCTTATATCTTGTTATAGATCGATATTAAATTATAATTACTACCATTAATAATGTTGGATATTATGTATTGATAAACTGAAAGTAAATAAATTTTATAACAATGATATTTAACTTTTTTCCCCAAAGTATTATTTTTCACTTACTATTTTAGCTATTAATCTGCTTCATTGTGCATAATGTAACGCTCATAATTTTAAAAAAATTTTAAATTGTAATTATTTTGAAAAGCTAAGAATCATTAAAAATCATAATTTAATTAATGGCAGCCAACTGTTATAAATATTTGATTAAACTAATAAGACATAAGATGTTTTGTGAGAATACAATTTTGATTAATTACTTTGCCATTTAGAGAGGCAAACGATATTTCAATTGTAATGATTAAGTCTTTAAATAATTAGTAAGGTTATAAACTTTGCTAAATGAAATTAGTTTTTGATCATGTACAATTTTATAATTGATATTTTATTGCAATTTAAAGTATTAATGATAATACATTGTGTATAAATTTGTATGTTATTTATGTTGATATTTATTGAATTAATATTTTGTTTAAATTTAGTTCTTTTCTGGATTAGAAGAAGCTGTATTCCGTAATATCACAGCTTGTAACACTTTTGCACGATCTGTGCGTACTGCTTACGGACCAAATGGGATGAATAAAATGGTAATTAATCATTTGGAAAAATTGTTTGTCACTAGTGATGCAGCAACTATTATTAAGGAATTGGATGTTGAGCATCCAGCTGCAAAATTATTGATTCTTGCGTCAGAAATGCAGGAAGCAGAAGTTGGAGATGGAACAAATTTTGTTATTATATTTGCTGGTGCTTTGCTTGAAGCAGCTGAAGAGCTTTTACGTTTGGTATATTATTTAAAAAATAATTTGAATAAAATAAGTGAGATAGTATGAATCATGAAGCTTAATATTTGTATTATAAACTTTAGGGAATAACAACTTCAGAAATAGTGGAGGGATATGAACTTGCTCTTGACAAGGTTTTAGAAGAATTGCCAAAATTGGTTATTTACGAAGCAAAAGATTATCGAGATATTAATCAAGTAAAAGCAGGTATCAAAACTGCAGTGATGAGCAAACAATATGGCAAAGAGAATTTTATTACTGACCTTGTCTGTCAAGCATGTATCGCGATTTTACCCAAAAGTGATTCTGAAAATAACAAAAGTTTTAACGTTGATAATATAAGAATTTGTAAAATTTTGGGTTCTGGCTTACATTCGTCACAGGTATAAAAACTAAATATAATCTCTGGATAATTTGATTTTATTAAATTTTATTAAAAGACTAATATTTAAATTGACGCAAAGGTTGTTAAAGGAATGGTCTTTCAAAGACAAGTGGAGGGACATGTGACAAAAGCAGTATCTGCAAAAATTGCTGTTTATTCGTGTCCTGTAGACATTACACAAACCGAAACCAAGGGAACAGTCCTAATTACGACGGCTGATGAATTACTGAATTTTTCTAGGGGCGAAGAGAATTTGTTAGAATCTCAAATTAAGGCTATCGCGGATAGTGGTGCTACAGTTATTGTTTCTGGTGGTAAATTTGGCGATATGGCTCTGTACTTTGTCAACAAGTACAATATGATGGCTGTTCGGGTTCCTAGTAAATTTGATTTGAGACGTCTGTGCAAAGCAGTAAAAGCAACGGCTTTACCGAAGTTGGTAAGAAATTTTGCTGACTGTAAATTTATATACATGTATTACTTAATGGATTGTTAGTTAAAATTAAAAAATATTAATTTCCAATACATATTATATAACTTTTTAAATAATAAATATTTCTGAATATTAAATATTAAATCAATTTATCAAAAATAAATATTATGTCTATTGTAGTATCATTATTATTTATAATAAATTTTCTAGATTATAACATCATTAGTATTAGATATATTTAAGTAAAATATTGGAATGATTGTACATGTTTTTTGTTGTTTTAAACATTTAATTAGGTCCCACCAAGTAAAGAAGAATTGGGATGCGCAGATAATGTTTATGTAATGGAACTCGGTGATACCATTGGAGTTGTTTTTGAGCTTCATGAAGAGGAACGTAGTATTAGCACTATTGTGATACGGGGTTCAACGGATAATTACATGGACGATATCGAAAGAGCGATAGACGATGGAGTAAATACTTTTAAAGCTATCACACGGGATAATCGTTTCCTTCCTGGAGCTGGTGCAACAGAAGTTGAGTTAGCTGCTAAAATTGCCACATACGCTGATACAATTCCGGGTTTAGAACAGTATGCTGTACGCAAGTTTTCTACTGCATTAGAGATTTTCCCAAAAACTTTATCAGAAAATAGCGGCACACACGCTTGTGAACTTTTATCAAAACTGTATGCACTTCATAAAGAAGGTAAAAGGAACTATGGATTTGATGTAGAGGTAAAATATTTTTAAATTTTCATAATTTGTTAAAAATATGTAACAAAATAATATTTACAATTATATTATGATTTATAGAGTTCTGGAGTAGCATCGGTAATAGATGCAGAAAAATCTGAAATATTTGATTTGTACTTAACGAAATTTTGGGCTTTTAAATATGCAGTCAATGTTGCATGTACCGTGCTTAAAATCGATCAAATTATCATGGCAAAAACAGTTGGTGGGCCAAAACTACCAGGAGAGAAATCAAATAGTGATGATGAATCATAATCAATTACAATCTTACTTTAAAGAAATACGATTAATTTTCTACTCTATTATCATAAACTGTTTTCATATTTGTAATAAATATTGGATTATAGTTCAAATTAATAATTATGTTCATTTTATTTATTTATTATGTACTTGATGAAGGTTTTATAAAAATATACTTCGTTAAAATTAATTTATTTTATTATAATTTTTATGTATTTATAATTAAGATGAAGTAGATGAGTCTTCTTCAGCTTCTCTTAGCCATTTTATAAAAGGTGCAACCGTGTTTCTTATGGCTCTTGCTATATTTTTCTTACTTTCTTGTTTTAAGCAATCCTCATTGTCACTATCGCAGTCTTGCGAAGTGTCTTGAATATCATCGCAATCTTGCTCATACCATTCAATGATTTTTTCTTCAAATAAAATATCGTTATCATAAAAGAAATGTAATAAATTTAGTACATATGGTAAAATTAATTCTTGACTCGAAGAAGCTACATCTTCAATGGCACGTAAGCAATCCTCTTGAGCATTTGGGGTTTTAATGTAATTCACAATTATAGGTTTAAAAAAATTTAACATTGTCTTTAAGATTTTGTAATACTCAGCATTATTTGAGCTGAGGCTAATTTTTGATATAGAATTATAATGTAATAAAGACAGATTTAGAATTGCTTTGATAACATTATAAGAAACTTGTCTTATACTAATATTGTAAGCATATCTTGAAGAATTAATTTCTAAAATTAAATTTTCGCACTTAAGCTTGTCTTGGTAGCCACGTAACAAGCTGTCAATAACCTCAGATAAAAACATTTCGTGATCATCTTGAAATGCTGGTGGAGGCGATGAATCTTTTAATGAAGGCGATGACGATGCTGATGAAAGAGATGAGGATAATGATGCATCTTCGTCAGAGTCAATATCATGATCATTTTCAGTAAGAATGGTTGCAAAGTTACTATCACAGTCACTCAAAGGCTCTTTCATATGTTCAATATCCCAATCAGAAATTCCAATAAGTGCATTACTATGATTTTTCGAGCATTTAATAGCATCTAATATTATGCAATCGGTTATTTTAAGATCTTTTTCTATAAAACAATTTGAAAAAATAATACTATTAGTCACTTCACAATTATCCTCAATTTGAACATATGAAAAAAGATATGAATTATTAATATGAACATTCTTTCCTATATTACACGAAGGTCCAATAACAGATCTTTTAATAAATGAATTTTTTCCTAATGTACTATGTTCACCAACAAGTGATGCACTATGTAAAGTACAGCCTTTAGATAATATTGAGCTAGAGTGTTTATATATAATTTTGGGCAGATAGATAAAATTCCTTAATGATAATGGCAATGTATCTGGAACTAGAGGATAACAGTGACGTTGTAGAATATCTCTAGAAAGAATTTTATAAGCTTTCCATGAAGTAATCGGTAGTGCATAAGTTGGATATATTAAAGGCTCCCAATATATTCTTGAATCTAAAAACTCTTCGTTTATTAAAACTCCACGAATAAAATCTTCCATTGTCTAAAATTAAAAAATTTGACCATCAATTTTAATCGAATATAGTGATGTTCTACATATTAAAAACACCTTATTTTGTGATTAAGCATTCCTAATTATTGCATAATATTAATATAATTAAAATATATTTTTGATATATTTGTTATTTAAAATTTTTTATAATATAAAACAAATTTTTAATGAGCCTTTATTGCAAGTATGTTTATGGAGGTGTGAAATTATTGAAAAAGTATTAAAAAAAACATTAATGCGTAGCTTTTTACATTGTATCTTTATCATAATTTTTTTTTATTACAAAGCTTAAAGCTTATGATTATTAATAGAAAAAAGTTAAATGGTTAATTTTGTAAAATTTCAGTTCATTGTGTAAATAATGAAATGATAATCTTACCTGAAAATCAAAATTATCAGCAAATAAAGGAAGAACAGATTGAGAACATACATAAATACGAGTATCGAATAAGGCAGTATTTATATGAACATTATCGTGATCTAAAAACCACTGTAGTTCGAGTTTAATTTTTTTTTCATTTGAATTTAATTTTTTGTAATGGAGTATTCTTCTTGTATTGGCAGTCGAAACAACTAAAGTAGATTCATTTTTTAAAGCGGAATCTTTGATATTACCAAGATTTCTAAGAACCATGGTTAAGACAACATTTTTGTCTTTCTCTTTTCGAACTCTATGTAAGTCCATAAGCGTCCGTAAATCAATATTAGCGAATACTGGACCACGTATTAATATAAAATCATCTCTGATACAACCATTTGTATCTATATCTCTAAGAGCATCCCCAAGCGATCCAGAATCATTCAATTGTATAGGTATTATTATTATATTTTTATCTTGAAAATGTTTTATTGAATCTGTAATTTTAGCCTTGTTAAGAGAGCTACTGTAGTACAAATAAACTGTTTGTACTCGTGAGCGTATTAAATTTTCTATTAGATAATCTAAAAGTGGCAAAGTAACAACAGGCAAAAGAATGCTAGGATAAACTTTTTCGATGGGTTTAAAATCATGAATGAATTCGTCCGCAAAAACAATAACCTTAAGACTCTCCTGTTTGCCGTATGTATTGTTCGGTAATTCTTTTATAACATTTACAGACATTTTTTCCCTTTCTCGTATTATCTTTTAATTATAATTATTATTAATTTCAAAATCAAATGTATTATTTAACATGACTGGAATAGTATATATATGCACAATAATCATATTATTACACGTATTACCTTTTTTTTATTTATTTATATCACATTTATAACCTTTAAATACATATTAGCGATAAATACAGGCAATGAAAATTATGAATGACAGTCTTACGCAAAAGGAAGCAAATGTCGCATGCGCACTGGAATTAAGTTTATTGGTGCTTAATATATGATGATTATTACATTTATAATTAATCTAATGCGAGTTAAAATTTCATATCTTCCTTCATATCAACATTCTTTTTCTACTTTCCTATCTACAATTTTACAATACTCGGTATTCTAACTAAATTACTTCGCTATTGTAAATAGTGTAATATATAATATATACTGTATATACACGTTATACATGTAATAGAATTAAAAATAACATATATTGAAAATATTTTCTCAGTTATTGTAGAAGAAATCTTGTTACAGGTCCTTGGGTTCGAGTTATATTTAATAAATATATCGTTCTTATTGAAGTTAAATTGAAGTTACATTTCAATAGAATATTAAAAAATGTTAATGAAATACAGACTAGCATGCAAATATTATGTTTTTCTTTCTAGCGTTATTTCATTAGTAAAACAAGCAATATTTATGATAAATATAATGCTTAATTAAATAATGATTGAAAAGTTGTAAACATGTAATTTTAACATTTTTATTCAGAATTAAATTTAAGGCTCATATTATCTTTCTTATTATAATGATTTTTGTGTTTAAAATATTTCTATAAGATTCTTATTACAGATTACATATATACATTAAGATTATTATTCTTATTATATATATATTTATATATAATTATACTTAAGTTAAAAAATTAAGCATTTCAATATCTATAATCATAATGCTAAAATAAAAAATATGAAAAAATAACAATTTATTTACTTCTGCATTACATTACGCATACATGAAATATCTGTATTAATTTATATATACTTTTATTCAAACGTAACAATTGGATTAATTTCGTTTTGTCGATATAAAGTTATTTGATACCAAAACTTGTTGAGCAGCATTATTTATATGTCTAAAACGTTCTGATCCAAGATGAATTCCACCATACCATCGAGAAACTATGACTATGACATTTTTTATATTCATAATCTTAAGTAAAAACATTGTTCAAAATTAATAAGAATAATGTATTAAATTGGTACATAACACATTACCTGCAACAAATTTAATAATCTACTTCCACCTTGAGATTCTCCATCGTCGTTACAATCTTGTAAATAATTTTTTGTATTTTCATCATAAATTCTGTATGCATACATATTATGAGCTGCTTGTTGAATCTTTCGATTTTCTTTTAGTTTCATTATTACATTTCTATCAGAATGAAAAAAAAAAAAAATTCATATAGAAGGTAACCGTATAAGTTACTATAGAAAGTAACAATTTATATTTTTCATGCATACCGAACTTGACAACTGGAACGAACAATGGCAGCATGTCCTTGAAACGAACTTTTTCTATCAGAAATTACTTCTCCGTGACTAATTATTGGACATGTAATCTCAGTTTCGCTGGTAGTTAAAAGTTTGTTTGATTTTACATTCATATAATCATTATTTGTTAATTTCTCAATTGATTTTGAATATAAAGATTGCAATTCTTCTCTGATTTTTTCTATCCATTGAAATATTACATTTTGTCCGATATGTGATCTGAAAATTAAATATAAATGAACCAACCATTAAATTCAACAACTAAAATCACACCACCAACTTATTAAATCAAACAATGATTATATAATAACAATAATTATAATATAAAATCAAATTTTTACTTGAAAATTTAATTACTAACAAATAAATATCATTCAGAAGATTGAACAGATGCAATTTGTTCTCATGTTTTAAATGTGGAGCAGAAATTTCAAATGTTGGAGGTGATATTGAAGGATAAGAATCGGAAAATTTAACATAAAGTTTTACATATATGTTACTATCACAATCACTAACGATTGTAATACTATATTTTCTATTTTCATCATCTTCTATTTGAAATTCTGAACCATAAATAGCTTTTAAACTTTCTATTTCTTCTTTCTACAAATAAGAATAACGTTTTACAGCTCTATTATAGATTACAATTAATATAACTTACTTGTTTTGTTAAATTATCCATTTATTTACAGTTAAATATGCCTTTTATTGACAAAATTAAAATGAATGCTATTTATTATTATGTGAATCTGAAAACATGTATAAATGTATTAATTGTTACTTTTATTAATAAAAATATACAATCAATTCCATTCTGGAAATCACAGAAGTTCAGAGTATGTAAATACGTTAATATAAAATACTAAAATAAATAGAAACGAGATACACGTATGTAATAAATGGTAAACAGTATTTTACTTGAAAATTATACTGCATATTACGTGTGCATATACATAAATAATAATCATATGATGTAAATAGCATTATCGACATGTGCTTTGATTATTAAATTCGTCTCTAATTTACGCGATTTCTCCATTAAAATGTGCATATTTCCTATTTATAGATAAACATCCAACATTTATTTGCTTATATCTATAAATAATTTTCCATTTGTTATATATAGACACATATGAAAATTCAACATATAGGAATTATTATCATAATACAAAGAAATCCGTATTTATGACGAATATATCCATCCGTACGTTGAATAAACAAAAGAAGGTTAATAATTGTTTCTTTCAAACAAACTTTTCTAATTCTAATTCAATATTAACCTTCCATACATTAATTGCATATGTAAATTAAAAAAATTATTAAATTGAAAGCTTTCGAAATTATTAAAAAATTGAATTATTAAAAAAAAAGTTCGCTACTCTTACGATGTTTCATTAAGACAAATGACTATTGATATATAATGTTTTTACAATCAAAAATGTTTTTATTCGAAAAAAATTTTGAATTTACATTTAATATTAAAATATATGACAAAATATAATAAAATATATTCAATTTTCTGTTATCTTATAACTTGGCCTCCACAATTCAAATACAACTCATTCGAATAAACTTTTTTGTTATAAGCGTCGAATTAGATAAAATTACTTAAATATCATTTTTCAAATTCTATTGAAATTAATATCTGTGAATTTTTTACACATATTTACTTTGCGAAAATTTCATAAATCAATGGTGGAAAAAAATTACATTGACTATTTCCGTTTTTAAACATATATATTAAAAATATATAATCTATTCGTTCGTTCAAAACTAATTCTGCACAATACTTTAAAAATTTTCCAAACTACTTATTAATATTAAGACATTAGGTTATTCGATTATTCGAATAAATAATAATCCAATCAAATTTGTTATATATATCTTTTTAATAATTTGAAGCAAAACTTATACAGCGAATTTAATTTACTTATATATTACAAAATACAATTTTTATTTATTGAGAGAACTCGCCAAATTTCCATGAACAAATTACATATAAAATAAAAAGTAACGACATTCCACATTGAATAATAAATTAATTTAAAAATTTTTATCTTTATTAATTTAACATTTAAAGTCTATTTAAATAAAATAATAATATTTAATAAATGCGTACAATTAATTTATTTTCATTTTGTACATACTATTGATAATTTCGACTTCGACTTGGACGATCATGTAATATTGGTAATTTATAATATTTTTATTATCAAATTCATAAAAAAAAAAAAAAGTATCCAAATGCGTTATACAATTATTTATGTACACGGCCCTTGTACGTTATTTATTTATAAAAACGTAAGACAAAGACATATATATTATTTATTTTATTTAACGGATATTTCCACTGTTACGAATATGCCTGAATTGTATAGACAAATTTTCTATCTTAGCGAATAAATAATCTAGTAGCATAGATGCATATAAACAAAATTTAAAGAATATTTTAATAATTATAAATTTACGCCTTTAAATTATATTAAATAATCGTGAAAATAATTAATTTTCGTTACATACCTTATTAAAAATAATGAGCGTATTGTGAAAAGAAAAAATTCGATTCTAATGTATTATTGATTCATTTGCTTTATCATACATGAACTTGTTACTCATAATGAACTTACATCCTGAAAAAATTTGACACATAATACACTATGGATCGTATATACAATGTCTATATTTAACTTATATTGTAAATACAAAACATATCATATGTAATGAATGTACATTGAACTGGAATATGCGAGTAATCTACATTTATCGGTCACTAAGCTTTAATTTCCATTGCGCAGACGTTGCATATACAAAGTATCGGTTCGTTTTTCCTGCTCATAGATTTTTTGTAATCGATAAATTTTGTAAGGAATCGATTAATTATTCTTCTATACGCTTGTCTCGATCGACAAACATTATTAGTTAAGGAATAGAATAATACGTCTATCAATTTTGTTTCGTGCAATATATTTATTCAAATTGTTATGTATTATTTAAAAATAAACATACTAATATTAAAACAAGATTATTATATTCGTATATAATATAAAGCGGCAAATTCAAAAACATCATTATTAAATAGCAGGCGTATAAGCTAAATGACCAATTGATTATTTCATAAAATAGAACTTTAGAACTCGATTATTATCGATAATTAGAAATCAATATTTTAAATTAAAAAATTTTATTAACAAATACTTTCAAGTATATATATATAGTAATTTAATTAATACTCAATTTACATATATTTCCATCACTTTGATTACAAATAATATATAAAGATACGGTCGTAACATATTTGTTAAAAATTAAACTCTCCAATAGTAAGTATTGTTTCTGTTTAGTAATGTTGTTTATTTATAGGGATAAGTACAGTTAAATGTTTCTTTATTACAATTTCAGTAAAAGTTGAAAAAAAATTTATTATACAACTATTACAACTGCATAAACAATAATTAATGCAGTAATTGGTAATTACATTTTTTTAATTGTTGACTAACTATATCGATGAATCAGTAGTTTTAATGTAAATCGCACCTTTGTTTTTTGTTCTTGGAGAATAGATGCGACTGAGTGAACAAATGAGCGAACCTGCAAGAATACAAAGTAATGCTTGATACAATAATCTTAAAAAGCAAAAAAAAAAAACTGATAAAATCGTTTCATTAATGAGTGTAATGTAATAAAAGCGAATGAATTTATACAAATAAAAGTAATGCAAGTAAATTAAAATAATGAAATGATTTTATAAATTCCAATTATATTCTGCTATTCAAAGTAGGTGTATTCGCATTAAGTAATGATATGCTATAAAAAAAACATTTACAGGATATTATAAAATAATGGTCTTCAAAACATCTATTTCTGATACTATACATTACAATATAAATTTGTAATCTAAGTGCATGCATGTAAGGTAGACAATTTATATAATCTAATATTTTATATTTTTCTAAAATCTTTAGCACTATAGAATAATAAAATAAATTATAAAAGTTTAAACGATTTATAACGCAGCTACAAGTTTTTGCTGAAAAATATAACACTTATTCGTAATTATAGAATTTAAAAAAATTTAGCTTACATATTTAAATTGATCGATATTAATATTATAGTATATATATATATATATATATATATATATATATATATATATAATATAGAGATATATATTATATTTTATATATATATATATATATATATATATATATATATATATATATATATATATATATATACTAATCATACTAATGATGAAAATTTTATTATTAAATCATTTAATTTTAAACAACTTTTCACATAATAATTTATTTATACATAGACAGCATTTTGATGAATACGTTTATTATTTAAAATTATTGTATGTATTACAAAGCTAAATTTTGAAAATGCACTTTAATTTAACAATTTAAGCATAAAAATATAATTAAATTATTTCTTCTGAAGATCGATAATTTTCCAATATAACAACGTTTATCGACAAGTGCATCATTATACACACACACATACGTACTTAAATTAAATAAATAAATATATATATATATGAAAAGAATTTGAAATATTTTAAATAAAATACATATATATGCTTATTAAAAATATAAACAAATTAGAATTTCAATTGTTCTCGTTAATATGTCATTGTAATTTAAGCATTTATTTTCTAAAAACTAAATTTATATAAAACAATACAAAATATATTGTATAATAAAAATATCGACATAAAACTCTCGTGTAAATCTATTATCCAGTTTTAAATTGTATTATTAATCAAATATAACAAGTACGAGCAAAAATTATACTAACAGCTATATATAATTAAAATTCTCCAAAGTTAATTTATATAAAATATATAATAGCATATTGTAATAAATTTAAATAAATCCAATTTTATATATTCATTATATTTCTACATCCTATAATAAATATAAATTATAATAGACTTATGGCATTTTATTGTGCATAGGGTCTGCAATATCAATGTCTTTCAAAATTATTCATCCTTAATAAGATAGCGTACTAATTGAAAGTATTAATAATTATTTTGCGCTATTTCTTTGCCCGTAGCTATTAAAAAAAAATTTGTTATAACCAAAATTTTACAAATGCTTAAAACAACATAACTCTTTGTACTTAAATAGGACGTAAAAAAAAAAAAGAAAGTAACCATAATACAACTAAATGATATCCTTTTTTTTTTTAATGCTTACTTCGTAAAACGATATAAAAGATCTTAAAATTAAATATTATATATATTTTATATAATATAGAATGTAACTATATTTTTCAGTAAGAATTATCTTATCAAACAATATTTTTCTTCAAAAAATAATAAACGGATAAAAAAAAAAAAAAAAAAAAAAAAAAAAACAAGTTGACGACGGGGACGTGAGATACTAAATTAATGAGAAGAATTTACGTATTATTCGTGGTCAGCCAATGTTGAAGTTGTAGATTGGTATATACAATTGATTTTTTTTTCTTCTTTTTTTTGGGGGGGGGGGCAACATTTGTGGATCCTCTAATTTTTTATTTGAAAACTATAACTAAAATCTCTTTTAACGTTATGGTTCACCAAAAAAAAACCAATAAATAGCATCTTCATTCTTCCCTCGAATAATCACGATGTACGATTTAAAAAATTTGCCTTAATTTGAGCAAATTTTCGAAAATTATGTTAACAAATTTGACAAGAGCTTACAGATATGAGAATAATTTAATGTTACATCACTTTCAAAACAAATATCTTAAATCAAATTTCAAGCAGGTTAAAGAAAATGAATAATACTGTACTACGCAATACGAAACTGAAAATTTTTATATAATTTTTCAGCGTAATATCTGGAATTTATATAAACAATAAAATTATTCATAAATTTATCAAATCCGATTATATTTTTAATATAAACGAAACTACAATTCTGCAGTACTTTTTTCTTTTACAAAAACATTAATAGTTTAACACGTCATTTGTCTACTAACATTAAAACTTATCTTACCTATTAAATGTTTCAAACGGTACAATTATTTCAAAAATATTTGTTACGCCATTAAAATATTATTTGATAACGTTTCACGTATGCTTATAACATTACTTTTGATAAGATCTTTAAATTATTTGATTAAAGCGAGGCTATTGGAGCTTACGATGTTTTGACAACCACAGCACAAAAATATTTTAATTTCAAGGTATGTATATCGTTTTTGAGAATACCGGAAACAATAATCCGATACATTCAAACGTTTAATTATTAACAAATGAACAACGATTGATATCACCTTGCGCTAAAACATAATTTATAAAATAGTATATACATAAAGATTTAGTTTTTGTTACGAATTGTCTGCAACGTATGTACTTTTAATTACGGCTTGTATTATTATTAAATTAAATTTTAATGATATTTCAAAATACTATTATAATGTAATTTCATCAAAATAAATCACACAAATTATAAGCAGAAATGAGTTAGATAAAGTTGTCGATAGTAAATGAAGAAAGAAAAATTTAATGAATTTTTTATTAATTTTGAAAGTTAAAAGCTTTGGGTATTCTATTTTAAAGGTAAGAGTATAGTTTATACCTTTAAAGCATATTATATTTTTATCTTTAAAGGATGAAATTCCAGTGTTTAGAAAATGCATAAATCAAAATAAATTCTTGCATAGATTTAGAAATTAATAATTTTTTGTAAAATTGACAATTGTACATTTTGTTGAGAGGCGTGAAAATATTTATATAACATTTTTATGTTATAATTATATTGTTACAATATTTAATTAAAAATTCCTAAATATGAAATGCAGAAACTATAAGATAATATAATAAAAGTACTAGGCAATAAGCACAGTAAAAATATTAATTAATAAAGTTATTATTTCGATGCTAAAAGTTATTTTTCTAATATAATAAAAACATTATTTCATCACTCTTACTATATTGTATTATATTATTACGATACAATTATTAGTATTAATTATTCGAAAAGCGAGGAAAGTAAAATACTGAATATATGTATATGTGCTCATTTACAAAATCTTACATTAATCGCTTCGATTATTTTCAACACAATTCCAATGTCTTCCATTAACAAAACAATATGATTTTATGACCTCCCTGTATGGACTATAATTCTATAATATATTATTAGACTTGCTTTTCTTTAAAAATACTTTATTCATCATTGAATTAATATATATTTTTTAAAGCAATACAACGGTATAACGGTATAATATTGCTTGCAATTTGTCAAAGTATTCATTCCTTTCATGACCTCGGCCTCAAATCTCATCTTGGCATCCGAAATACTGGGCTTTCAAGCTTCGAATACGCCATTCTTAGAACAATCAAAACAATAGCAATAATTTTCCTTTCTTATGAGTCAGAATACAATTACAATAGAGCATTAATTCCTGCCTTATTAATGAACTTATCACTTCGCCACATTATCACGAAAATAGTGGAATAAAAAATAATTCACTATTTTATATATAACTGGAGATGAAATAATTTAATAAATTAAACGTATCATAAACATATATAACTTTTTTAAAAAGGTATACAGATAAATTATACCCCAACTCTCGAAAAGTAAATAGATTATATTAACCTTCGTGTATTATAAATATTTATTATTTTACACATATTGTTTTTAGTTTGGCCATTTGCGTGCAAGACTATCGTCCATATTAATAATTTCACCCTTTTTATGTATATTAAACTTTTATATATATATATATATTAAATTACACGCACATCCAAGTTTTCTAACGTATTACTTCTCTAATGTGAACTTTTTTTTTTTTTTTTTTTTTTTTTTTTTTTTGTTATACACTCTTTGTGCAATAGTATACTTACTTTATTTCTAAAACAAATTTGCAAAATTTGGCACTTTCAATTTGTTACACAAGATCATTGTTTTGTCGAATTTATAAAATTTAATTTCTTTCTCAGAAACAATTGATCATATTTTAAATTACAAATTAAGATAAATACTTATAAAATATATATATTTTATTATTTCACACATAAACTTGAATCATCAATGATTTATGACAATGAATACGATATATGCAATTTTATATAAAATTGTAGCATGCATGTCTAATTTATATCATAAAAGCTTTCATTGTCGTGTATTTTTATTAAAATTTAATTGTAAAATTGTAAAATTTAAACGAATAGATATTAGCTGTATATATTAGGATAATAATTTTGTTAAAAAAAAAATATATATATATATATATATATATAAATAAAAGTATAGCAATATATTAAAGTATTATTAATATTTGTAACTTCAATATTTCGTACAATCAAGTATATCAAGTATAATTGTATCGATTAAATCTACGTTTTGTTTTTCATCATTTTCTCATTGCTTAAAGTTCCATAAGTCAAATTAGCTAAAACGTGTATATTAGAATATATAAGATTAAATAATTATTAAGTGCAGATCTGTTCCAAGAGTTTATAAAATAATTTTCGTGCAAATCATTTACGATTGTACCACTTTACATTTTAATACACACATATTCAATGTAATACATATATATATATATATATATATATATATATATATATATATATATATATAATTTTTTTTCTTTCTATTATTTATAAAATTATTTTAATATTTAGTATTCTCTTACAATAATAGATTCGTTTTTTAATTTTTATTTGAATTAAAATATTTGTTGTAATAAGAATTGGATAATTAATAAAATTTTATTTTCCAAAATATTTGCATAAATACAAAAAACAAACAAACAAACAAACAAAACAAAAAAAAAAAAAAACAAAAACAAAAAAAAACAAACAAAAAAGTTTAAATTTAAATTTCTCGAATATGCCTAGCAATAATAACGATAGAGCTTGAATAAGAAGTAAAGTCGACAAAAGCAAGGAATATTTTTATTATTTAGGAGAGATAAGTTCACGAATGAAACTTATTTAAGTTTCTTTATAATCATACGCGCGGATGAATGCCATTAATACTTTATTCACCCGTCAGTAAATTGTATAAGCAAAAATAAATAAAAACGTCCCAATTCTTATCCCATAAAACTTCTTGAAAATAAAATGAGATCATCATACGGTTGAACACATCACATACACACTTTGACAAGCGCTATACAAAAAATTACAACAGAATATGCAAATAGTGTTTAAATTAAATAATAAAATTCACAGACACTTTTATCAAATTTTGTAATTGTAGTAGGACAATATTGAATAAAGGAGATTAAAAAAAAAAAAAAAAATGTTTTACAAGAATAAAAACAAAATAAAAATCAAAATAAAAATAAAAAAAAAAAAAAAAACCAGAATCCAAGTAAAGCATAATTGAAAGCAATACCATATTAAATTTATAGCCTAAATGTTGTACATTAGTAAGCCGTATTAGTAGAGTAGAATGTTAAATAATGATTCTTATATTAATACAACCTTTTGTTCAGTTGAAAGCAGGTGCACGATCAGTCCTGGTAGCCATGCGTCGACTTCTTACCATCTCGATCACGACGATAATGAGAATGCTGGCGATAATAATAGCTTCTCGAATTTCGGGTATTGGATCTTGAGCGTCTTGTACGGTCTACAGATCGCGAACGAGTATCGCGTTTTCTGGTAGTTCCAGATCCAATTCCACTTCCAGTAGCAGTGTTTTTATGGCTGTAAGAGGACCTTGAACGCTTACGAGATCGGGATCTAGATCTAGATCTAGATCTAGATCGAGAACGAGATCGAGATCGAGTGCGAGAGCGAGTCCGTGTTCGTGTTCGTGTTCGTGTTCGTGTTCGCGTTCGTGTTCGTGTTCGTGTATGGGAGCGGGATCGTAGGCGATGATCTCGGCTACGACGACGTCTGTGAGAATTTGAGTGTGATGGCGATCGCGAATGCTTATATTTCGATCTGGATCTGGAACTCGATTCAGAATGAGACCTTGATCTGGATTCAGAATGAAAACGGGATACGGACCGAGAGGTTGACCTGGATCTGGATTTATAATATTGTTTATCAGTATTTTTACGCGAATTCCTTTTGTATTTCTTGCTCAAGGACAAACTGCTATTTATATTTCCACTTGAGTTGCCCAGCCCACCTCCGGTACTACTGTTAACAGTTGAGGCTGCATCTGTCTTGGAAGACCGAGATGATTCGCATGAATCTTCCCTAGAAGAGTACTTATTTCTACTTCTGGATCTGCTTCGACTCGACGAACGATTTTTTACATTTTCGGAATATCGTGCCCCCTTCTTACGCGATGAGAAACTTTTATTATTCTTATTGCTATTATTATTATAATGTGTGGTCCGTTTTGATAAATTGCTTTGGCTTGCACTTTCAGAACTGGACGACTCGTCTCCTCGAGTAACGCAACTACCGAGCCTATCGGTATCAGTTACTGTTGATTTTGAAGTTAATGTATGTCTGCTGCCACCGCTGACACTTCTATTATCGCTCGACCGAATCTCCGATGATTTTCTCTCATTACCGTATACCATATCTTTTTCATTGTCAACTATAGAGAGTGCGACACTTGTTATTTATCACAATTTTCATTTAAGGCAGACTATACTTATTTATTGATTTATTGTTTTATTCATTTATTTTTTATATTTAATAACACATACCTGTTTCTGAGCAGCTAGTATTACCCATATTATTATCCTTTTTTATGCGGTTTTCCGCTCCTCTACCAACTCTTTCTGTTCTACTCTTTTTCTTTTCCTTTGTCGTTTGTTCGTTCCTTACCAATTCATTATCCTTTTTCCTTCTTTCCTCTTCTTCTCTGCTTCCTTCTTGATGCTCTGGCTGTACTGTCTTCGCGTGTTCTTCATCCTCTTTGCCTTCTTGTTCTTCATCTTCTTGAGCAAGACGAGCCTCGATTTCAGCTTCAGTTTTACGGAAAGCCTGTTGTCGTCGTTTCAGGGTATCCTGAACAAAAATTCTCATAATTTACATTATTCGATTCAACGATAAATACAATTTCAAATAACTATTGAATCATTAAGGCAAGATATTTTTAATTATTTATAAACATCATATTTTAAAATCTGATTTTTATTTTATTTTATTTAAAAAAAAAATATATTTTTTCCTACAATATAGAGCTTTTATCCAATGAATTTCTATTCAAATTATCATTGACAAATATTATTCAAAGTTTTATAACAAACAGTTATTGTTTAAACATACAAAATAATCATATAATAAGTGTAGAAAAACATCGTTACATTATGCAATATTGGATTAGTTAAATACGTTATATAAATCATAAACTGATTGGTAATAAAATTGAATATAATATCGTAATCATTCAAATGTTATATTATATTATAAATTAGCATTTATAAAATTTCCTATAATTGATAAGTTGAATGGACGTTTTCTCGATATACCAATGAATTTTTACTAATTTAGCATGTACTATGGTTATGACAATATTCAAAAATAATATAAAATTAATTATAATCAAGGCACATTATATTCACATTTAATCTTATACTATATCTTGGGGTTAATATTTTTATGATTTTCAACTGTATTAGTTACATATAAAATTATTTTATGATAATTCAAACTTTATAGAATAAAGTTAAACTTATAAAATATACAATAATAATAAAAGATATATATATATATATATATATATATACATTAATAGTATATTCATTGAGATTGGCATGTTTATCAGAAATTTTTTACTAAATAACTTTGATTAAAAGAAATTAAAAATTTATTTATACATATAATATATATATATATATACATATACATATACATATTACATATAGATAACGTTGAAATTAAATTTATTTGCAGTTGTAAGCTTTATTTTTACTTAAATCTTAAATATGAATACACATATTTTTGTTATATCAATCTAATAAGTCACTTCTTTAAATAATGAATTCAAATTTTTTATGCTAAAACAATAACTGTAGATGAAACTTTGATTGAATATTGTTAAAAAGCTTGAGTACTATTACGTTAACTTTATGTACCTTTAACTCCTCCTCACTGTCATTCTCGCAAGAACTTTGTTGTTGCAGATGCTCATGTTGCGATACATGTTCTTCATCCGAATCACTATTACTATCACCATAAATGCCCAAACCTATAATTCAATATATATTTTGAACATTAATTTATTATTATCTAGAACAGTATATATGGATGAAAGTATATAAATAGGAAATGAATAAACTATGGATAAGAAATATATAATCTTATTCAACAATAGCATGAAACATAAGTAAGGGGACTAAATAAATATTTTAAAATTTACGATTTTATTGAAGAAAAATTTACTATTTATAAAAAAAAAAATAAGATAAGATATGTTAATTCAAATTATATATATTTTATAACTAATTTGGGATATTCAATTTTTATTAAATTTATTAAAACGTAAATTAAATTTCATTTATTTTTAGTAATTCCAAGTAATTTCGTCAATTCAGTAATATTTCCTTCTTTATAAAGAATGTTATGTATACTTGTATACTTGTATATTTGCATATAACTGCATAATGAAACTTATATTTTTAAATTAAATTATTTAAAAACTAAAAATGTACACAAAAGCAAATTAGAATGGATAAAAGTACGTAAATCACTTCAATTATAATTTCTGCTATCTTATTTTTATATAATTACTAAATTATTAGAAGATAAAAAATTAATTTCTTTCCTATTTAAAATACTATTGTGAAAATGCACTCGTCTACAATATACTTACCAAGCTTGCGTGTTATCTGGGCGAGTGGAGCTGTGTTCTGGGATGTATGTATCGAGGTTTTTCCTATAGAAGCTTTTTGTATATATTTTTTAAATTACTAGCAGTACTTTACAGTATTAATAAACTTGTTAGTACTACACAAGTTTTAATTTTTTGATTATTACACTAGTTTAGCCACCGATAATATTTTTGAAATCTATATAATTTCACAAGAATACCTTTTTAATGTGCAGTATTACATAGATTTAAAAATAATATTACATGAAATAATATAAAATAAATTAAATCTATCTATAAAATTATTTTAATAATACGATGATAGTATGATATTAAATTTTAAAAGTCAAAATTTTACAGACGAGATATTTTGAAAAATTTCTCTATGAAATATTGTAATCAATATTTTTATTAATTATATCATAGGCCAAATGTACATTAACTTTTTTTAAAAATTCACATAAATTACTTGATATTCTTCTATGATCTTACTATTAAGCTTCGATAATAAGAATTGTATACATAAAAAATTTGTAGTTATGATCTTTTTAGAACAATATATTAAACTATATTATAAGGCTAATCATTAACAAATCAAAAAGAAGCAAAAAATATTTATAATAAAGTTATAAATATGAATAATAATGACTCGTCTAATTAGCTGTCGTATCATAATTTAGTGAATAATTCTTTTAAGTAAGAAATAAACGAATATGATTTTACCTTTATTACAAGAACGTTTCCAGATCTCTTTACATACCGAACCAATTTCATCGTTCGTCACTTCTAGTAAAATTTCTGTAAGTGATCTACGAACCTTAAGCATCTGAATAATGACAAACATGGAAAAAATGGAAATTAATAGTTGCATTATAAGACATTGTTTTGTTATTGATCTAAACTCACCAAGTTTTCTAAAATTTCCTCTTTATTTTGTCGTACAATTGATCCAGTAAATGAAATGGTATCGTCAGAATTTTTCTGTTTACTAGTAGATACTATTGTACGAGAATGTACGACAGGTGAAGTTGCATCATGAAATCGTGTTTTTCTCGGACGCATAAGATCTGGACTTCGTGGTTCAGAATTATCTATTGGTTTATCTTCGTTACTATTACTGTCTACTTTATTATCATCATCATATTCATGCTCTGTAGCTTCTTTTTCTGAATCAGAATCCTAAAATATTAAAAATATTTTTTATAATATATAAGTTTTTATAATATAATAAATTTCACTTTTAAAAATTTTAATCAATCGACTATTGATAGTTTAGTCATATTTGAAACAAATTCTTGTATTTAAATCATGTTAATATAATAATTAGTCATTGTTGTTTTTCAAAATTTCATTTCCATTGTAATATTGAGGTGACTAATTTAATTTAAAATATTTAATCTAAATACTGTACTTTATTATGTAGCCCTTTTGGATGACAAAATATATTTTATAGTACTAATTATTAAAAAATTATTAAAAATATAAAATAATAATAATAACCTCTTTCATTAGTTTTGAATTTCTTATCTGTTTTAAGATTTATGGTTAATACTTACAAATTTACTTTTACTAGGATTGAGAACAGCACGGGCTTGATCTTCAATTTTTTTACGGGCTTCGATCTCCTGCTTTCGAAGAATTTCTTGTCTCTCGCGTTCAACGGCCTTTTGCTTTTCTCTTTCCATTTTCTCAAGACCCTCGCGAATCCAAGCTGGTAATTGTCGTCGTTTTACAGTATCTAAAGATTAATAACACGTTAATGTAAAATTACAATATTAATAAATATAATGAAATTCATTAATTATTTAAATACCTAATGTAGTTGTAAGTTCATCCTCGGGTGTTCTATCCCTTACGTCTCGATTTCTTGACATTACATCCGTTGCTGCCAATGTACTATTTGGTGTAACCAATGGAATTCTATTGCTATTTGGACGCATTCCTTTCATAAAGGATGATGGTGGAACAGACATTGTATTCACTGGAATGACAGAATGTTGTTGCTCGTTCCAAAAATTATTGTTAGGGACCTGTATTAAGAAAGGTAGATATTAAAAAATAAGTCGATTGACAAGTAGACAATGCTGAGAAAATCAAGATCTTACTTGGTTGCTAAATTGTGTTTGACCCATGGACAAAGTATTATATGCAAACGAAGGAGGTGGTACTGATGGTACGGCAGGGGACGGGGCACAGTGATTACTAAACGTTGAACTACTAGAAGAAATAGTTGGCGCTGGAGGTGGAATAATTGCATTATTAGGGACATTTGAAATTCCAAGAGATTTTCCATCTGGTTCCCCAGGAAGATTATTCCATTCCCAATTGCTAGTTGGCATGCCAACATTGGCTTGATTCCAATGACCCCCCCATTGATTCCACTGATTCCAACCATCTATAAAGTAATTAAGTATAATTCTTTTAGAATCAAAATGTAAAACAAGACGATTATAACTTTAATTTTTATAGAAAAATTGAATACCTGTTCCACTGATAATTGGAGCCGGTGGAGCTGGCGGGATATCATCATCCTTAGTGTCCATATCCATTGGTGCTTCACCTCCACCATCGCTCGATGAATTACCTTGCAATCCTTGTAAAATGGGTGGAGGCGGCGGCGCAGGCGGAACAGTAGTTTCTTTCATTTTGATCCATTGCTGTGCTAAAGCTGCCCAATCCACTACAAAGATTTATATTCTTAAAGGTTATATTCTTAAACATTTCCCTATTACACAAATAATATCAGAAAACTTAAATATTTTTACATAAAAAAAAAAAAAAAATTCTTTATCTCTCAAATTTATCATATAAAAGAAAAAAAAAATTATATATATGCATATATATGCATATATATATATATATATATATATATATATATATATATATATATATATATATATATATATATATATATATAGGTTTGAATGAGTATAGATGTGTCAACTTTATTATTACAATAATAAATGGTCTTTAATTATTAAATACATGTAATTGAAATAATACTACTTAGGCTACTTTACTTCTTATTTAATTAAGTTTTCTGTTTCTCCTTTTTTACTTTGATTACCTTGATCGCTATTCATTTTTTGGTAAGTAGAGGGATTCAAAGCCCACTGAGTTGGATAATCCTTACCCTCAAACATTTCACCGCTCATCTTCATTGATGCATGTGCCTGTACATGAGGCATACAGCACCAAATTTATGGTCTCTTTAATTATAAGATTTTTTCATATGTATACCTTAGGCTTCTAATAGCACTTGTTCACTAAATAATAGTCCAAAATAGAACTCAACATTTTGAAATGGAAAATATTGACAAATAGTAAGCAAGCAATAAAGCTTCAGTTAATACTATTGTATATGTATTTAAGTACATACATATCTATATATATGCACATATATATACATATACATATATATATATATATATATATATATGCATGTATATATATATATATATATATCTGTACTTCAAAATATTCATTCCATTATCATCTATTCATTCATAGATGCGTATGTAAAAATCTTCATATATAACATTAACGAATGACAATTATATCCAAATGCATATACGCATGTGTGAATACATATATTCAATATTATTTATTGAATGCTTTTGTTTTTTGAGTAAACAACAGAGTTCATACAAAAGGTTTTGCAGAAAGCTCATATAAATTAAAGATTGAATAATTTTTTGCTTTTCGTTATCCGCTTTAATTAAATTTTTATACTTCATACTACTATAGAAAAACACACTACATTAATATAATACAACACTGAAGATATTTGAGTTTAATTATAACAGGGGATATGCACTAAATGTGATAGATGCAAGCTGAGATGTAAAAATGAGACAGAATTGTTTAACTTATATAGCATATACAAAAGGTGTACAATACCAAACGTAATTTACGTCGGCAGTCACGACTTGGTAATGCAATGAACTTCGAAGTACATAGTTGCGATTAAACCAGTGATATTTCGATAAACTAATTCGAACATGCGCACATTCGCGGAACGAAAGCCTGGGAAATTTCAAAACTTTTATTCAGCAAACTTTCCACTTTCGTCTTTAATATTACAAGAACACTGTAAATTTTTATTAGACTGACGAGATTTACTGCCCACTCATTTCGGACTTTCATAATAAAACAGTGACTATCGTCAAGGCATTCTTGGCTGCACTTTCTAAAAATATTTATTTTAAAAATGCCCTAACATTGCGAGTAAACAAATTAAATCTCTCTCTCTTTCTCTCTCTCTCTCTCTCTCTCTCTCTATATATATATATATATATATATATACACAAATTTTTCAATATAAAAATTGCTAAAAACTACGCTTTAATAATTATATCGCAGTTGGTTTTAATACTAATTTTTCTAAATTTAAATTAAATTTAACAATTTTCTATGTAATAATAATATGGATTAATGTTGGAATTTTTGTAAAATTGAGCATGCGCAACGGATAAATCGTAATATATCCGCATGCAGAAATCCAAAATCTAAATGCTATTTTTGCAATTGAATAACTCCAGAGTCACACACACACGCTCGCGCGCACACGCACTAATGTTAAGAATACATCAGAAATCCATGTTTACTTGATATTAATATTTTATTTTTTATATTTAAATTGATGTTAAATCGTGTGTATTTGTATGTTTGAAGATTATCGCAACAGAATGAATCGATGATATTTATTATCTCAATAATTTATATATTATAATTTATGATATTCAATGCATACTTTGCTATAAAGTTAACTTCAACACTTTGTTCCAGAATAAAATCTCTGAAACAAATTTAGTAACAATAAAGTAAATTCTTTTGCTAAAGAATCGTAAATATCTAAATGACTTATATTCTGGAAATAGTGTTTTTAATACAAAAATTTACATTATAATCTACACCAAATCAGGATCTTAACCAGCTCCTAAATTTTATAGTGATTATATACTTTATGCAGAGTAGTACGAACTAAGTGGATATGTAAATAATAATAGAGATTGAAAACAATGATAATTTAAATAATTCCAACAATAATACTAGTTAAGATTATGACCATTATTTATCAAGCAATTAAAATAATAAGGATGAACTAATTATAATCACTTCGTAGTGGCATTGTATCAGACGATCATAAATATAATAATAAACAAATATTTAAGTTTATAAGTAAATTTTCCAATTGTCTCTCGATATCTGAAAATTATTATAGTGCTATGATACAATAATGCCTCAAATAATATAAATGGCAAAAATATTACATATTTATCAGTATTAAGGATTTCCTTCACATTTTAAATTGCCTTTATTTGACGTAATTATAGAATTTCAAATTTTTTCAATGAAAGTATATAATTCAATTCTATGATGAAGTGGTCAATGTTAGTTGGCACTCGGTAATATTTCACTCATATGAATGATCATTGAAATAGATGATACTAATTGTAATTACACGTATAACCTACATTTAAAGGTAATTTTCGTACAATAAATATATCAAATACTATTTAAAAAAAAAAATAGGATATCAACTCCAATAACATAATAGTTTTTATTTAGATTCACTATTTATAAGCTAATGATATTGGTATATACATTGAACAATTGGACATCAAACAGTGATGCAATTTAGTTTTTAGATATGTTAAAACTTGCAAATTGTGACAATGGAACCGCAATGTAAGACCAAAGAATAAGCAAATCTTATCAAGTAATACTAATTGATATTGTCCGTACCTTATTAAAAATTAGAAAATATATTAAACATGAGTTAATATTCTAAAATTTTCTTAACATATTGAATTAAATACATCACAATTAAATGAAATTATAAAAACTATTCTAAAGGAATATTCTAATAAAAAAATATTCTAAAGGAAACAAAAAATCTTTTTATAATATTTATAAAGTATTTTGTCATTATTTAATTCTAAATGCTTTGAATTTGATAATAGTACAAAATCCAATAAAATGAATTAGAATAAATGTCAATTAAGATGCCAGTACAAATTATTAAAATAAACAATTATTAACAGAACACATCAATAAAATACCTAGTCAAATTATGTTTACAATACAATTATGAATTATAATATTATGAAAGTGAATGCTATTTTATTGAAGAAGATTATACATACGAAATTCCCTTCCGGATTTTTTTAAACAAAAAGAAAGTCTCATAGTCTACAAGCAAGAGAATAGTACAAAGTTTTCATTATCTCTAAGAAAAATGATAACTTCGTCTATACACGATAATTTTTATAAAATATCACAATTTTCCATCGAAGCATTTAAAATTGTCGTCCTTCTAGTAATGTCGAAACTTGTCCATATTTACGATTTAAAGATAACATTAATGTAGAATTAATTATATTATATCGTTATTAATTATATTGACTTATAGTCTATAAATTATATTGAATTATAATCCATTGACAATTGATATGCATTGCTTTACTTTAACATAATCGTTAGGCAATTTAAATGAATAACAGAATAAGTTGAATCACTTAAGAAATAATAATTGGACAGGCATGGTCATAAAATACAAACAAATCAAGATATATTTATATAATTAAATTAATAAAAAAAACATGTTCTTATTCAACAGTCAAAAAGATTATTATAATTAAATCAATCTGAATTCAAATAAAAAAGACAGTGATACTAATAGAAAGTATATAAGGTCTAACATAGTAAAATATGATAGATTCAGTCTGTCATACAAACGAAACGAAATGAAATAATTATAATATATTAAACATTAAATATTAAAATTTGTAAAAATTTTTGGGTTTATTTAATCAAAGACAACTACAAGATGCTCAAGTTATGAGATGTCATTATTCTAATAATTATAAGAGTAACTATTTGCAATTAAAAGTAAGAACTATAACCAAAGAAACATGTGATAAAGAAAGAAGAAAGAAAATTATGAAACAGCATAAGAATGGCTAATGCTAAAATTTTAATATTTTTTGATAAATACTTTTTTAAATATGTATGTTTGGCAAATTACATCATGTAGTTTTATTTACTAGACATTGCACATACATATTTTATTTATTACTAAGTTTTATGTTCACGCTCACAATTTATTTCTATTGCTGTAACATTTTATTGTATTATTCATTTATTTATAATATATTTCCGGTATAATTTATATTAAAAACTCGCGTGCAATTATTTATTCTTTTATTTAATTACTTTTATTCTCTTTTGTCAAAAATCATCACCCATGTGCACATGAGGATAATATCCTTTCTTTCACTGCAATTTTTGACACAATAAATTATTCTTTATTACGAACAATAAAATCGAACAATTATTAAAAGTAGTTATACTGTACTATCATTCATCATAATTGATTCTATCTTATGATAGGAATAATCTCGTCTTATCTTAACTATTATACAATATATAACATGTATAATATCATAATATCATGTATAATAACATGTATGAAAACTATATAAATCTTTAATAATTAAAATATAAAATGAATTCACTAAGTCAATAAAAATTTTCACGAAAATATGATTTTAATTAAACTAGATTTATAGAAAAAAAAAACATAGTTCATTTAAAAGTATTATTACTTTTATTAAACTATAGGTTATATAAAAAATATTTAAAATTGAAACATTAAGTAATCTACGATAAAATTCATAATTTATATAAATTAAATAATATTTAAGAACTACATAATTGAAGCACTGATATTACTTGAAAAATGGAATAAATTATATTTACACCAGTGACATTAAATTTTTTTAACGATCACGTATTTGTCTTCAAGCATTTTTGTCATAAAGGAAATATTGGTTATTCCTGAATAGCAAATTCCTTAGAAATTTAAACTAACGTCATTGATCCTTACTGCCTCTATTTTTCGTGAGTTTTTTCAAAACTAAAAGAATTAATGTTCTGTGCGTATTTTTTTTTATTGCACGTTACATTTCAAATAATCTTATTTTAAATAACATAATTATCAAAATAATTTGTCTAAGCATTTGTAAATAAATTTTAAAGTATATTAGTGTTCTACCATAATTCGCTATATATAAATTATTTTTTCATTTTTATGTGTTAAAAAATATAGAAGGAATAACTATTTTGAAGCATTTAAAACACAATAAACTTATATTACATTATGGTTGTCATCGAATATCATTTATCGCTTTTTTTTTCACCACAAATCGATATAAATTTAAATCACACATATTTTAGTTAAGAAATCAAACTTTGCGATTAAAAAAATATTGATGAAAATTTAATAATTTAATAATTCTATCGATAAATGTTTAAGCAAAATGAAATATGAAATTAAGAAACTATTTACAAATATCACAAAATATTAATATAAATATTATAAATATTTCAATGGATTTCATTTGAGCTAATAAACATTTGATTTAAATCATGTAATATTTATTCGCAACAAACAAGACATTAGAAAAAATCATACAAATTATATTATTTAATTAAAGCATTACTTATTTTAATTCTCATATTTTAAAGAAAAAATTAATGACTATATTATAATAAATAATTGAATTTCAATCATTCAATTCTAAAGACATTTTATTACTTATATTTGTACGATAAAGAAATACAAATTAAGATATAATTTCAAAAGTATTTTAATACGAAGTTTTCATATTTATATAAAATATTATATACATGTAATACTTACGGTAAAAATATTATTTTACTTTTAAAACAATGAAACAATCATATATTTTATGAATTGCTAAATCATATAAATAATACTAATATGTTGAAAACTAAAAGTAAAAGTGAAAAAATTATACTCTTAGGTTCATAAGGATGACTTAGGTTGGTTTCTCATATTATAATTTACCAATTTTTAAATTATCTTAAATCATAAAATTTTAAAATTATTTTAAAAATAATTTATGTAAGTTAACATATATTGTTAATTTAATCAGTACTCGGAATACATACAGCTTAATCAATTAAAATAACGTTAGATTAAAATTTGCAATATAAATGTGTTTGGTCAAAATTAATTTTTATGTATGCTTAAGTTTTAATTTTGAGTTGTATGGTAAACGAATATGTTGAAAGAATAACATAAGTATAAAAATATTAAATTATTTTCCTTTTCGATGTTCCAATCTGGGTCTGCCCTTTTTAGCAGCAGGTTTATCCTTTCCTTTATTAAACAAAGGATGAATTACTGTAATGAAATAATAATATATTTTTGTTAGCGGCAATATATAGACTAAAGACACGTAAAAATAAATTCAACCGATAAATAAAATTACGAAGATAACAAATCATTTGAGCGCAATAGAAGATGTACATTATATGTAACATTTATTTCTTTAAAAAGATTCTATTATATCTCAATCTTATATTAAAATTAAAAAACGAACCTACGATTTTTATTAAATAAATAAATTTTAATAATTTATAATGCAGTATCAATATGGTGATTTTAAAAGCTATTGATTTTAAAATTAATTCAATTACCAAATTAAAATTATGAAAATTTTAATATAAAAATTTATTATTTTTTCTAATAAGATAGAATTTTCTTTTTTCTTTAATCAATTACGATCAAACTGTTTTTACAAGTTAAAAAAAATATAACATAATGAAAAAAATACCATCGGTGGGAGCTCCTTTTAAATCAATGTCATGAAATCTATGTTTCTTTGTTGGTATTTCTTGAGACATGGGAATTGCTTCTTCATTTTCTTCAACTTCAGGTGATATTGGTATAAACTGTAATGATTCTTGATCTTCAGTTTCTTCATCCGAACTACAAAAGGCTGCTACCCTATCGATAGAAGCAACATCCACTTCAATTTCTTCATCCTGTGCTTCTTCTCCTTGAACGACTGATTTATCTTCATCGCTTATGTCAAATTCACTTTCACGTTCTTCATATTCAACATTTTCATCTAATTCTTTAAAATCTGGAGCAAAAGCAGACCAATTCTCTACTTGATTCTGTGCCCAAATTGATACCACTCCTGATGATATAGAAGCAATAATAGGTCTCACTGGATGCCACTACAAAATTTCATTTTTATTTAAATAATGTTTAATTAATAAACAGTCAATTTTTTTTTATAAATTTAATATTACCACAACATCGAGTAAAAGTTCTCCTTTTGTTCCATGTAAAATTTTTTGTAAATTTCCAATACTCTTTTCCCAAATATATAATGCATGCTGTCTTGCCGAACCTGCACATACATATTCCCCATCTCCAGAAAAACAGCATTTTTTCCATGTTGTTTTATTTACAAGATCCTGTAATTTTTGTATTGGCTCTGGTTGTCCATCTTGTCCACATGCTAAAACTTCTGCACTATCATAAACTCGAATTACCCTATCCGCTGTATTTACTAAAAAACATGAGCCTCTACGAGCAAATTCAATACTTTTAACAGCTGTATTACTTGCTGTACCTTGTGATATTTTGTAAGATGCCTTTACCGAACAGAACTCAACATCAAGAACTAAAATTCTTCCTCGACCATTGCCCGTAAAAATATAATCACCGCGTCTATTAAAAGAGGCTACGATATTTAAATCACTCTAAAAAAATTTGTAAATTTATTCAAGATTAGAAAATTTGTATTACCGATGTATATTGTAATATGAACTTACATCTTGATCAAGCGGTACAACTTGATGGGTACCTTGAATATCTACGATAACGGCTGCATGCCTCATCGGACATACTAAGAATTTGGTCCAATTTCTTGGATGAAATTGAACTTTTAAAATAGGAGATGGAAATCTATATTTTTGTTCACATTCACCTGATAAGACATCCCATATACATACGTTATTATCTGTTGAAGCACTGAGTAGTTTATGGCCATTTCGAGACCAACTGATACAAATAAATTATTTGTATAACTAATATTGTTTACCATTCTTATTAACTTCATTATGTCATACATTCTAATATAAATATTTTACCTTAATGAACATACTGGATGAACATGAGCGCTAATGATTTTGGCTATACCTCTTGTAAGGAAATCCCAAATCACAATTCTGCCATCGTTACATCCAACCGCCAATAGCGTACCTCGTTTATTAAATGTACACGTTACAGCAAGGGAGATGCAATCTAATGTTCCATCAAACTCCTACAAAAATTAAATAATATACTCACATTAATATTATATTAATTTACAAACACATTATTTTACATTACATATAAATAACATTTTAAATACTAAACTTTAAAATTTATTTAAAGTTGCCTATCGTTTTAATTATGTTAATGTTCATATTGCTTAACAATTATTTAAGATTCTTGTACATGCACAGGATATATATTGTTCCTTAATTCTCTAACTTTAAACTAAATCTGACTTATTTGAAATAAAAATAATAAACGAATAAAATAAAATAGAAATATATGGTAATATTCAAGGAATCTAATATCAGAACGTAAAATAAATACTTACTTCTGGATAATTTTGTCCAAAAGATTCTGTAAACAAATATTGTAAAATTATTTATAATGCACAAAAAAAAATTACTAATTACACATGCTAATTACAATATGAAATAATTATATGTCACTTACCTAATAGTTCTAAATTCATTATATATTAATATCATAAATACTCTATCTTAGGTAAAACAAAATAACCTATACTAAACATCGGTCATATAACATTCCAAATACTTATGCAAAATTAAGTTATAAAAAATCTAAAAAAAATTGTAAGAATAGATATCTATATTTGATATTGAAAATTGTAGAAAATATTAACTTATTCTGCTTAACAATCAAATTTTAACATTAATTATATCTACATCATAACTCCATTCTAATGTGTTTCATTAGTTGACATTTTTCTATTTGTACCATTATTCATTGACTAATATATAAAAATAAGAATATGGTAATAATAAATGTACAGTTACTATCGAAATCAGAGCATTAATGATTTTTTAAAATGTACTGCCAGACATTTTCTGAAAATGAAGAAAATCTTTGAATTATGAAATATCGAAAAGAATGTAGCCAAATTATAAAATAATTTTTCTCCATCTATATTCCATATATGTTAACAATTTTATTCTCTACTAACCTATAAATATATTTTGAAATTAAAAACACTTGTTCGATTTTCTATAAACATAAATGAAGGACAATAACTGCTAATACATCCAATCAGTATATAGTAAGAATTAACAACGGTGCACCATAATGTTTTTATTATATGCGCTCATTTTAAAATCAAACAAAATAAGAATTCAAATTGTATTAATGGTTATCAAATTAAGAGTATTATTAAAAAAGAAAAGAAAAAAAGAAACAATTATATATAAATAAAACAATTAAATATTTATAGAATTTATGGAATTTCATAGGTTTTTCATTTGTCATGAAAGAACATGCCTGATATGCCTTGATAAATAAATATTAAATCACTTATCGTCCATCATACCATTCATTCTAATTATTCTTATAATATTGTCAAGTTGACACGTTAACCTACCATAAATTTAGTTTACATTTTTTTCTTTTCTATATCTTAGATGAGCATAAACATGCGACAATTTTGAAATAAATAAATTATTATATTAAATGGAATTACATATTTTATATCATAGGTACATTATTTCTAAATACCAATTTTAATATGATAAAACTATAAAAACTTATTCTGTAATAATTATAATTTAACGAATTTAATATCTTGCATACATTTAGATTCTAATTAGTTGTAACATATTGTCATAGAATTGAATTAAACAAACAATGATAATTTTTATTCTATCATAACTTAGATCATTTTGCACGAGGAAGTATATATATATATATATATATATATATATATATATATATATATATATATATATATATATATATATATATGGCTATAAATTATAATCACCGCGTCTATTAAAAGAGGCTACGATATTTAAATCACTCTAAAAAAATTTGTATTTCAGATTTGTATTTCTATATATATAAAAAATAATTTACTTATTTTTTTTAATCATAACAATAATTTAATTATATTGTAAAATTATAACAACGTATTTTATATCTCTATATGAGTACTATATTTGGATAATAATTTTAATATAATTTTGGCTCTTTTAAATGAAAATATCGTCTCAGCATTGCAGATTAAAAAAAATCGGTAAATAAATGTAATTTTTGAAAAAATAACACATTGTGATATTAAATACATAAACTATATATTCGAAAGCAATTAAATTATAAAAATTGTATGATCTTCAACGATATCAATTTATATTAAGAAGAATATATAATTATATGTAAAATAGTATAAAAATGAGGAGAATATATTTAACAAATTAATAAAATTTGATTAAAAAATAATATTAGAATAGAGAAAATAAATTTACTTGGAGAATATTTAGATTGAATCTAATGTTAAAAATTACAATTTGAAATCTCCTTACATTGAATTATATTTATTGCTTTACTTTTTGTACTTTATAAAGATGAAAGGTAAATGAAAATGTTTATTTTAACAGTAAATAAATAATAAATAATAAATGGAAATAAATTATTACAGTTTAAAAATAGGAGAAGTAAAATGTTCAACTCTTTTTTTATTAATATTATAGAGGAAATATTATAATTAATTAATGCATAAAAGAGTATATTTAGTTTTTCAGCGGAGGTTTAGATTGAGAAATTCGTACGTTCGTAATTTTTTCAACAGTGTTAACCGCAGTACTTAAAATTATAAACTGGATTAAGGAGAGAAATTGAGAGAAAGGGAGAATGTGGGTTGAAGGGAGCGAAGGAGTGAAGATGGGAGGGGTCGTGAGAGGGCGGTATGGACGACGGGGGGTCGAGCGGGAGGGAGGGAAGAAGAGAAAAGGAGAGAGAATAGTGATATATATATATATATATATACACGGATGCAATGAAATAAAAAGTTATCCTTAAAATACTTGTTGTCAATATTATACACGCCCATTTAGAATTTATATTAGAAATAGTGCTAATCACTAAAAAAAAAAAAACAGTGCCTTAGCGTCTTATTAATAATTGTTATTATCGTTGTTGTTGTTATTATTATTGTTATTATTATTATTATATTTGTTATATTAATTTTCGCATAAGTAAAATGTTAAGTGTCACATGATAAATCAATTTATAAGCGACGATAAGGCAACCAGTTGCACAATTTACAATGCCTATCTTAGCATACAGTATGTTATCAGAACGTAAAAGCAGTATGCATGCATACACACATGTTGTAGTCGCAGCCTAGTGAAAGAGAAAAGGTTGCCAGGCAACGAGAGCGGCGCCTGCGCGTCACCGGCACAAGTCATTTTTCGCGCGCACACATTTTTCTTTACATGTGTACACTCTAAGTGTGAGGCTATGTTTCTGGATTTGAACGTACATGCATGCATAAGTTTTCACTAAGCCAAGGGAGGTACAATTAGTTCAAACGGCCAATTCGCCGGCTCTTTGCAATTGCTGATCCGCCGGTCTGGCCGACTACAGATATTACGTATTTTCGCAATCGTTATACCGCCCTGATCATCGTTCGAGTGCAGACGTTTCTTTAGTTTGTAGTTTTTTTTTTCTTAATTCGTTAGCTCTGCTTTTACTCCGTACCGACTAAGCTATATTATAGCGAATAGCGATACACACACGCACTCTTGGAATATTGTGCGTTGAGACGCCTCAAGGATAAAGCCTATAGGGATAACGGCAAGAGTTCGCGTATTTTTCCAAGAGACGATTTGATCGAGTTTCCAAGTTTATCCGGAGATAGAGATTAAGAGAGAGAGAGAGAGAGAGAGATAAATAGATAGATAGGGAGATAGAGAGATAGTGTGTGTGTGTGCGTGAGACAGATAGAGAGAGAAAGAGAGAGAGAGAGAGAGAGAGAGAGAGAGAGTTCGGGACGTAAGATAAAATAAAATAAAAGAAATGTCAGAAGATAAGGATATGAACTTGCATGCCGAGGGCGATAGTTGTCAGCAGCAAGAGACAATTTCAATTGACGATAAAGAAATCAATGGAATCAAGAAGGAAAAGAATGAAAAAAATGACGTTAACGAGAAGATTGTCGAGAATGGCGACGGCGACAAACCAAAAGAGAACGGCGAAAAATCCATCCAAGAACCACCCAAGGAAATGCGCGCTGTCGTGCTTAACGGGTTTGGGGGATTTAAAATTAAGGCACTTAAGAAACCTGAACCTACACTCTCTGAAAACGAGGTTCTTATCAAAATCAAAGCTTGGTGAGTATTATACGAGTATTATACAAATGTTTGCATCAATTCTTTTTTCAATTGCTATTCAATTAAAATAATAGCCAATTAATATTTTTGCAAAATTGAAAATTGTTTGATTTGGAAACATTGCAATATTGTTGTTCTTTATTTTTCGTTGTAATATAATAAATGAAGTACACATTAATACTATAATTCATTTAACTCTTAATACTACAACTTATACCACTTATATAAATGATCCTTTAATATTTATTTAACTTAAAAATTATAAGTAATTTTGTTTTGTATTCTTATCCAATTGTATTCTTATTATAACTAATAATATCTTAAGTATAAACATTTTCTTGTTATAATTTCTAAAATACCACCAAGAGTTAACAAGTCACATTTGGAGTCACATAAATCATTTTAAATATATGTTTAAATTATTAAATAATTTAATGAAATAAAATGTCTATATTGACAAATAATATATTATAATTTAAAAATTCACAAGTTTCACATAGCTATACATAAAATAATCTTATAGGGTATTAAATAGTTTTAATAATTATTCATAATTTTGAATGGCATTCTTATAATCATCATTTTACTTTCTAGAGCACTATTATTTAAAACATAATTACATGGTATTATAATATATAACAAATTGCATTTGGTTTAAGTAAATGTAATTCGATATTTATATCTGTTTAAAGTAATCAGAAGATGAACTTTAACATATCAAAATATTCTGTTATATACCTTATATATCTATGTAATAGTAATAATATAAATACTAATATAAGTATTTCTATATTTTTTTGCATTTTACTTTATATGAATACTTAAATAATTCTAAAAAGCTTCTTTTTCATTTAACTTTACATTATCTTTTATTTGTCATAATTTTGTCATTAATTTCATGTTATTCATTATACACAGTACATTTAAAAAAATTATATCCTAAATGCTTAAGTCTATAATTAGTAGTTTAAGTATAATATAAAAAAAAATAGATTTATTGAAATATATTAATTTATAACATTATATGCCTTCATAAACAATCTATAAAAATTAAAATATTATTTCGTAAGAATGCGTATTATATTCTAAATAATAATTAAATACAAATATACATACAAAACATATTTTATAAAGATTTATAGTTTTAATAATTTAGATATTTTTTATATTTAAATTTAACAAAATAGCCTGAATATGTACACTATTTACAAAAATATTATGAAATATGTAAAGGAAATGTACAATATGAATGTTTATCAAACAACCTACTGAACTTAATATCAAAAATAAAAGAAAATAAGTCAAATCAATGGTAAGTTAAAAAGATACAATACTATATATTTACAACAATATATCATCATTACACTAAATTGAAATAGTATTTTATTTCCTTCTCCTAAATATATTATTTACTGCAAACCATTAATCTGCTCTATACTGTGGTATTAACATGATAATTAATGATTATAACAGTGATATTATACTATCAGCTATTAGTAATATATATTATTAGTATTTTTTTCATTATTTATACTTTTTTTAATCGCTTATTATTAAATGAAAAAAAAAGTTTTTCAATGAAAAGAATAAGTTAATAATTCTTGCCTAAAATATTTTTATAATAAGATGAAACTGAAGTTTGATTGAACCCAATCAATATTCATAATTAAATTTTTAATCATATTAATCAATCGACATAAGAACACTCAAGTATACGCTAATTATTTTCTGCTTAAGATGCAATTTTGTATGTTAATAATTCGATGTTTATTAATTATCCTTAATGCATTAACATATTTCGTTATATTAATTGTATGCCAATATAAAAATAGTCGCATCTTTCTGTTCCTTTTTAAATATTTGTTTAGTTCAATGCGCTAAATATATTATTTTAATATATATCATATTCGAAAAATTGATCAATTATACCTTTTTCTCCATTATTTCAGTCTAATCTATTTTGTTGTTGTTGTTGTTGTTGTTGTTGTTGTTGTTGTTGTTGTTGTATCCGTTATTTAGTATTTACAATTTAGATCTTATAATTGAAAACTTTTTGACATTAAGAAAAAGAAAATAAAATTTAAATGACACTATATTAGGCTAAATATTTTAAACAATATTGGAATGCTGTGAAGAGAGGAAAGACGAGAATAAGTCAAAAGAAATTATTTATACATAAATGTTTGCTGCATAACATAAATGAAATTGTCGAAAATTACAATTGACATTGATTGATGATGATTGATAGTGAAAAATATAGTAATAATTAATTATTAAAAATTATATATTACCATAATTATAATGCATTATAAATATTATATTATAAAACGTTATAAAAATAATCAAAATACCATCAACTATTTTCATTTATTTATAATTCCTTTATAATTTTTGCATGATAACTTTGGTTTAACGATGATATTCGTAATAGTTTAAATTTCTATTTTGTATTTACAAACAGCTGAAAATAAAATAATAAATAAAATTAAAATTAACAAATACGGGACAATATACTAGCGCGCATGAAATATCAATTAGATTTTTATTCGATTATACAATGAATTATTACTAAATCTTATTATTAGAAAAGTTTTTATAATTAAATAACAAACTAATATAGTACGCTCATATTAAAAAAATACATGATTTATTTTAGATATAGTAAAATTTATAAAAATTAACTTTATAAATTAATTTTGGTTAAATGCCGATTGGAATATCAATATTATCAACAATTTAAACAATATCAATTGTCGGTCTCATTAATTCCATACTATTAACTTGCCATAAAGAAATTTTAAGAAATAATACGCATTATATATATATATATATATGTATTCTATAATTTTTTTATATAATAATTATAATAACTCTGTGTTGAAAAGTCTTTAATAAATGTTAATCTTCAAATCTACCTTATTAAGGAATTACAAACCAACATCAAAATTCACCAAAATATACCTTTTTGTTCTTAATTCATAAAATTCTGAAATAGCTTCGTTCATTATTATTTGCTTATTCTCTCTAAATTCGTAAAATTAAACCTACATTAAACACAGTATATATTGTCCGAGTTCTCTTATATTTGTATTTCTTGATGATGAAATTACGTTATTCCCTATTATAAATAATTGTAATTATTTTAATGAAAAACATGCTGTTAATTTTAACAAACTTATAAATTTATCTTCAACCCTTCCCATTAAATTGAGCTGATTAAAAACTTTTTAAATGTTTTCCTAATATTATTAACAAGAAATGTATTTTTTCGACGCATGCACATAAAAACTTAAAAATGATTTTAATTACCTTAATTACTATTCTGTTTTTTAATATCAGAAGAAATCAGTTGATGTAATACAATTAAATGTTAATAAAAAATATTATTAATTCTACATATATTTAAAAATTAGCTATTTAATGTTTATAATCATTTATTTAATTTCAGTTCTACGATCATTTTAAACTAACTAATTGCGCAAATTTTATATTAATCCAAAACTGTATTTGAGAGCGTATGTATTGTGAGTGAGTAAGAGAGAGAGAGAGAGAGAGAGAGAGAGAGAGAGAAAGAGACTAATACACACATAAATGTAAAAATCAAATAAACTGTAATGATTCAAATTTATAACTATGAATGAGTCGGTATATATTTGAGATCAATTTTTCAATAGACTTTGTTATATATAAATATTAACTATTAATGACATATAATTTAATGTGTATGCATTATATTAATATTTCTTATATTTAATAATACTTACAAAAATATTTATGATTTTAGTGGCTTAAGTTTCCAAGATTTGCTCACAAAACAAGGAACTTTGGACAATCCACCGAAACCTCCTTTCATAATGGGCTTCGAGTGTGCTGGTGAGATAGCAGAAGTCGGCGAAGGCGTCACCAATTTCAAAGTAAGGAGAAAATATATCTATATATATATATATATATATATATATATAAATGTTTAAGTTATGTAATCTTATAATTTTCATATATTTTATATATTTGTATGTTTGTATGATGCAAGTTTGTAGATGAAATTTTTCATGTCTATTTTAACCAAAAATTTTAATTTTCTACATCCGCGCGTGTAATTGTATATTATAAGCATTTGTTTTAATTTAATATATATTGTGTGAAATTTTCATTAACGAGCTTTTATTTTCCGAAATTTTAAACAAATATATCGAGATAGAATATGGAGTACAATTTCGTATAAATAATATTTCGAATAAAATTAATATTAATAAATAGAATTAGATGGAATTTTTCTAGTTAGAAGTAGAATAATGCATAAAAGTTTTTTTATATAGTTTGAATCAGTCATTGAATTATATTCTAAACGATTTGAATTACGATTTATACGAGACAATTGATAAATATTGGAAAATATACGGAGCAAATTATCCGATTTCAGCAAGTTTACTCACCATAATTCGCGCTTTTTAATAATAAAAAGCAACATAAGAACATATAGCATAGAAAATTAATAATTCAATTAAGATGTATTTTTTGTATTATTTATTTACTCGTAATGAAATATATTCAAAATTTAGTATTTTAATATTTGTTTATATAATTTATTTATTTATTGCCAATTTTATGTAAAATACAAGGACAAAGGATACATTTTATTTCTAACAGTAATGATACTTTCATTGCATTCATCGAATTGATTTTTCACCGAAACCATTATTTCATTTAGTTAAAGAGCTATTTCCTTGAACCTGCCTTCTGTTGTTATTTCTAAAGAGAACATACTGTAGCACTCAAAATTAATATTACTTCACACACTTGTTCTATAAAAATTAATAATTTGTTCATATCTCGTAATTCGTTCTAATTTATTTCGCCCATTCTCCGTTTTAACATCTCATCTGACTAATCAATTTTTATTACTTACTTTAAGTTGATAATTAGAAAACAAGAATACGATTAAAGAGTGAGTTTTCCTAATTATTTGATTTTGTTTGCAGTATCGTTAAACGAGTGCCTTATACCGAAGCATCAATATACTTTTTAAGATTATATACTTTAATGAAATCAAAGCTACTCTACGTATAATCTAGCGAAGTAGTAATGTTGTTATCTTAAGTATAATTTAATTAATTTTGATTTTTTTTTTCTTCGTTTATTAGGTAGGCGATAGAGTTGTTGCCTTACCGGATCATAAAGCCTGGGCAGAATATGTATCAGTACCAGCCGTCTCCGTTTACAGCTTACCCGCTGGTATGAACTATGATGAAGCTGTTGCCATTACATTAAATTACACAGTTGGATACATTTTGCTATTTGAGCTCGCAAATTTGAGACCTGGAAAAAGTATACTTCTTCATAGTGCTGGTGGCGGCGTCGTAAGTATAAGTTTTTTTTCATTTTTAATATATGTAATTTTCTCCTTATAAATACTACCTAAAATTTATTCCACATATAATATTATGGTCGAATGAATAATATTTTATCGATCGTTATTATAAAAACATTTATTGAAACCCGCGTAAATTATGTTAGCAAATATTTTTGACATATCATAATAGTTAAGTTACTAAATTAATGACATATTATAGAACAATATGTAATACATATTTTTCATTGAATTCTTGCAAATACACATTACACAAAGTACTGCAAAATTAATCATAAGATTCATTATAAGATGACTGAGTAATTTGTCTATTGTAAGCAATAATTCAATGTATTTCACATATTAAAATATTTATTTTATTTATTGAAATAAAAAATTTTAATGTCCATAATTTTACTATATATTATAAGCGTTAAAAATACACATTATTCATTTTTAACTTTTGATTTTTATTTTTTATTTATTTTTTTTTTTTTCGTACTTTAGGGTCAAGCAGTTGTTCAATTAGCTAAAACTGTGGAAGATGTAACGATCTTTGGAGTCTGTAATAAAAATAAACATGAAATTCTAAAATCTTCTGGAAATATTGACCATCTTCTTGAAAGAGGTGTTGATTACAGTGGAGCTGTAAGAAAGTAAGATACCTTGATTTAACTTATTTTTTATTAACATTTAATATGTTGCTCCCCATTTCGCTTATCAATCAAAAGTATTTGAAAGTTTAATTCTACATCGCGTATATATAAATTATAATGTATAATATATTAAAGACCCAGGTTTTAGTATTTCCAAAAATAGAATAAGTATAATAAGTCTAAGAACAGCATTTTAAAATCATTATCGCGACACTTTTTATTCGTATTTTATTTACATTATTAATTTAAACGATATTTTTCTTGCAGTTATATAATTTTATTACAGAATTTTATGAAATAATCAACGAACGTTACTGTAAATAATATTTTCTTGTTTTTGTCCAAGGACGTTTTTATGTTACCGAAACCTTTTTTATCATCGTTATTTCGATGTTTTGGTTAATGATTTGCCGAAATAAATGAAATTTTAATGCACACCGTTAATGGATTATATATTAAATATGCGATCGAGGTCGAATTTTAATTATAAATAACTTGAGAATTCACACATTTTTAAATAACGTAGAGAATCGCCAGAAGGTGTCGATATTGTTTTGGATTGCTTGTATGGCGAAGAATACAGACGTGGATATGCTCTACTTAAACCGATGGGAAGATATATTCTTTATGGACTGAGTAATTCGAGTGAGAATAAGAGCTTATCAGCTGCCCGATTTGTAAGTAATTATCTCATTGCATTAATTAATCAAAATATAACTTTGCAAAATTAATACTCATCCTTTGATATTCTAATACAATAGTTAAAATTATCATGTCGGATAAAAAAAAAATGATTTGAGTAATAAGATATATTTTTCATTTATCCAATGTATACATAAATGGCTTTTTGAGAATTTGAAGCTGTACTGTATACCAAATGATAATATGACAAAAGCTCGCATATAATTAGCTTCAAAGATATAAAAAGTGACAACAATAAAAGCTCATTAATATTCCAACGTATATTTTTTGAGGTACAAATTTTTATTAGCACGACATGATTAGATTTTTATTATTATTTTTTAATATATTTATCGATTTATAGATTTATTAATTAGAAGTTTATAATTAGCAGTTTTCATTACAATACTCAAGTTAATCTATTTAAATCAGCATAGTTGATTTATCGTCGAACTTTTCAAATTCTCACAGATAACATTTTCCTTCTTCATTTATATATTCGATATAATTTGATTTTATTCAATTATTTTACTTTACATAGATGCATGCCTAATTAGGTATACATAAATACGTATATTATAACGATAAATTAATTTTGATTTTTAAACAATGACTGTAGTTTATTTTATATTTACTGTAATATATTATACACAGTTATAATGAATATACCGTTGATTTATGTAAATTAGAGAGTAATAGCATTATATCATTATTAAGAAAGAATGAATTAATTGATAAGTTTTTACGTTATATTTCTTTTTATGTATTAGCTTTTACATATACGCGTATATGATTATTAGAATTTATTCAATACGGACAAAAATTGTAAATCCTGGAATGATGCTTTATTCATTTGGACAACACGTAAGTTTGAAATCCAAGCATTCTATTACTTATTGTAAACTTATATTTGGTATATATCCAATGAGTCAATAAGTAATAGTAATACTTTATTGTTTATAGGCTTGATTAGACTTTGTAGGCTTAAATGCCAGTTTTTAATGAAGTAATTAATGATAAAACATTAATCAAATTAAAAAATTTGTTAATAACATACTTTGTCTAATATTTTTTAATCGATATTTATATTGAATAATAGTTGTTATCGTTATATAGTTACAAAGTTAAACATTAAATATAGCTAAGATGTATTCGTACTAAAGAATTTTGATCTACATTTTATATTTGAAAACCATAAATTAATTTTTCATTCGTCTATAAAAAGCGTATATTTAATATGAACATATATATGTATATTTTATTATATTTCTTTGGTGAATCTACTCAAAGGGGTAATTATTGCTATAAAAATTTGTTTCTTTATTAATATTTATAATGTTTTTAGATTGAACGAAATTTTTAATTTAAATTTTTTACTTTGTATTAAAAATTGGCTGAGATATGTATGTTTCATTACACAGTTTACTTATTTCTGTTGATACAAATACATACATATAATTATTATATGTGATATTTATATGATTAAATGACAAATACAACACAAATGCTAAAGGTTTCGCATACTTTTATGCGAGAGGGACAATTTTTTTCATTACTTTCAGTTGACATTTTTTTTATTAGATTATTTATTGATCAATAATAAATTTCATAAAGGCATAACTTTTATAAAAAAAAAATATCTTAACGGTTATCGTTAAATTACATACTTAAATTACTTCATTGCTATGTAGTTTGCAACACAAAAATAATTAATTTTATACACACATAAAGTTTATAACACTTATACAATATGCATTAAACCATAGTAATGCTTCAATAGTACAATGGCCGAGCACAGTAGTCATAGTATTTGTAGACAATGCAGGTACTAATTTATTGCCTGATTATCTACAGGAAATGGTGAACAATATCAAATTATGATTATGAAGAATGACACACTTTAGATAGAAACTTGGAATTTTTTACAAAAAATTTTAAACTACAAATTTATTGTCTTCGTATGGAAAAAGAGAGATAGATAGATGGTTAGAGAGAGAGAGAGAGAGAGAGAGAGAGAGAGAGAGAGTGAGGGGGGGGGGCGAAGGAGGAAAAGTGGGATAGATACAAATATAAACAACACAAGTTTAAATAAAATCATGGTTCAATTTCTTCATTTTCATATGAAAATGCATTCTTTTCCCATGACAATTTTAAAATTAACAAGTTTTTGACTGATACTGTCTTTAAATATAAAGTTAGGTAAAATAATACATCTACTGATTGATTTTCTTTAAGTTCATGTATGTTTAAGCTGAATTATTACTAGATTCTTCATACTTTTATCGAATGCATGATAAATTACGATGTTGCATATGTTAAATATAACTTAAATAGTGTTGCACAAATTGATTTCAGTATTTTTATTTTGAATTAGTTGAGTATGATGCAATCAATTAATTATTGATTCTGAGATACTTAAATCTTAGTAGAAACCGATAGATTGTTATGGTATTTCAGAAATATTTTATTTTATTTTGTTATCACTACTTATGTAAAACATAAACATAAAGTTTATTTGAGCGTGAAACGTAACAATAATATTATAGTAATGAGTATATAAGAATTGTTAATAAACATTTTCTGTCCTAGTGGTGGCAAGTTGATAAAGTTCCACCTATGAAGCTGTATGACGAAAATAAAAGTATTGGTGGCTTAAATCTTCGACATCTCATGTATCAGCACGGAAATAATGAATTTGTTAGACGTATAGTTGAACAAGTGTTTAAGCTCTGGGAAGAAAAAAAGATCAAGCCAGTTATTGATTCAGTTTGGGCTTTAGAGGACGCCGTTGAAGCCATGCAAAAGATGTACGATCACAAAAACATAGGAAAAATTATTTTTGACTTAAACTTGGAACCCAAACCGAAACCAGCTACTCCTGTTAAAAGCAAACTCAAAGATAAGAAAAATTTAAATCAAGAAGAAAAAAAGTCAAGTATAGACGTTGAAAATTCTGAAAATCAAAAAGAATCCGAACTTACAAATGGAACATCTGAAGACAAGTCTGATAGTGGTTGGTGTCTTATATTTTCACAACGAACCACGAATATTATAATTAAATTCAATATTAATTTATTTATTTAATATAAAGTAAATATCAAGTTTGATTGAAAAGTGTAAAAATAAGTTTTTATTGTAATCTTAATTTTTATATTTTTCGTGTATTCTTGATTTTCTATAGCATTCGTTTAAATATACAATGTATTGTAAATAAATTAATTTAAAATTGTACTAAAAGTGATTGAAAATGTTTTGCAGGTTCAAAAGGAAAAGAGTCAAGTTGAATTTATGGGATCAAATATAATTGAATAAAATACTCATGGAACTTATACTATTAATCACTACCAATAAAAGATCAAGAACAAAATTGCAACAAATTAATACACACTATCAGAATAAGATTATTAATAAAAAATGATTATGAACGTATAAGGTTCAAAAAAAAAAAAAAAATATATTAATGTACAAACTGTTTTTTTAAAAAAGCCTTTTTATAGTTTCTATGTCTTTACTATAAAAATAACCGCATATCCTTATATTCCGAATGTATTTTTATCATGTAATATTTGCAAAGTAGATTTAAAATACTAAATTTTTTTTTAATAAATAAACGAATATATATTATTTGAATAGAAATACTTCTAACGTATAAGTTAGTTAAGAAATTTTTTCGTCATACTTTTATTAAAATTTATGTACTTGTAACCATTGTTTTTATCTTTATTACAATAAATTCCTCATAGAATTTGAATGTAAATTTTTTTAAAGTTTTTTTTTTTCTTTTATTTATTTTATATCACATTTTATGATTTACATTATTATTCTATTAATTAAACCACTGATTAAAATATCTATTTTATAATACATAAAAATAAATAAATCATACGATATTCCGCATATTTATTGAAATTTTTAATACATTTATGCTTATTTGCCAATCGCGTTACACGTAAGTGCACAAGTAAGTTTGGTTTCTCATATTGCATTTCTAGCATAATATTGATCTCTATGTTAATCATGTTTAAACTATGATAAACGGAGAAAAATATGAAATTGATTTATGTATAATTCATATACCATTTTTACATAAATCGAGATATAAATTATTTCGAGTCATATAAAAAGGAAAGAAAAATAAAAATTTCTATTCATGAAACGTGAATTTTAAAAGTGAATATTCCCTCACCTCCAAATTTAACGTTTACATTAATATAAAAGAAATTCATTAGTCATATGTAACAAATACATAATAAATATAGAGCGCAAGAAAATATAAAATGTAATAAACACGAATAAAAGAGCATTACGCGTGGATCAGGAAACATGCAACAGTAACATAATGTAACTGTATACATCCGCATTGATATAGAGAGTGAATAAAGGCAATTTATCGAGGAATTTATCAACTCAGGAACCAGGATTCTTATTGTTCGAGCAGGAGAGAATTTCCTGGGGGTCCGAGCATACATAACTGTCGAGCGTAACGAAATGAAGTATTCGACCGTAACAAGGTGTGCATGCGCATTTTTGAGGCAGATTTGCTGCCTCATAGTCCTATACGGTAAACCCCGTGATATTGTCGTTTAAAGTTATCAATTATCATGAAGATCCAGATTCTAACGAAATGACAATGCGATACTGTTTTTTGTGCATTTATTTTGTCAGTGCCATTTTCAATAATCGTCGAGTATCTGCACTTGCTGTATCCCAGTCGCCGATATTATTTGGCGAAGAAATAGATTTGAACTCGGAGGCTGCATCCAATAGTACGTTCGCTATTCAATACTTTTAAAGTGTGCTTGGTTTAAAATTGTATATTAAACAGAAACGAAAAAAAAAAAAATAGTTTTCATTACTGTTTAAAACTTTTGAAAATGTGAGATATCAGTTGGTTACGTAACAATTCGATCATTTTATTTAAAATATTTTTACACCCGACAATTTATGCATAATTCATCGATGGTTATTAAGATATACTATTAACTCAAAATGTTATTAAATTTTTTTTTTGTAGAAAATCATTATTAACTTTTTCTTGAATTGAATAATTATTAGATACGAATAGCTTCTCAGAGTGGTTTTACGAGCCGTGTGAATTAATTCGATGAAAACAGTATTGTCATTGAATTATTAATTATACTTTTTTGAATTTGAATTGAATTATTAATATACTTTTTTAACTCTACTCATAAATACAAATGAAATAATTATCTAATAAGAATTAAAAGGATTTATTAACAAATGTATCTAAAACTTATAGATATTATAGGATATTTTATTATTCCTATTTTATTATATTTTAGATTTCTTTAATAAAAATTATGAACTTTATTTTAGGTATAATAAATAGATTATATAAAGTATATAAAGGTATTAATATCAAACAATATAATAATTAAAAAATAAAGATATCTGTAAAAAAATACAATAGTTATATTATTTACTATTAGTGATAAAAACTCATTACTAATTACATTATTTGGTACATAGATACTGTAAATTGTTATCTTATAAATAATTTTTTATTTTAGATTTTAACATTTTCTGAAGCTTTTTATTATAATTCTTATTATAAGCAATTATCAAATTAGTTTATTAAATTTGAATGATTAAAAATGTATAAATTTAAAGAACAACAATGTCACGTTAAAAGCAAGCCTATCAAAATTATACATTGTAAATTTTATTATAATTTTTAAGAGTATAATAAATTTGTTACAAAAATATTATCAATATCCACACAATTTATCTTTTTACAAAAGATAAGAAAAAACAATAAAAATGGCATTTCATGTGAAAAAAATCATTTGCATTATATGCTCATTAATACTCAGTATCATTGAATGGAAATATTTATAAATAATTCAATTTAACTAAAACTAATAATAATAATGATGTACGTATACGTATATAAAGTAATTTTTTTAAATAATATATACTATTTTCCGTCACTGTGAAACTCTGAAATTGTTGACTTTCAACGATAAAGTATTCAGCTCTAAGTGTTTTCTCTTTGTTCATTGACCGACAAGATGACATTTGTAAACAATATTAGAATAATTTAATATAAAACTTTGTTCAGTCGATGTAAACTAATTGGACGCTGTAATTTTTTTATTTTTATAACAATAATTAAAGTCTTTGTCAATATACAATACGAGCAAAAACGTCGTTTAAATATAGAAATAATACAATCATTTATTAATATATAGAAGTATTTTGTCTTGTTAAAACTATAATTTTACTTAAAAATGTTAAGATAAATATTTTAATCTTTATAGGCATTATTTTATTTATTTAGTTCATTTTCTCTATAAAATACTAAAGTAGAATAACATTCACAATGACCAAAGTTCTTTGTTAGTTAATTCAATACTGCAATATTCCGGTTCGAGTTGATAATGTCAAATAGTAATTAATATTCAGGGAAAATAAAAACAAAACAAAAAAAATTGTAAAAGTATGCCTTGTATTGGTAAAATGAACTTTAAACACTTATGAATTGTATGGACGTAATATATAAAGAGACAGAAACTGATTTTATCTACTTAAAGAAAACTATTTTTTGATCGATTGTCTTTGAAAATGAAATATTATTCTTATAAAAAGTTAATGCCCTTGTTCAATCGTAGAGGGGCTAATTAATTGTTGCAGTCATAACAAACGGCTAACATAGATAATTCTTTTAAAAAGCTACATTACCATAATATGCTTGTGTATCTTTAATATATATATATATATATATATATATATATATATTTTTTTTTTTTCTTTTTTCAAAACTTTAAATAACATAAGAATATGATGAGACAACTAATTAATGAATGTCTTCAAACATTGCTTTTACATAGATTTTTGAGCAAAATCAACCAATGCATAAAATAAAAGTACATGTTAATTTCACCACAATGTTAAATATCGATCATATTTGTTTATCATATTACGTTCAGTGCCACAATGACACAGAGCAATGAAAAATGCCTTGGTTTTTAACGATAGAAAATACGGAACGTGGTTATAATATAAAAGGATGGAGAAGAATAGATAATGTCTTAACAGAACCGTTCGACGAGGTAGAACAAATTGAGCCTCGACTTGTTCCTAGTAGTACAAAGAGATCTACAATGTTAGATATGACGACATCGGCCTCCCCCTGGACACTGGCCCAAAGGAACTTGGCTGCTTCATCGGTACCTGTGCCCACGGCAACCGCTGATGAGGTCTTCTGCGATTTTGGCCCATTACCTGCCCAGTCACTCTGCGAGTGGCAAAATGGGTGCGGGGCGCTTAAATGGATCACTGGTACCGGGATGTCGACCAATTGGCTCGGTGGACCAGCCATCGATTCTACTGTTGGAACAATGGAGGGAGGGTACTCGTTAGCTCGTATTTATTACTATACTTTGCTTTCTCCTGCTTATCAAGACGTTTAAATTGTCGCCATATTCATCAATTCATCGACCCATACTCAGCATCATTTACATTATTGTTTAAAGGAATAATATCACATTCAATGCTCGCGTGTGCTTATTATACAAAGTCAATTTTCCAGTATAATTCGAAACGACAATATAATAAATTTTCTATTATATAATCATTTTTCATTTTTAAGTCTAGATTAAATCACTTGAATTTTCATAACTTATTATCTTTATTATAATTAGAATCTTGTTAAAAAAAAAAAAAAAAAAAAAAAAAAAAAAAAAAAAAAAAAAAAAAAATAAAAAAAAAAAAAATATCGCTAATAAATAAGGATTATACTTCTTCATGTTCAAAGAGTTTCTTCTTGTTCAATTTGAAAAAATATCATAAAATATATTGATATAGATTATACATTGTTATGTATATTAAATGAATAATTGCATACACGAATGTGTTTCAAGAATAACAAATATTCATTTAAGTAAAACAATTACTTTTCAAATAAAGTAGAAATATTTATACAGCGTATACACGATCTCACATATAATATTCATATTAAACGATTGTTACGTACAAGGTTTTGAATTAGCCTGTGTGGCTTAGTAATAGCTACACATAAGGACACTTGTATTTCTATCAAAATATACCGAAATCATTTTTCTTCGCTACTAGCCGATTACTATTTATTTACAATAACAGCGCAATTGCTATAGAATGTGTATTTTGCAATTGCAGATTTGCTTTCCTCGAAAGCTCGCAACAAATAGGCAAATCAACGATAACAAGTGCAGTTTCGGATTCCGTAAGTCCAAATGGATTATTGCACAGTCCTCAGCTTGGCAGTACTGGCCCATACGGTACCTGCTTTATGTTTAAATACGCGATCGACGGATCCTATTGCATGCGGGATTCGATGAATTTAGTTCGACAGCGGCTAAGCTTAATTACACAAAACCTGGTACGGTATCCTGCAACGGGCCATTTCAGTCTAACCCGCCGGTTCAAAGTCAAAAAGACGAACGCGTCATCTGGAATGCCCACTATCATATTCTTGGGATATGGCAACAAGCACAGATACTTTATACATTCTCGGATCTTCATACGGTAATTTACGATCGATTTTATCAATTACAACTATACAAAATATAGAAAATATTAACAATATAAAATGCAAATTCATTTTATATTTTTATAGAACGCGCTATTATGTTCTAGGCGTAATTTTTTTATAATTGTCATGTCGGGCACTCGTTGAAATAATTTTGTGCAAATTAATGTTAAAATTAGAAATAACATGTCCAAGGATAAGCTTGTATTTTGATTGAGAATAAGTCTTGGCTAACAATAAGTCGTCAATAAACAATTTATAAAATAAGAAGCTTATAAAACTCGCGATTTTCTTTTTATCGTTATAATTAAAAATTAATACCACAAACAGCGATGCAGTATTGACAAAAAAAACTTTTTCCTATTGAATTTTTGTGCCGAACGGGTTATTAATAATGCTCTGCTTGTGTTCTGTAATGCTTAATGATAGCATTTATTTATTAATATTTGTATGCACAATGTTTATTAAGAAATTTCCAACCAAAGTAAAATATTCTTTTAACCATGAACTGGAACTGATTATGTTCTAGTGAAATTCCTTTAGAAATTGGCTTTTTAGTATAGGATTCAATATTATTATGTTGCTTTTAAAAGACGCTGTTTGATTACGTTACAATAACAGGAGGCGGAGCATTATAGCAGATAAATAAAAATTTCCATAATAAAAAATCCATAGCCATAACGCATTGTTTATAGATTACTTTGTAAGTTTAATCCTTGAGAAAGAATGGTATTAAAATTATATAAAAACATATTACATAAACATAACATGTAAGTATAATGTTTAATGTCATTAAAATAGTACAAGTAGTCGTATTATTTTATAAAATGTGTTTTAAAAAACATTTCAAATAAGATAACAGAAATTTATATCCTTTATTCAAGTAAAATAATGATAATGACGGGTATTTTATGATTATTAATGTTAATATTCCTTTAATATATAGGGAATACAAAATTAATTATTTTTCTGTTACGTCATAATCTCTTAAATCCAAAAGAAATCTAATGCTCGATTTAATGACTATTTGCTCTTTTATCTTCAGCTAATTATCGAAGGTATTCCAGTTGATGCTGGCGATCCATCACGATCCTATCGTGGATATATCGCTATAGATGACATTGATCTTCAACCAGGAAACTCTTGTATGGCTTTTTGTAATTTTGCTGGTGGTTTTTGCGAGTGGACAAACGACTTGGAAGATGATTTTGACTGGTCTATCGTCAGTATAATTAACATATTATACAATTTATAAAGCTTAAAAATTTACTTTAAAGTTGTAAATACTAGAATGTACATTATCATTGTTGTATCATTTAATTTAAAGATGCATACAAAATTGGTAATGTCGAGGAATTTACATTTTGGTAAATTGGACGTCAACTAAACGAACTAATTTAATGCATCGCTAGTGAATAGCTATTTGAAATGTTATTGAGAAAAAAAAAACAACAACATATAAATAAATAAATATATAAATAAAACAGAAATCAGCTAAATATGTCGATAACAGTTTTACCGTAGTTTCGATACCTTAAAAAAAAGTAATTATACAAATATTATCTACCACTTTGGTTCAATATCTAATAAAAGGGAATATTTCTGTACAACGAACCTTTTGTACTTGAAATCTTAAATACACAAAGAAATGATTGATGAAAATTTGTCGAAATGCATCGGTCCATCGAGATCTGAAATACTCTACTTACAAATCGACTGATTATCAATCGTTGATAATTATGAAAACTTATCGCCAAGAGTAATCCTAATTGTTATCAGCATATTTAAAGCTTTAACTAGAGAAGCCAGTGAAAGCGCACACATTTCATTGAATAACGTCTACGCACAGCGAATTAGCCATAGCGCTAATTCGTAATTAATGATGAAATTAATATGACCGATTGAGGGATGTAGAGTCGAGGAAGTAACAATCCAACGACGGGTCCGGTGATTGACAGAGGAGCGAGCGAGAGGCTGTCAACTGGCGGATACGCTTACATAGACTCGAGTTTTCCTCGACGACCAGGTGACGTCGCTCGGCTCATCAGCATGGGTTTGCCGGCCACCGCACCGGATGCACCCATGTGCATGCACTTTTCCTTTCACATGTTTGGTTCGGGCATCGGCGAGCTTAGAATATTACTTCGACATGCTCGTAATCCCGAGGCTCAACTGCAAGAGATTTGGCGTCTGAAAGGCAACGCCGGTAATTCGTGGTTCGATTCGCGCGTCACCGTCAGCTCCCTCGATGACTTTCAACTCATTTTCGAGGCTACTGTCGGGAACACAGCCATGGGTGACATCGCCATTGACGACATATCATTTACAATTGGAACTTGCCCTAGTTAGTATTCATAATCAGTCTTTTACACTAGCCGACGCTCGATTCAATTTACTTATTCTTACTTATAGTATTGGTTTTGTGGAGAGATTGCCGAGTAAATTCAATAGAATTCCAACTCATAAACTCAAGCATATAAAGCACATAATTTGTTGTGTGTTTTAGCTTGTTAACGTTTATGATTTATTTGCGGCCATTGATGCTTAACATCTAGATTTACCACTTAAATTACCTTAAATAGTCGATTGACAAGGGGACAAGGTGAATCAAAACCTATTTGCTATACGCATGTAACTAATATCCCTTCACGAATTAGCATCTTTACACATTTATTTTTTATTAGTTTGATTTTGACAAAATGTGTCGATGAGTCAATGTAATTATTTATTCCTATACTTTATATTCTAAGATTCTCTTCAATGAAAATGTGTAAAAATGTCAGTAAAAATGTCAGTAAAAATGTGATTTCGCATTAATCTTATGAGAATTGTGAGCGAACGACGAAGTCCGTCGTTATTCCAAAGTAACGCAAAAAAACTTATATTGGCAAACAATGTTTATTATTGATTAATTAATAATCTCTTGGGCGGAATTCTATATTTTCTATATTTAAGCAGTTAAATTAAGATAAGTAATGCCGCCTCCCTCCCCCCCCCCTCAACTCCCCCTCAACTTTTCATAAAACAATTCAAAATTACAATCTCAAAATTAATTCTCTACATATCATTGTATTGTAATAGGAAATTACTTATGGAATCCCATCATAATTCTAATACATCAAATACAACAGAGAAAATGAAAACGTCACACATGCCAAATATAACGAATTGACGAGCACGTGCTTTAATAAAATATATATTATTTGAAAGAAGGAGGGCGCAAGATTTTTTAATCATTCTTTTTTTTTTAATTTTTTTATTATTTAAATGTGACGACTAATGAAGTACGATAAATGTAGAATCTCCTCAAGTGGCGGCTCCTGCGAATTTTCCTCGGGACTGCAGCTTCGAAATTGACGAATGCGAGTGGATTAAAAGTCGGGAGTCGAATATGCCAAGCTCGATAAACGCGGCAGGCCAAGGGAGTCGCAGTCGAGTCGATTGGGATCGCGTCTCGCAACAAACACTCAGCCCACGTAATCAAAGAAAACCTTATAGTTTGCCATCGATGCGTCCACGACAAGAGTACTTTATGGCTCTGCAGACTCGTGGGGTTGCAGCTGCAGTCACTGACACCGCTTATTTTCATAGTAACGAGATCAAGGCATCGGACGAACCAATTTGCCTCACCTTTTGGTACCTTATGTTCGAGTCATTCATCGACGCTACTGGTCCAAGCTTAGGTACTCGTACATAAATAATTCTACTTACGCAGGTAACATAGTGTGATACGGTCGTTTTAATATTTGGGGGAAGCGATCGAAAGCCTTTACCAATCTTACATTTGATTCTCAATGAAATACAATGGTATTTCATTGGCGACCTACCCAACCTTTTTTCCTATTCTATTTTATTTTTATTTTATTTATTTATTTTATTTTTTTTTTTTCAATGGAAATTTATTGAATTTGACGACTTGTTACTTACAATAGATTTATTGCATAGAAATTTAATCAAGTCAATTCAAAACGAAATTAATTAAGATTCATTATATTTGATAAAACTTTTTTATGCGATGAAAATTTCCTTCGTTATTTTTTTATATTAATTAATGTTACGTCTAATTAAATTTTATAATTATATTCGAATGTTAACCGGTATTTATTCGCACAAGATACTTGTATTATAAATGTATTAATCTTTTTACAAAATTCAATACTAGTCAATTTGAATCTTGGATATATATGATTGATTGATTGAATATTATTATTTAACAAAATTATTATTGCGGCAGACCTAATTCTATATCGTATTGGTTCAATATCAATTTATCTATTATTTATAAGCAGAGGCAACTGTGCGCGTGTTACATCATTTTTATTTTCATTTAATCGTAAATTTATATATCCCTGTCGTTGTTATTTTCCTTATGTATATATAATAAATTCAAATTATAGGTGTATTAAGAGTACTGGTACAACCTACAGGCGAAAATCTTGCCGTAGCGTTGCCAGTGTGGCAGCTATATAATAATCAAGGGCCAACCTGGAATTATGGACAGGCTACTATTACTGAAAAACGAGACTTCAGTATTGTTTTTGAAGGTACCTGGGGTCCCAATCGAGCAAATGGCAACATAGCAATAGATGATGTTGCATTCTATATGGGCAACTGTAGTGGTAATTTCTCCAATTATTCGATTTTATGGAATAACGTTAATTACTTGCTGTACTTTTACCGTATCATATTCTCTATGAATATATTAAACTTCGAAGACTGATGTAGACTACTCGGATGTATGACAAAATAGATTTTCCAATAACTTTTTATTGACTTAGTAATTTTAATAGTGTTGGGCATATTATTTGAAACTTTTAAGTCGATTTTAAACAGTTGGAACATTTTAACATGTTTATTAAACACGATATATTAATGATTCTTATTTATTAAAATAAGTTTGTTTTGTTTTTTTTGTTTTAATATTTAATTATTTGTAACCATTACTTCAGGTATAACTGAAGAATTTTAATTAACTTTTAAATCCTTAATTTTTAAATTAATCTTTAGTTTTAAGTAAATCTTTAGTTTTTAATATTGCTGTTGTTAAATTTGTCGAGAGAAGGGGCCGTACAAAGCCGTACATATCGAATTTTTATTTAATTAAGAATTTGTCGCAAATTTTAAATCTTATAATATATTATTATTGCATGTTTTAAATGCACAGTGAGACCAAATAGTGCTGTAGTACGAGTTGAAGATTGTAGTTTCGAAAAAGGGCTTTGCGGTTGGGAAAACGTAACGAGCAGTGGAGTGAACGACCCAAAGGTACAGTGGCAACGTGCCTTCCCAAGTCATCGGCCCGCGCAACTTATCGACAAGACTTTTGGTTCTTCTGGTGATTTCATATTCTTTGACATTTTCTCACCAAATCAAAAGCGCGAAGTCAGCTTGCGATCACCAGTAGTCAACATTCCGCCGGACGAGGAAGTTACTTGCTTCACCTTTTGGTTTGTTGCTTTTGGCGTTGAAGAATCTACAAGCTTAAGAATTCTTAAAATTGCTGTAAATCAAAAGGAAAACGATTCAATAGAAGCATTTCAAGAAGACGAAGATTCTGAGCAGCAAGTGGTAAGACGATACTTTTTATAACATTTTATTTTGGTCCTGTCATTTAAAAATATTCTAACAGAGCATATATTGTATAATATATTTTTTTTTTCTATAATAATACGGTAATGTAAAATAAGATTTATTAAAATAAATTATTGTAATACAAAGGTGGTAAAATTGAATAACCTTTATAAATAATATTTGCTAAGCTTTAGCTTTTAGAAATATAATACTATTCTGGCAATATAAAACACTTACATTTGTCTTAATAATTTATTTATCTTTATTAATTCTGAAAAATTAGTTTAAAATTACATACAAAGTATTAAGATATATTAGAAAAATATAAATAAAGTTTTGCACAAATAAATTACTCATATAAATATTTATTTTAAATATATATATATATATATATATATATATATATATATAAGTAACAGCGTTAAAAACATTTTATACATTAATTTTTACTGCAATTAAAATTACAAGTAAGAATAGATCATATATTATTTTTATTATTGAATACTGCCATTTTCTAAAATTTAAATTAATCTTAATATTTTTTATCATAAATTAAAACAATTTGACTATAACACTACAACATAATATACATAGTTAAGCTGAGCTGATAATAATTATAATTAGTATAAATTCTTTTAATTTTGTTTATATATTCATTTAATTATTATGTTCGAAGCTTTGGTCGTTAACGGCAAAAGGATTTAATAATCCAAGACCTTCGTGGACTTGGGCACAAGTAACAGTAGAGGCTCGATCGCCATATCGGCTAATTTTAGAGGGAAGCGCTAGTAATGGTGGCTTTGCAATCGACGACATTAAATTTCAGCCTCAAGCTTGTCCAAGTAATATTAATCTTAAACTTTATATATTTTTAATTTGTATTGAAATGTAACATTTAAGATATTATATATTTTCAGCCCGGCCAATAGAGGCAAGACGATCTCCCATATCTCAAGAACTATAATATCACAATGCATAAGCTTACAATAATTATTATATTTATTTTTAATAATCATATTTTAATATAAAATAGCATTATTACTTTTTTGATATTTTAGATTTTTTTTAATAAAAAATAATTAAATGCATGTGACAAGCATATAAAAATGATTAAAAAGTATTAATTTTGAGATTCTATTATAATATAAAATTATATATATTAATCAAGTGAGAAACTTTCATAATATATAAAAAAAAATACTTGATTGAAATTTATTTAATTCGAAATGTAAATAATATATCAATAGACAAATAATCGTAACCAATAACCGATAAGTATTTGCTTAAACTTAATTAGCATATGAAAAGTATAACAATACATGTATAAATCTATCTTTAACAAAATATAATATTTTAATAACGTTAAATATTTTAAGCTACAACTATCGACTCATAATCTAATATCTCATAATATTATCGACTCATAATTACTAAACAATAAAACATTTCTATATCTCTATAATATAAATTATAGTAAATTGTTTTTATAAAAATCCTTTTTATGTAAAATGTTTGTAAATGAATATGAATGTCGGAATAATTAAAAGAAAAATCCATGTTATAAATAAATGAATAGAATAAATTTTGTAAGATAATTGAAAAATGTATTTTATTAGGTAAAAATATAAAATAAATATTTACAAGAATATGAAAATTATATATTAACAACATAAAGAACAATTTAAAACATTACATACAATATTTATTTACGTTATCGCTATTAAAAACATTTATTTACAAATTTGTCTTCATGATCCTTATATATATTTACAATACGAATGTGAAATTTTTCAAACATGACTCCGATAACAATTTGAATAATGCGTGCAATAATATTGTGATTAGTCGTGTTTGTGATGATACGATATCAATATTTTTACTGTAAACATGTAAATATACGTACATTCTCTATGTTTAATATTTACTCCTATTTCGAATGTAATAGCTTTACAAAATTTTATAATCGTATAAATCATTGTACGGCATATAGTTTACTATACGTGAATATTGTTCGTTAAATTAATAGACCAATAGTTAAATAAAGATTTTTAATGAAAACGATGTTTTGTGCTCAAATATATTTTAATCGTAAAAAATTGTTCGTTTGCATTAGTCGGTGCGTTATCGAAATATAAATAGATGAAAATATCAATTATTTAATTATACATTTAATTTAATCAATATACTAACTGAAACAATCAGAGTAAATTAATAATGAATGTGAAATAAATGAAATCGTTAAAAGTATTATTTTAAAAGTATTAATTTAAAAGTATTAATTTAACATTTCAAGTAAGAATCAATAGTCAAGTAACATTTACGCATATAGTAAATTTATTTACGCATATACCTGTACATTATATAATTAGTTTGATATAAAACGACGTGAAAATTGTTCGTGTAATGTTTTGCGGCATAATCGATTAATCATATGCATCACTAATCACGACTTGACACACTGAAATTGAATATAATATAATTATATAATATAGCCTTATGTTATTAAATGGTCGAGGTAAATTTTATCAATAAACTATTTTATATAAAGTAGCTTTCTCTAAAGATTTTGTAATATTTATGATATCGAGCATAAGCCAATAAATCTATGGTTACAAATGAATTACAATTTAATCGTCACAGCTAATTTCCTTACTAAAATAATACACTATAATGAAAAACACTTTTGGTTAATTCAAAATTAAAATAAAAATTATTTAAAAAATTTAATCCTTCCGAACTTTTGCGAAATAATCAATTATTTAAAAGAATCCGATAATAAAATTTTCGTATTTACACTTCATCAAGTAAATTAAAATTAATGCATCTATACAATCATACCTTAGTTGAGCTATTTATTATTTTTACACGATATTTATTAAAATTTACCAAATTTTATTTACTACACTGGCAAAAAAAAAAAAAAAAAAAAAAAAAAAAAAAAAAAAAAAAACTATATACATCATAAGTTTTAGCATAATTAAATCATTATTAACGTTTGTGTGAATTTAAAATTGTATAAAATAGACAAAACTAAGGTGTGATAGTTGTCAAAATTTAAATAACATTTATAATGAAAGAAAAAACTATACGTGAAATGAAGAGAAATAAAAATATTGCGATAAGGACAATTTTAACTACTTTGTTGATGATGTATTAATGAATGGATTAAAAATGTCTAAGCTAAAAGTTTCAGGGGAAGATGCATAAGCACGTCCTAAATTCAAATAAACTTTTGCTATATACGGCACAAGACACGGACAAAGTAAAAGAAGCCTCGTAGATGGTCTTTTCGAAGATTTTTGCTGAAGCATTTTAAAGACGATAATTTTTGTATCTCTAGCAACTTTAACCGTTTTAAATAATTGAGGTTTTCCTTTACATATCATATCCACTATTTCCGATATACTCTAAAAAAATTTAATTAATTAAAATATCACATTGAAAATAAAATGGCCAATAAGTTGAAAATATTACTAAAGCTGGGAAAGCAAGTTCTTTTGTTAGCATCTCATACAACACAACTCCCATACTCCAAATATCACTTTTAAAATCATACGGCTCCTTCTTTAACATCTCTGGGGCTATGTAATAATAAGTTCCTGCATGACTCATATTATTTCTACAAGGCAAACAAATCAAATAATCGATGTCCTGATATAATGAAATCTATGTCGCCTATGAAAACTTACTCTCGTAAATCCCTTGAAAGTCCAAAATCACCAATCTTTACTATATCCCCCATACATCCAGTAAGCATTATATTTTCTGGCTTTAAATCTCGATGCAAAATATTTTTTGAATGTATATGATGAACTCCTAAAACTACTTGGGCAAATAAATACAATGAATCCTATAAAAACAGAAGAATTCGTAAATAAATTTTGTCGATACTACAACACATGTTTCATATTACTTTTTCCAATAATGGATTAGATCTTTTATCTAAAAGATTTTTTAAGGTGCCACGTGCAGCATATTCCATTAATATGTAAAAACTATTGGATTCTTGCCAAGCCCCATAATATGAAATGATATTTGGATGTCGTAATATTTGCATGCATTCAACTTCTGCTGATATCATCTTTAAAAACATATATTTATTTAAGTCAACGGAATCAAATTCAAACTAATTCTTTAATTTACCTTATTGAGCCAAGCATTACCAGAATTTTGATCCTGCTGTTTAATCACAAATTGCTTTCTATCTTTTTTTCGTTTTACAAGAAAAACCTTTCTGTTACAAAATAGAATAAAATTGAATGAATAAAATATCAATTTTATTTGATAATGTTATAAAAATTCTATTGTACCCAAAACTTCCTTTTCCAAGCATAGCTTCAAATTGAAAATGTTGTGTTTGCATTTTAAATGTAATTTAACGAACTGCTTATACACAGCTTATATATATATGTTTACAATAATTAAACTAGATTTGTATTCTACTTAATAATTGAAAGTTTAGGATTTTGAACTTAAGGTCGTCAACATCAATAACACCCAATGTTATACAATACACGAGACGATATAAAGCACGAATAAATTGCGTACTTTTAAAACGTCTCAGTTTTATTTATCGTTTTGTTATACAAATCAAAATACAGTATTGTATTACCTAAAACCTCTCACAATTTTTAATTAAAAAAATAATAATTATTATTATTTCGGAGAGGAAGTACACGATGAAATCTAAAGAATAAACAAAAAATTATTAATTACTGTATTGCGTATATAATTTTTTTTTTTTATTTTTCTTTAAAAGAAAATGAAAATAAAAAATTTGATAATTCGTTGAAAAATGAGCGAGGGATATTGCGCTAACTTTAAACGCATCGAGACAATTCGCGACAGATTCGTTCTGACGTAAAAATGTATACATCCTTTGATCCGAATTCTTTTAAAATGACTTCTCTTGAAACGAGAAGATATATATATATATATATATATATATATATATATGCATACATATATATACATATATATACATATATATATATATATATATATATATACACATATGTTTTTATATCATCACATAGTATACATCATTCAACTATTCGTAGATTCTATTGTATCGCTGGAATCGCTTGTAGACGTGCGTGATTGCTTTAAACTATCTAAATATTCTTGCTGTGAAGTAGCTAGCACCTTTGATAAAATATCGCTGTCCTCCCAATCAGTCAAACCTATAGATAAATAATTAAGTTACATACGCGGTGAAATTCGTGCAATTCGTTACTATTATACTTAGTCAAAATATTAAGTTTTAATTTAAAGACAATCTTTTAATGACCATTAAATGATTATTACTAAGTATTTGATTATGATTATGATTATGATTATTATTATTTATTCGGGCACGCGTTGGTTTAAATACTTTTTAAATCAAATTTGTTTGAAAATTATGATAAAGTTATATGTACATAAGAAAATTTTACCAAATACTTCTGGAGGAAGACGATTAAAAAGTGAAATATCTGGTGACGCATGCATCTCTTTACTGCTACCAGGAACTGGTTCTTGTGGTATGGTAGACGAAGCTTTGTATTCCGATGGAAGAAGTGGAATTCCAGAGCTTGATTGATGTTGCGGTGATCTTTTATTGTAGCGTACATTGTCATTTATCTGACATTTGTAAAACTTAATTAATATAAAATTCATTGATACATTTTATTTTCTTATACACGCCAACAAACCTTTGGAGAATTTCGTACGGCTTCTTGATTAGGTGAACTTGCTGATGTTGGAGACGAACAATGGCTTCTTTGTTGTGTTCGACTGCTATGTGAATGAAAATGACTATTTTGAGCACTTGTCACTGTACTTGTGCTACTACTGCTTGCTGAACGCTAGAAAAATATCCAATTATATATTTTTATAAATTATTTACTAAACATTGCAATGGCTTAATAATTAGACTTTTAGTTTAAATTTATACTCATTTACATCATCAATTCAAAAGATAAAAATTATGATAATTAGATTATATTATAAATTTATGTTCTCGAATATTTAAAAAAAAATTTTACATAATTTTATACTAATCAAAGCTAGTTTTATTTACAAATTTTATATTGTGTAATATATTAATAATATAGGTTATGTTTCAATACATTAAAATATCTAATTTTTATAAAAAAAAATAAAAATGATATATATTATTTAATTAATGGAATAATAATATTCATCGATAAATACAAATGATTTGCAATACAGTAAATATTAAACAAGTTGTGAAAATCATTATTGATCAAAACTTATTTAAAAAATATATCCCAGTTGTTATTATTATTATATTATTTCGTTTAAATATAAGGCTGGAATCATTTTTAAAATGTTATTTACAAATTTTATATAATTAATGCGAAGCTATATATTACAAATGGTCAAATTTAAAAAAAAACTGATAGCAATGTAACCGTAATAATGTACTAGCTTACACATCGATACGTATTTGATATTTTTGGTGTATAACAGCAATGTTATAATGCAATCTCTGGATCTCTTAGATGTATTTCCATTACTTATTCTACTTCCAAAAAAAAACCATGGGAATTTATCCATTTTTAACTATTAAAACTTTTGATGAATAAATTTGACGGTATCTATAAAGTGTTTTCCAGAAATGCTTAAAATATTAAATAAATAAAAATCGACATAAGAGTATTTGTATATCATACAAAGAGGGTTTAAAAAGAAAAAAAAACAAATATAATTGGATTAATACAGTTTTTTTTAATATATAAAAAACTATGCTTTTTAATCATATTTGATTTAATTCTAATATATTAAAAAATACATATATTTATATTGAGATAATACAAATGTGTAGTTACATGTAGATAAAGTAAATAATTTGTAATACAAATTTGTTTAGTTGTATTTTTAAATATATATATATATATATATATATATATATATATATTATTATAGTCAACAATTTAGGCCACAAAATTAAAAATTGACTTTATATTACTTTATGTTAATATTCTAAGTATTCTCATAAATTATGTCTTAAATTAATAAAACAAAAATAAATTATTAATTTTTTTATTTATATTAATCTCTACCAATATTTATTTTATAATATTTTAATATTTTTCTATATTATTTTGTTAATGTTATTTAAAAAATATAATAATAAAATATATAAAATGCTGATTTATTTAGCAAATTTATAGTAATTCACTTACTGCTTTTCTCATTTCATTATCGCGTAACCATTGTAAATAACTTTCTCTAGCAACTTGTTCTTCAATCGCTTCATTTGTTGCTTCCCAATCTGTAGCTTTTATTTTATCTTCAAGCATTGTCTTTTTTAAATAAACAAATAAGATATTAAAATAAGTTTTTTTTATTGAAATTTTACTTTAATAAAGATATATTATCTTATGCTTACCTGTTCTATATGCAATTCTTCACTTTGTCGTACAGCATCAGATATCAATTCTCGATCAGCAGAACCGGGGTTAAATGATGGTAATCCAAGTCCGACACCAATAGTTGCTTTATATGGATCTACGATACTGTTATAATGACTCCCTCTTTGATACGATAATCGTATAGGCTCGTTGTCACTTTTGAGGACTCCATGAAAAATATTTATTGGTTCTAAATTACAAAAGAAGACTGTTAAATTTATTAGATAAGTTATTAAATAAATTTAATAAAAATAAATTAACAAAATTACCAGTACTATAACAAAACAACTCAATACTACGATTATACATTTCTGACATTGCTTGCATCTCTATGTGATTGCCGTGAACGTATTCTTGCCGTTTTCTATCTACATAAGTACTAAAATCTTCAGCTACGAAATGTGAAAAAAATTCTTGGTTGGCCGCCTATGAATAAAAATGATCATTAAATAATTGAAAAATACATCAATTTTCGTTCTAACATTGATTAACATATATAAGAAATGACATACAATATAATCCATACAGTGTTTTCGAACAACACCATGCATTTCTTGATCTCCATAAACTTGATCGGCTACAGCTCTAAATAAACAGGCTCCATCGTCTCCCATTTTTTTTACAATAAACCCCATTTTTCTTAATCGCTTTTCGAACCATCTGTCCCGCTATTAAATAAATAAAACATTAATTTTATAATAAAAATTAGAAATATTAAATTTTAATTATAATTTGAAAAAACTATTTGGTATAACAAACCTCTTGCCACTCCGCAAGTGTCAAATTATTTCCTGTTCTACCAGTGTATTCATCACCACTATTATATCCATTAGCTAATTCGTGTTCAAGATTTGCAGCTGCAGCAACGATAGCCATTCGACTGTTGGACATAACAGTACTATCACCACCTGACGGACATTTAATAAATATAATTTATTGTACTGTATTTCAATGAATAAATTTTTCTATTTTATTTCAATTCACTATTAATTCACTAATAAATTCATTAATAAATTAAATAAATTTGTTACAATCTCGCCATTTAAACAATACTCTTCTGATTTAATAAGATTTGTATGAATTTATGTGATGTAAGTAAACAATAAAAATCTGCATTTACATATAATAGTTGCATACAAACAGTTAGTAAAAATATTTAAAAAAAATACCTTGTAGGCCACCACTACTGCTAGAAGTGGTTGGTGGTGTAGACTGCCTTTCGAGTTCCCTTTCTCTTTCACGTTCTCCACCAGTACCAACATTACTACCTCCTGTACCTCGACCTCTTTCTCTTTCACGCTCTCGTTTAGTTCGTGAACTTCTACTAATACATCCACTAAATATCAAATTTTTAATTTGATTAGAATAATATTATAAAGTATTGTCTTCGATGCTAATAGAAAAATATATACCTGTGAGGACTTGCTCTTCTACGATGACGTTTCCCATGATTGGAGCCTCCTGTTTCATCAAAATGCTTTTCTTCTCGACGATCGACATTTCCCTAAAAATGCATATGTAATTTTATCACGAAAATTTTAAATTATTGTAAACTCTCTTTACCTCATATGAGCCATTTGCAGTTAGAACTATTGAACCAGCATTGTGATCATTTTGTACTCCATGCAAATCTACTGTGAAACTATTACTACCTCGTACCTGTTGATTTTTTTTTTAAAAAGGAAAAATAATTAATAAACGACACTAAGTATATTAAATAATTGGTTAAGTACAACTTAAAATGAATATTTACAAACTAAGAAATTTATAGTTAATATATATATTTCTTAAAAATATTAACATTTTATTATTTACATACATATGTGTGCGTGCAAATTTTTACTTCTATATTTAATAATATCAATATATATTAATTATAATTTTAAGTTTTGTAAAAGTAAATGGATTAAAAATTTAGTTGTATAGAAAAATCATTTTGGACTTAATGTGAGTATGAATATATATATATATATATATATATATATATATATATATATAGAATATGTATTAATATACTCTATCTCTATATAAATAAGTATTTAACTAACTTAATTTCATCGTTTATATGATTTATTCAAACATGCCTGAATGTACCTAACTTTTCCTCTCAACTCTTATAACAATTATACATAAGCTTTAAACTCTTATTACATCAAAATATATCTTACATATATAAAGTAAATTTAAATGATTCAACAATCAACCAAAAGATCCAAATTTTGTCTAATCTTTTAATATTTATATATTAGCATAAAATTGTAGGTTAAAAATTTGCTTATGTATAGATAAAATGCATTAGTCCGCATATGCATATCAACAATACTTATTATAGACAATCTTTCAAGATTTATAAAGTGAATAATTTGCTATATAATTATAAAATTATATAATTTAAAAATATAAAATATTCAACATTTTTATTCAATTACGATATAAATATTAAAAAAAAAAAAAAAAAAAAAAAAAAAAAAAAAATTCATTAAATAATATGGATTATATCGATAGTTATACTATATATGACGTATATACATAGTTAAATAGGCTATGTAAACTAGCGAGTGTTAATTCCGTCACAGAAAAGAAAAATAAAAGTTGGAGCAGAAGATAGTTTTTTTTATTTTTTAAGTAGCTAGGAAAATAGAATATTAATCATATTGATTTGTTATTGAGCCAAATGAACAATAAAATCATATGCACCAATGCCTGTTATTTAAAGAAAATGGTGTACAAATAACACCGAGTGTTTTAATATCTAATAAGAAAATAAAAAATAAATGCATACCTGATAAGGACTGTTAGGCAATGCAATGGATCCTGTTGCACCATGTTCATTCTGTACTCCATGTACATCGACCTCTGATCCATTTGAGTTCTCACCGCGTCTATCCTTGGTTGTGTTTTGCTTTTTCTTGGAGAGAATCGTCATATCGGATTATTCTCTCGATTATTACCTAATTATTAACAAGAATAATGAAAAACTTCTCGCAATCGTGCTGTATAAACAGCTTTCAATTTCGTCTATCTATTTGCCTTCGTACTAAGAGTCTGCTGCGCAGATTCAGGATAGTCACCAGACGGATAGCGTAAAAACAAACCTCTTATCCACTAGCTGCCTTTTTTCTTCTGTCCACTGTCCAGTGACGTGCATTCATCTGCCAGACTACAACATAGAGGCGGCCATGAGTCTCGTCGCTCTTTTCGTCTTCAACAGTCCAAGTTCAATGCGCAACTTCGCGCGCGCGCAGATCGAACGGGAGATCTCTCCTCCGCACAATGGCAATCGGACTCTATTAATCATAAACTTTCGAGTTCTGTCCTCCTGTGCGCTCCCATGCAAATGTTACTAAACTCATTTACAATTACGCGCTCATGCACGACCAGCTGGGCGTACCCCAAATAATGCTGCTAATTGCCTCGGTTTTAACTACTGTCAAGTCCTGCGCGTAAACCTATAGTCTCGCACCCACAGCACTATAAGCATATAGAATCTTAATACGTATTATTTATACACTATTTCACAGATATTTGAACGATAGTTTAATATGCATTTTAACGATTTCTTTTTGTGGTTAAATTGCCAATCGGATTGTTCTAAAACGCTCATATATCAGATTACACATCTATAATGGTTCGAGAATTGACATCTCGAATCTTCATAACCCATTGAATATGTATACCGATGCACATATATATATATTTACAACGCAATTTCGCATAATACGGACACGATGCGCGCACACTACGTCGTCGCCCATCGATAGTAATTCGATAGCGCTTTACCGTAACAGTTCATTCCCTACCACAATTTCTGCATTCTTCTGTTCGATCTTAAAATTACATTTAACAGTCTCTACATACTCCGTTACACTGGCTCCAACGATTTACACATGATTGTCGATAACTTATAGTTTAACAGCTGATTTAAGAATGAACAAAGAAGATCGGATAGTCTGGTGCTAAGCCACGCCTATCATGACATCATCATTTGGCGATGTTCCGATTGGCTACACTGCGCCACTTGGTTATACACCATGTTTTTATTGTTTAAATGCACGAAATATTCAAATTACCCATTAAATGTAATCACACATAATCATACAATATCATATATCAGTATAATGATGTGATGTATTAGTATAAATTTTGTCAATTTCAATAATGGCTTTATGATAATGTCATAATGCCGGCACTCGTATTTCAAACATCTAAATAACAATCTCACTGATTAATTCCCAAAAACTAATAATAATGATATTAATATAATATGCCCAGTTAAAAATAAGAAATTTTCTTAATGTGATTTTTCATATTTGGAAATAAATTTTCCCATCTAACATCATCATAATCGATTATTTTCAAATACAAATTAAATTATTTGATTACGTCACATTTAGATAATCATGCACTTTAAACGAAATACAGAATATATATATATATATATATATATATATATATATATATATATAACAAATGATGTTGAAATCAAATTAACATAAGCAAATAGTTTTTCAACTAATTGTATAAATAATACGTTAAAAAGAATTACAAAAAAAGTTGAAATTAAATGAGGATGATATTAAGTACAAGTATTTTTAGAATTAATTCATATGCTAATATTTACAAACAAGAATATTTAAAGGATTTGTATCGATTGTCTTTTTATTTAATAATTATTATTATACGCTTTAAAAATAAATGATCGTTATTATATTTTATGTCAAATATAGTTTTACCGGATAATGCAATTAGGATTATATTTCATTAGAGATCTTTTGTTATCTGCATATATCCAATATAACAGTTTTATTTGAATAATTTCACGTTATTTTATTTCTCCTTTTTTTTCTCCATATACAACCTACTGGAATGCACATGTATACGAATATAGCGTAAGAAAATATTATTTAATGTATAAATGAGATAAAATTAATAGCAGAAGGTGTGTTAATAAACAATAATGTATATTGATAACTTATAAATATTTATATATTTTTATTTAAAGGACTCGACCATAATTTAGGACATCGTTTAGATTCTATAACAATAATAACACGGTGACAAATACTTATTAGCATAATTTTAGGGCAATGATGCTAGATAAAAATAATAGGCTAATGAGGGGGCAAAGAGGCTAGTATTAAATATGCTCAATAAGATATATTTAGTTTAAAGAAGAGTCATTGGTATCCTGCGTTTTGAGTCCATCGCCTTTATAATGAATTTATACTCCCTCACTGTAATATTTACGATCAAGGATTAAATTTTTTTTTACCGTCGTTTCCCATATACGATTATCGTATACAAACCATAGAAATATGAAAGTATGTTTTTTTTGCCGTTATGCTGCTATCATCTAGCATATCACCTAGTAGCAAAAGTTTATACAAATAAATCACGATAAATAGCATTAAAATGAAGAATAATAATACGTTGTGCTAACGTGTTTAAGACATTATAGCATACATCTATTTTCTCTAAGGAAAAAAATGATTCGGATCATGACAAATTTTCATATGTATAACAGAAGAAATTTTAAGTTCCACGTGTAACAAATCATTTATTTCAAAAACATTATTACTATTTTTAAAAAAATTAGTGGATATTTCGGATTTTTAATTTGAGTTTTCAAATAGAAATCTATTGACTTCTACATAATATAATAAATTAATTTAGTGTCAAAAATTCAATCGTCTATTCTCACTAGATTTATTTTTAAAGTGTTTGCAAATGTAAAATTACTTATTTTCTTGAGGTTTTAATGTAACAATTAAAAACAGAAATATATGAATTAAATAAATGTATAAAATTGTCGCGCTGGTAATGTGTGTGTGTGTGTGCGCGCGCGCGCGCCTGTTATATAATTAAATGCACTTTATAAGCATTAAAGTGTTGTGAAAACAATATATAAAAAGAGCAAAAAATATAAATTGTAAATATATCAAATCATCTACAATTATAAAAATCAAAATAATTAAATACTTTGTTTTTATTACAAATTTTATTATTCACAAAGCCAAATATAACAAATTTTATTTTATTCAATATAAAGCTTTTTTATTATGTAATCCAATTTATTTAGAATTCAATTATAATATTTGTAAATAAATAAAGTTATATTATGAATGTGAACTAGATATATTTTAGAGCTCCAAGTACCGCTTATGCATTTTTGGTGTAAGCTTTAACATCTATATTTTTAATCTACATTTTTCACATAGCTAATCTAGAAGGTTTACTGTTAAATTTCAAAATATCAGTTCGTAAGATAATTTTTTATTATTGTCACTCAGATATATTCGGCATCCTATGTAAATATGAGTTTCAATCGTCCCTATACTTCGTTCTTATCACTCCTTATCAAACCAAGTTTTATGATTCATATGCTCAGTACCCATAAAAAAAAATATATATATATATATATATCATAAATTCATGTACAAAGCCAATATTAGAAATATTTTGAAATAGTATGCTGCATCTGATTATTACAAATGAAAAATATAATTTATTGATTGTGTACTTAAAAATAAAGTAGGTTTACATAACTTTTGTGAACTATTCAAATTCAATTAAAGTATGCAGCTCATATCTATATGGTTTTATTTCTGTACCCATCCTTTTTTATTTAAACATTAAACTATGTAGTATTTTACTTTCCTATTATAAAATTTCAAACCGCTCATCTTTGTTTTATGCTTCTATTAAAATTATGAAAAATTCTAACACTTATTTTATGTATCATTTAATAAACATAATACTTATGTTGAATTTTATGGTGTCTATTAATTTAATATTTCCTCTTAAAAATTTTCATTAAGTTCATTTTATTTATAATTATATTTGAATAAAGTTGTATTGCCAATATGATAGTAAAAAATATGTTCTAAAATGACCATTAAAAAATCATCGATGTATTATATCATCAATACGTGACATTGACTTATAATGTTTTATAAATGCATTATTAAGTCTTTTGTAATCATTATACAATCTAGCCATTTTATTTTATTACTTATATCATTGGGGTAGCTGATGGTAGCAAATAAAACATCTGTGCATATAACCAGAATATATTCAAATAAATTTTATTATTTTTTACATTTCAATATTTAATTAATTTATGAATACTTTTTTTGGAATTAAACGTTTTTACTTTTTACGAAAAAGTACTCTTCTTTTACACTCGTTTCTTTATTCTTTTCTTACCTCTCTCTCTCTCTCTCTCTCTCTCTCTCTCTCTCTCTCATTCACTTTATTATCTTCTTAAACATTAAAATAAAAATATACCGATAATACTTTATTGTAAAATTCTTTAAGTAAATTTGTAAATTCAGCATTTATTTGTGACCTATTTATTTTTCTTCGTCCGAGGCCCGAGTTAATCATTAATTAAACTAAAACTAATTGAATGCCAATATTTCATGCCGAATCTATTTGTATTTATAATTGTTGAAGTAAATAACCACGTTTCCTCATTTTTAAATTTAAGAAAAAAAGTAATAAGATTAATTGGATAATGAATGAAATAAAGAAATTCTTAAAGTCTTTTGAAATATAAAAATTGTTCACTATTTTTATTTATTAATTCACGTACTGGAACGTTAATTTTTATTAAATTTTTAAATATTTGTCTGCTATTTAAATTGAAAATTATACTAGGAATAACAGGAATCTCATTTAAGTACTCATTGCTAAAATGTTTAAGATTATTAGTTAATATTCAAATATATTAGAGATAACTATAACGAATGCAATACGCGTGTTTAAACATCGTTTAGAAATTAAGGTAATATCGTTCGTTAAAATTATTTTTGCATTAATTATTTGTCTCACGCAAATTATACGTTATTTTTATTTATACGAGCATTGTTACATCATTTATACATATATATATATATATATATATATATATATATATATATATAAATGTTTCATTAAAATGTGGCGTGTTATATATTATTTATTTTTGTATTGTTTATTTATTATAAGGGCAAATATTGGTAAACAAATACTTAAATTATCGATCACCTTAAGTAAACTATTATTTAGTAATACTTTTTATGATTAATTCATATTTACATACGGTATCACCGACATTTTATAATAAAACCTAATTCACTTCGTAAATATTAATTTTTTTTTAATCATTAACTTTTGGCATTAATATGACCCTTGACGATTTTCTCTTATATTCTCTTCTCTAATTACGATCCTTATTTATTGAGCGCCTTTTAATGAAACTGCACATACTTTCTTCAGAGTTAATAAATAATATAGAATTTACTTCGGATGCCTTTAAAATATTTTTAAATTACATAGTCGTGATCATCCTACATTGCTCTATCAACCATATTCACTTTTAGTTAAGTAGATATTTATTTTATTTTTAGGCTTTTACCCTAATATTAAATTGTATTTACTTCTAATGCGTTGTACTTTACTTTGTGCTTTCTATACAATAGCTTTTAATTAGCTTTGTCACATTTATGTGCTGCATTAGACTTGAAGCCATGTAATGTCAGTTTATCGACGATAATTGCGCGAGTGCCGTAAATTATATTTGCTAATGGTTGTGATACTTAACTCTAGAATATACGAGCGCTGAAAACATCTGACTAATCGAGCCTGATGTGCCGAAAAGTGCAAATGGCGAAACCTTTGTAGGCGCGCGCGCGTGATCGTATGCTCCTGTATGCATTTAATCAAGCATCCTTGTGTAATAGGCACATGCATTTTGACATTTCATGTAACCAAATTTGCGAATGGGATTAAGCAAATAAGCAAACGGCCATAAAGAAGATAATCGTAAAAGAGTTGAGATATGTAAATAAACCTTATGAAACCATTAAATACATTATCTATTATTTTGTCTACGATGCTTCAAATCGACAATACACGTACTTTGTAATATGATGTCAGGGATTATTTTGAAAATAGTTACGATTCTAAGTAACTAGAAGTGAAAACTAAGAATGAAACGGCTGGCGGGAGAGGGGGCGAGAAAGAGAGATTAAGAAAGAGAGAGAAGCAAAATGTCTGTCTGACAAATATTGCACATGTCGCACTTTTTTATTGAAATAAAAAGATCGAAGGAAATATATATACGTGTGCTTGTATACAGGCAAGTGCATGTCCGTAAGATGAATATTAGATGAAGCTCGTCTCCTCGGCTTTCTTTACGTTGCAATACATACACACACACACGCGTGTATATATATATATATATATATATATATATATATATATATATATCGATCGCATTTCATGACAATTGAGACTATCATCGGATCGTCCACTCAATGGAGATTACGTCTGCATACTATTAAAAATCATACACCTATGAATGTTTAGTATTATAGGTTACAACAGTGGACTCGCTCATTCGAGTCTTCCGCTGTAATGGCGATCTCCAATCCAATTCGCAACTGCCTTGATGGTAGAAGTTGTTCATACTAGCCCGTCCCTCTAACACCATGCGCGCGCGCGCACACTTTCATATATTTGCGACGTCGCGCGACCTGCGTGGCTGCGTGCTATATGCGCGCATGCACGCGCGCGTCCATATAACTATATTTGCATATATATATATATATATATATGTACAATCGCACACCCACTCACGCCCACGCATATATATATATATATATATATATATATATATATATATATATATGCGTGTGTGT